CTAAATTTAAAGATATTAGGAATTAAAAATGTTATAAGCTAAATTAGCTTTACTACCTTTAAAGTTAATCTTTAAAAGGTAGATAATACCTACCTAGAATACTAGATATTTCTTTAAAACCTTAGAAAAGACAAGAGATAATTTTATATAATAAACTTCTACTTATAGATATACTTTGTAGAATTAAAACTAATATTAATAATATAAAGAAAGTAGTTAATAAAAGATAAAATAGTATAGATATAAAACAATATCTAGTAAAGTAGAATAGCTATTTAAAAGATAAGAACTTCTAAAAACTTAAAATAAATTTAAGTAAAATACTACTTATAAGATTCTAAAATAAAGTTTAAGTAGTTCTAAGATATATTAAAAGAAAAAATAAGCTCTTATAAGTATATTCTTAAGATAAACTTTCTAAAAAAAGAAAGATAGAAATGTAAAAAAATAACTATATAACTACTTTTCTATATTTTTACCTACTTAGAAGAATTTTTATAAGGTTTAATAGTACTATACTTAGTAGTTTAGTTTTTTAAAGAAAATTCTAAAATAATAACTTTAAAAGTAAATATAAAACATTACTTAGTTAATTAATATACTTTATATTACTAAATAATATTAGAATTAAATTAAAAAAATAAAATAAATTAGTATTAGTTAACTATAATAATTATTTAAAAAGCCTTTATAAAGCTAAGAAATAACATTCTTAGTATATAATATTATAAAATATATATAGCTATAATTTAGCTTTACTACTACTAATCTAAGCTAATTTATACTAACTAGTACTTAGGCTTATATGTTCTAATTTATTTCTTATATAGGTCTTAGTAGCTTTTTTAGTAGATATAAAGTATTTATTAGTTATAGTAAAATTTAATTTAGTAGTTCTAAAAGTAATAGTAGCTATAGTAGCCTTTTTTCTTTTGTAACTACTTTAGCTAATAATTTACTAAAACAATATCTACTAAATAAAGTTTAGAAGATTAATACTAATTTATACTAATACAGTTTAATAGTAGCTATTATTTTAGGTTTTTAGTATATTTATACTTATAGTACAGGCAGATAGACGCAATATATTAAAAATCTAAAATAATAACTCAGTTTAAAAGCTAATACCTAGCCCCTTTTTACAAAGTAAAACTTAATAGAAGTATATATAAAAAGTAATTAAAAGCTAATTAGCTATTTCTTAATTACTAGCTACTTAATATACTAATACAGACGTATATTTTAAAGGCTACGTAGCTAATAGTTAAAGTTTAGTTTAGTTATAAAACCTAGTTTTTATTATAAACTATAGTAAGGTAATAAAAGATCTTTAATTAACTAGCAATTTTAAATATATAATAAGCAGCTTTAAAGGAGGTCTAGGTAATAATAATTTATATAGGTAAGCTAGTATAGACAAATTCTTTATATTATTAAGCCTTAAAACTTATAACCTATCTTTTATTCTAATTTTATTATTATTCTACTATAACTAAGATTATATACCTATAATACAATACTATTACTAAAGCTTAAATATTTAACTACTATATCTTATAGTACTTTAGTAAGGTATAGATTACTATATATAATTCTTAATACTATTATAGTACTCTAAATATCTATAGTAAGCTTTCTAAGAACTTAATTAGATAGTAAAAGGAGATAAAGGGTATTACTTAGTATAATAGTAATATATTTTATATAAAAGATTTACATATCTAGCAGCGCCTTAAGGTTAATAAATAGCTTAAGGTAAAGTTTTATAAACTTAAAGTTTAACTACTTCTTATATAGGTTTTTTAAACTAATAAAGCTTTTTTTAATATTTAGCTTTTTTAACCTTAACTAGCTTACTAATAAGTAGTATAATTATAATAATTTAACTTTAAATAAAATCTACTTTAAGTAAGCTTTTGTAAATTCTAAGTATTATAATAAAATAATAAGATTAGTAGTAGTAATTAAGTAGGTATAAAACCTATATATACTATTAGTAGTATAAGGACTAGTAACTGTTAAAGTAATAGTTATAGTAATAGTATTAAGAGTAATAGTAATAGTTATAGTAACTAAAAGTAGAGGGCTAATAACTAATAACTATGTTAAACTTTAGCTACTATAGTAAGTGTTAATATATTATAGAAACTAAGAAGCAATTAAATTACGTATATAACTTAAATATAATAGTAATATAATATATTAATTCCTATTCTCAAGGGTTATAAGTAGCTATTTACCTTTAAATAAAAAGTAAAGTATAAGTTATTATTATTAAAAGCCCTAAGAGTTTACTTTTTAAGTATTATCTTTTTTTAGAAGCTAGCTTTAAACGAATTATAGCTTTTAATATAAATACTAAACTTAGTAAACTTATTAATCTTAGTTATACTTATATAAGCTATAAGTAACTTATAATAGAAAAGGTACTTAGTATTATAAAAAGTAAAATACTATTTAAGCTAATTACTATTAAATTTAACTAGTAACTTATAAATTAAGCTAATAAATTTATAAGTAGTATTAATAATCTTTACTTAAGTTAAAAAAAAAGTAAAGGTATATATAAAATATATATTAACCAAATAGGCTAGCCTTTAAACATAAACTTTATAACTATATAATTATAAAATAAATAGTAAGTAAGTAACTTTTTAAGCTTAAAAAAGTACTTTTAGTAGGTATTAAAAAGCTAAAAAAGCTTAGTAGTTATAACTTATAGTTACTAAAGCTAATATATATATTTTAAAGTAGTTCTAATTAAGATAGGTTAATTAATATTACTATAAACTTTAAGAGTTACTATTATAAAACTTACTTTAAGAATTATATTAGTACTAAAGAAATACTTTAAATTATTTATAATAAAGTTACTATAAGTAAAAAAGTCTAAGTAACATATATAAATAACCTTAGTATAGTTACTAATAACTAAATAGTTTTTAAGGTACTAAGCTTTTAATAAAGGAACTGTTTTAATTATATTAAAAATTAAGTAGGTTAAGTAATAAATAAGCAGGTTATATTAATATAGTTAGTTAATTTTAAATACCTCTTAAGCCTATAATACATAGGTTTTACTAGTTAGTATAGATTAAAACTAATTAATACTTTTTACTTTAAAGCTAAAAATATACCTAAAGCTTTAAAACTTTTAAAGATTAAAAAAGAAAAAAAGTAAAGAATAAGGAAGTAAGGAAAAGCCCTTATTATAAACTTAAGTAAAACTCTTAAAGCTTAGCCTACTTCTTAAGAAAGTAAATAATAATAAAAGTAAAAGTAAATACCTATTTCTCTTACTTTAAATTAAGATTATAGTTATAATATACTTTAAAAATAGCTAAATTAGGCTGAATTAGCTTAATCTAGTAGGTAACTAAAATATTTACTTTAAAATACTTATAGTATACCTAATTATACTAGATATAAGTAATAAATAACATAGTCTACTAGATTAATATAATCGTATCTAAGAAAGAAAATTTTATTAAGTAAGTATAAAGTAGTAGGTATATTATATACTATTATACTAACTTTAGCCTTTAAGCTTATATATATAGATAAAAGTACTTTATAAAAAAATAGAGGTCTTCTAGTAATTTATCTTAATTATACATTAAATACTATTATTCTATCTTTACTATACTATATTAATTCTAGAATTATGTCTTATAGTTAAAAAACTTAATTTAAAAAAGAGATCTTAAAAATAGTATATTTTATTCCAAAAGAGGATTCTATATTTAAAACTTATTAAAAACAATTTTAGCTATAAGAAGATTAAAGAAGTTAAGCTAATCTAATCTAGAAAAACCTTAATAAGTAAAACCGTATAAAGCTTAATATATATTTAAGAATTTTAGTTATTAAAAGATCTTTACTCTTTAACTTAGCAGAGTACCTAAAGAAAAACTTAATAATATATTACTATTACCTAGTTTTAAAAATAGATAACAATTTAAAGATAACTAGTAAAGTAAGCTTTTAAGTAATATATTTCTTATAGTAATAATAACTTTATAACTATTATTATACAAGTACTATATAAGCTAATATTAAGTCTAATTAAAAGATTAAGAGATAAGAATTATAGAAAATTCTAAAGTTTAGAAATATAATAATAGCCTATCTTTAAATATAGATAGCTTCTTAAAATACTTATTCTAATATATTCTAGTTCTACTCTTATATTAAATAGTATATTTAGTTCTACTGTTTTTTCTAAATAGTAATTAGTAGTTAATTATTTATAATCTACAAAAGTATTTAGAGTAAAACTTTCTCTACTTAGATTTATTTTAATCTCTATTTTATAGATAGATTTATCTAGAATAAAAAATTTATAAAAACTAGGTTAAGTAATTATAATATATTAATATCTACTAAATAAAATGTTAATACTAGAGTAAAATATCTTTAAGAAAGGAATAAGTCTATTACTCTAAGTTCTAGGCTCTCTCAGCGTGCGTCTACAACCGCAGAGTACTGTATAGACTTAGTTAATCTGTTTAATACTAGATAAGCATTGTAACGTCGCGATAATTAATAGTTAGGTAAACATAGTAACTAGGAGTGGCTGTGCTTCTTTTACTACTCGCAGGTTGACTCGCTTCGCTACGACCCCTGTCTAGTATATAACGGATTAATTAAGTTTATCCCATAGACAGGCTCGTTAAACCCACGGATTTCGGCCTGACCATTGGCCAGTTAGATTGCGTCAATAAGTTAGTATTATGCCTGCCCTCAAAGTTTGCTTGGTATAGAGTTTTAGTTTTAATATTCTTAAGTTGTGCTACACAATTCTATTAGCCGAAATCCGCGGGTTTAACGAGCCCGTCTATAGGATACAGTAGTTGCAATATTATCTAATATATTTGTTTTTCGTTGTTGTCGTTTTTCCACGCTAGTTAAACCTTGTCTTGATATTCTTGAAACTTGCGCTCCACGATCCTATTGGTTAAATTACGCGGTCCTAGTGTACTGGTTAAAGGAATAAGTTATTTAACTATCGAGAATCTATCACATCCTCTCATAGTCCAAGCCATCCTGTAAGACATATTTTATCCTATTACCTTCACGCACGTACCAGCTTTTCCGAGTCTTTGACGACGTTTCCTTCAATAAGTGGGTCTATAGACTTAACACTTGTCTTCGTGATCGCCAGAAAGTCTTCACGTCATCGTCTGGTACCGCACGTTTGCTAGGGACTAGCTTCATACCACGCGTTTCCCTTGGCCGAAGTAATTTTGCAACGAGTCCCTCATACATAACTGCCGATAAGGACAGATCGATTGGTGTTACTGCTATCAATCTCTGCATCAATGGCGCAATCACTGAAGAGTGGGTGCCAAATCGCTCGAAGTGCGCTGCGTGGAGCCGGTGGGTTCAAAAGCGCGCGACTTGCCACTACTCCATCGGCCCTACGTTTACCTTCATCTTTCTCCTCTACTCGTTCGTCCACTGCCAGCTCTTTCTCGACAACCTCCGCAACCATGTCTACCCAGAAATCTTTTGTACAAGCTGTTGAAGAGCGACGCAGTCACTATCAACTCAACAAAGAAGCGCCAATCTCAGACAAGCAAATTACAGAGCTCGCTGAGCATGCTATTCTTTATGTTCCCTCTGCTTTCAATAGCCAGTCGACGCGCCTTGTTATCCTCCTGAATCAGGACCACGAAAAGTTGTGGGACTTTATTTTGGAGGTTCTGAAGCCATTGACACCGGAGGACAAGTTTCCTAAGACAGAAGAGAAGCTTGCTGGCTTCAAAGCTGCATACGGAACTGTACGTAATCCCTTCTTATTGTCGAGTGAAGGCGGAGGAGTTGAGGGCAGGTTGTGAGAAGCCGGTGTAGTCTCGTGCAGCCAAGCCAGCAACGACCGTAATCGGACCCGACATGGTTGATGCAAAGATTTCGAAACATATTCTGCGTCCGATTCGTTTCTATTCGCCAGTGTCCTGGTCTGTACTGACACGATTTACAGGTTCTCTTTTACGAGGATCCCGCTCCTGTCGACAAGCTCAAGAAAGACTATCCTATTTACGCGCATCAATTCGGCGATTGGAGCGAGCACGCCAATGCCATGCACCAGTTCGCAGTGTGGACTGCTCTTCACGCAGAAGGTTTCGGCGCCAATCTTCAACATTACAACCCCATTATCGACCAGCGGGTCGCGCAGGAATGGAGCGTTCCTGTCGAGTGGCAGTTGAGGGGCCAGATGGTGTTTGGTGGGCGCTCAAGCGAGCCAGGAAAGAAGGAGTTTGAGCCTGTACAGGGCAAAAGACTATTTGTGCATGGAGCCAAGCAGTAGGGAAAGAATACTATCTCTTCAGCATAAGTGCGTTAGAGCCTTTCTATACAACACTTGCGCTTATGTCCTGCCAGTGTCTTCGTACATTTACGCAACTAATTGTGCAGGTCCGCGGAACCAATGCGATCTGAACACACGGGTGAAACTGTTGCATACGCGAGGTCTTACGCGCGCTCGAAGCAGGCTAGCATGCAGGGTTTAATTAATCAAACAATGCTTTTAGTTGATACAATTCGACAAAAGTTGGCACTAATCTTACACCTTAGGCAGTAAGCAGCTATGCCAAGGTTCGTCGGCACGAAGTTTGACCGGTCGACAAGTGACTATCCAGGTTTGAGATCTTACTCTTTAATTCAACATGGGATTTGTCCAGCGCATTCTCGATATTGCCTGCTTTCTGGCTTGATCATTTAGGGTGTAGGATTCACCATTCTCTCTTCTACACACACCATCCGCGTCGGTTCCCTTCTTTCAGTACCTTATCATAGTAGCATTTCTACCTATGATGCGCCTCTCGTCCGCTACAGTACTGGCATGCGCCCTCGCCCTTCTTACTCCTCTCGTCGAAGCTGCGACAGCTAGACCAAAAGGCGACTTTAGAGAGTGCATAGAGATCACTCCTAACTGCCCTCTGGAAGCGACGTTATATGGATACTCCCCTATTCTTAGCGTCAATGCCTTCTTTGTCGCCATCTTCGGTCTTTGTTTCGTCGCGTCCCTAGGAATTGGAATTCTCAACAGAACTTGGACCTACACCATCGCCATGGGGATAGGGACTTTGTTCGAGGCAGCCGGATATGGCGGTCGCTTGATGATGGTCGACAACCCATGGAGCGAGTCTGGGTTTCGCTTGCAAATTGTGTGTCTCGTTCTTGGACCATCCCTCATCGCTGCAGCCATATACCTCACCCTCAAGCACTTTGTCCTGTACTGCGGGCCTCAATACTCGCTCATCAAAGCTCGTCTGTACCCATGGGTCTTCATTGGATGTGACATTGGTTCAATTGCACTGCAATCCATCGGAGGTGGCCTGGCAGCTGCGGGAGGCAAAAACAATTTCCGTCTCGTCAACGCCGGCAACAACATGATAGTGGCGGGTATCGCGTTTCAGGTCGCTACCATGGCGGTGTGTGGACTTTTGATGGTTGTGTACATTTTGCGATACCGCAAAAGCGCTCGAAAGGATACACTGGACGAGAAGAGCAGTTACCAAATTCAAAAGGAGCAGGGCACCGTGGCAACGTGGAAAGTCAAGGTCTTTGGGAGCATGGTGGTGTTGGCATACACAACAGTCCTCATTCGGTGCATCTACCGCCTGCCCGAGATGGCTGGCGGCTGGGGCAATCCATTAATGCGCAACGAACAAGAATTCCTCTTGCTCGACGGAATGTAAGCTGAGTCCTGTAATCATTGCGAATTTCGAACTGACTGATGACAGGATGATCGCTATTGCGTGTGTGGCGTTGACCGTTTTTCACCCTGCATATTACTTCCCTCCATTTGCCACATTCCGAATGCGGTAATTATGGCGAGCAGAAAGTCCTATCTCCATACAATAATACCCTTGACCTTTCCTTTTTACTTTTCCAAATCCTCTAGACGCACTTTTGAACACGATTTACATCTATTGCGTATGATTGTCCTTTCGGTGCCGGCTCCTTCTGTTCCAGACGACTTCTGCGGATGGGTGGTCAATATAATTCAATGACGAGTTTTCGAGGACAGACGTGGTATATCCATGACCATCAATGTATCAATTTGTAATTAAAAGCGTTTTGGCACGGGCACCACCATCTATTGGTACTAGAATTCTCACAAACAGTATATACAATTCACAGCAAGCTTATGTTCTCCATCCTCCTAGTCGGTACTACTTCATTGCGTCATTGACCATCATACACTTGATGTTGTCATTGGGGAATCAGAAAATGTATGTTGCGAATATAGAAGACGACAGACGTTCGCGAAACGGCTTCTCAATAAAGATTAGACAACTCTACAATGGTTGTATGTAAGGGGGGAACAAGGGTTTATCAGCTGATATTACGGATCTACGGTTGTCAACCAATCGGACAACACCATCTGAGGACGCGTATGCAGAAGCAAATGTTACGGTGTCTGACTGTCGGTGTTGTGAACACGTGAAGAACAAAGATGTTGTTGGATGTTATTGGGGCCGTCTCATCCGCTACGATACCCGCCACATGCAACCCATGGGCCCAAGTCGCTCAATAATGAATAAGCCCAATGTCATTGGTGAATGTTCCTGTTTCGCCGTTCGGTCCTAAGGTGCAAACCCTTACCAAATTCCCCATGGCCTGTCTAGGCGTAATCGCCCCGTTCCCGTTGTGCATATCCGTCGACACGAAACCAGGGCATACCATAGTGATCTTCCACCCCTTCTCTTTGAACTTCCTTGCGTAATGCGCAGCCAACATGTTGAGCGCGGCCTTGCTACACCGAAATGCAATGGAATCAATCTCATCAAGAGGACATTTAACAGTCAGGCGGTTGATGATGGACCCGAGAATGGAGCTAAGAAAGACGATACGTGGGTTTGGAGACTTGGACAAAAGCGGGATGAAGGCGTCAGTAACCAAGGCGTGACCAGAAACGTTGGTGTTGAATGTGTCTTGAAGCGCTTGTCTCTTCGTATCGAAGCATTCGTCTGCATCGCCGCGAACCATCATGCCAGCGTTGTTGACAAGAAGGTCCAGGCGCTCATGTTTCTTCTTGATTTCTTCTGCAGCGTTGCGAATAGAGTCGTCGGAAGTGATGTCGATGGTGATGTTCTCGACAGCGTAGCCTTCATCTCGTAGCTTGAGTGCAGCTAGTGACCCGGCAGCAGGAGAGCGGCAACCGAGGAGGATGTGGAAGTCGTGATCGCGAGCGAGTGTTCTGGCGAGCTCGAAGCCGATGCCGCGATTTGCTCCGGTGATGAATGCCACATCCTTGCTCTTGGGAAAGATGTTTGTGGTGAACAAGGAGGTCATGATGTTGGGACGTAATTATGGCTGAGACGAAAATGTTTGACGGTAGATTAACAAATTGAAGATGGACCAAGTGTGCTGTCTCGAGAATCGTACTGTACCTGCTCAGCTCGATTGTTCGAGAAAGAGCTGATGGTGACGATGGTGACTCCTTCAAGCGATTGGAACGTTCCTGCTCCAAGTGAACCTACTCAACTCTGTTTCCATGATGCATCGAAGCGCACTGAGAGAGCTGGATAATTCATGGTTATCAAATTCTGTATACTTCACGGCGCAAAATAAGGCAAGATGAGCAAACGCATGCATTTGGCTCGTCTCGAGAATCTCTCAAGTTTCTCATCAACAGCTATCAGATATGTGGTGATCAACATGGCTATCACGGACCCGGTTGTTGATGTAAGCAGGAGGATGGAAGTTGCAGATAAGAAGGGTACAGCATGACTTGGGTTACGTGGTCCCTGCGCTGATGTGCAATGTCGTGTTTCAGCACAACCATGGAATCTCCAGAGGTTGGACAGGGTCTAATTTCAACGACTGAAGCAAGTGGAGAGAGGTGAACGAGACCTTTTGCGTGCGTGACAGAGCAAGCCAGCGCTGGTGCGTGTGGAGGTCTTTGTGGGCAGATGGAAAACTCAAACGGCTAGAAAAGCTGGGCGGTGCATTGCCCGAACCGGCCGCGAGGAGAGTGTGGAGGGCGGAGAGTGGGCTAAGTACCGGTATGCGACAGATAGCAGAAATTAATACTGGGGCGGGAACGATTGTATTGGGAAGGGCATGGCGGATCCCAGCCGCCTATCTTTAGAGAGGGCTAGCAGGACGATTGACTGGGCAATGGACCGGCGGGTGGACCGGCGGGTTGGCGAAGGCGAGGTTGGGAGACAAAGACTCTGCGCGGCAGACAGACGGTCGGGCCAGGAGGCAGGCAGGCAGGCGTGGAGTGGGAAGCGTCAACTGGAGGGCTCCTGCTGGTCGGTGGTGTGTAGCGTGTCGCGTCTGGCGTGTGACATGGGCAGGATGTGGGATGGCAGGCAGGCGGCCAGGGCTGCGTGATTACCGGCGTGTTGAGAGTCGATAGTTTTCGGGGGTGAGGTCATCAAGGCAGTGGCCGCTAGGTAGCCGGTTTCCTAGTGAACTAACCAGGCCCGTCCATCAGCCTCTGCGTTGCACCAGCCCGTCCTAGCCGGCACACGCATTGCTGCACACCACACCACACCACCACACGCACTGCATCTCCCTCTGCCACGCCTGCTGCCCCTGCCCTGCCATTGCCCTCTGTTGCTCTCGCCGGCGCCGTCGTTGCCATTGTTGTCGCGTGAAGCAGCTCCCGTCGCCTCGTGCAGCCCCCAGGCCCGCCCCGAGACGCCCTCGAGCTCGTGCAGCGGCGCCGCCGCCTCCATCGCCAGCCGGTCTCTCGTCAGCCTCGTACCACCATGGCGCAGCCGCAGGGCTTCCACGAGCAGCCCGCCCAGGGGCCGCTCGCCGAGGGCCTGAGTGACGACTTCGCGCCGCCGCCGCCTGCCCATCGCGTCCCCGTGGGCATGCACGCCGACAACTCGTACCAGCCGCACCCCCAACACCGCCCGCTCGCCGACCCCAACGACTACTCGGACTACTCGACGCCCGGCCTGACGCCCGGCTCCGACAGCACGAGCGACAAGGCGCGTGCCATGTATTCGCAGCGCTCGTACGGCTCCAACGCGCCCCTCGCCCCTGCTGCCGCCATGCCCGCCGGCATGTATGCCGGCCATGGCTCGTACAGCTATCCCTCGCCCCACGGCGTCCCCTACTCGGACAGCCCCTACAACCGCTACTCGTCGTCGGCCCAGAACCTGGCGCCCCAGATGGGCCACATCAACCCCAACGAGGTGGCCGACGACGACGACTGGGGGCTGGGCCCCGACTCGCCCCAGAACAAGCGACGCTCCCGCACCTTTGCCCCCTTTGGCGCCTCGCGCGACGCCAGCCGCAATGCCAGCCGCAACGGATCGCCAGGTTCGTCCATTACCAGCGGCGTCGGAGGTGCCGGCGTCGGAGCAGCTGCAGGTGCCGGCGCCGCTGCCTATTCTGCCTCGTCGCGAGATGACGGAAGCGGCAAGTACAACGTCGTGCCCCTCGTCAGCGGCGAGAAGTCGGACTGGCAGAAGGAAGACCACCGCGCGAGGAAGAAGAACATGTGGATTGCCATTGCCATCATCGTCGTCATCCTGCTGGGTTCCATTCTCGGCGGTGTGCTGGGCTCCCAACTAAGCAAAGGCGGCAGCGGCCACAAGAGCCAGCAAGATGGCGGCGGCACAACCCCCGATGACGTCCAGTCGGATAACAAAGACGACCTGAGCATCAACTCGGCCGAGATCAAGAGTCTAATGAACAACCAGAATCTCCACAAGGTCTTCCCGGGCATGGACTACACACCCCTCAACACCCAGTACCCAGACTGCCTCCACGTCGGGCCCTCGCAGAACAACATCACACGCGACCTGGCTGTCATGTCGCAGCTGACTAACACCGTTCGTGTTTACGGTACAGACTGCAACCAGACCCAGATGCTGATCCATGCCATCGATCGCCTCGAGATCAAAGACTCGATGAAGATTTGGCTCGGTGTATGGCTCGATAGCAATGACACGACTACGACTCGTCAGATCGACCAGACATGGACAATTCTCGACGACTACGGCTGCGACTACTTCAAGGGCATCATCATCGGCAACGAAGTGCTCTACCGCAAGGATCTTACTTCCACCCAACTGCTAACCCACGTCACCGAGTTTAGACAAAATATCACCGATCACAAATGCAAACTTCCCGTTGCCATGGCTGATCTAGGCGACAACTGGACTGCGGACATGGCCACCGAGGTGGACATTGTCATGTCAAATATCCATCCCTTCTTTTCTGGTACCAAGGCCGAGGACGCCGCTGCTTGGACGTGGAATTTCTGGCAGGAAAAGGATGTGGCTCTCACCGCGAACAATGCAAGCATCAAACAGGTTATTGCTGAGGTCGGGTGGCCCTCAGGCGGCGGCACAAACTGCGGTGCCGCCTCATCTTGCACGGATGGCTCCGTCGCCGGTATCACCGAGATGAACCGATTCATGGAGGACTGGATATGTCCGAGTCTTAAGAATGAGACCGAATACTTTTGGTAAGTCTTTACACCCTGCCAAATCCTTACATGACCCTAACCAAAACAGGTTCTCGGCGTTTGACGAGCCATGGAAAGTCCGCTACAACGAGAAAGGAAAAGAGTGGGAAGACAAATGGGGATTGATGGACATTGACCGAAACCTCAAAAAGGGTCTCGTAATCCCGGATTGCGATGGCCAGGCACTGCCAAACTTTGATTGAACGACCGAGCGAACATTTTCCGCACATAGTGTAATGCATCACAGCTTGGCGTTTGCGGCGTACTGGACCATGTTTTGATATTTTCGCCAAGCTTTTGGCCATTTGGGGGGAACTACATGTACATTGGTGTTTTTGTTCATCCTAGAGGCGTACGACTTTTTTGCCCGATGGTTGTCATGTGGTCAGGACGCTGAGGTTGTACGTTTACATACATACAAGACAGAGTAGGCAGGCTCGTCTGGGACTGAGGATTGACAAAGTGATAAGTAGACGGCGACAAGCACTTGAAGCGTCGCCGTGGGAGGAACAATCATGTGGGTGAGAGCGAAATAGTGTAGATAGTTCACCTAGATGGTGGTATATTATGACAAGAGATACTTGATATATTCTTCGCCTTTTTCTCTGTCTTCAGAATCACTTGTCGATACCGACGTTGACAAGAGGAGTGGACACATGGTGGCACCAATACTGTTGGTACAGCTTCAACATCATGCAGGGCAATCTTGTCTGCATTGTATCTTGTGTATCGTGCTTCGCGTCATCTTACACAGACACAAAGTTTACTGTGACACGACACTCCCGCGTGTACGACAGCTGTTCTGTACGCCTTGGTTGAATTACTGTCGGCTTTAGCTAAAGTTAGTCTTTGACTTATTCATACATTTCCAGAAAGCATTTCATTGCATCATGACGATTGACGTACACAGGAGATCATTTCGGCAAGACAATCCAACGACTGGAAGAAATTAATACAAGTATGTAGGATTTACCACCCAGAAGCAGAGGCAATAACCGCTTCTTGACAAATGATTACTCAATGTACCGATGCGATTGTGCGTATTTGAGAGCCCTGGCAGCTTTTTGTTGAAGTTTGGATATGCTAAACTTGAAGATCAAACACAAACCTTTTACCGCTTTCAAAAAATATATCCTCGCCTTGACGGATCGGATTTATGTAACACAGTTATGTTAAACGTGAATCGAAATGAGACTGATTGTTTCATCTCAAGATCAAAAGGAAAAATAACATATTTGTTGTGCGAGGCTCATGTTTGCCTCCATCAAGCATCAACGCGTTTCGCGAAGCCAGGCACGGTCGAAAACCTCTGTCAGGCACGGTAAAGAACCTCTGCTAGTCGGAGAGGCTAGAAAGGGAGGTACCATTGGACACCATATAGACGTGTAGCGCTGCGAGGACAAGATACGCAGTGAAGGGGAATATTTACTCCACTCCACAGAATAGAAGGAGTTAACTATGCTTCGGAGATTCAATATCACAGTGTCAGCGAAAATTTTCACTTTTCCCTTGCCTGGCATGTGTTTCGACTCAAAGGGGTGAAATGAAACCTGGGTAAATACTACCAGCCGATTAGGCCGCCTGTGGATGAAGATCTTTATGAGATAAAGAGATGGTAATAGGACAAAGTTGCCTGGCTGCAAGCTAAAGATCTAAACTATAATAGGATATAATTTCCCAGCAATCAATCAGGCGGTCTATCCATCGGCGTTTGAGTCAGGCCCAGTGTCCGAACAGATTAAGCAACAGGCTGAACGAGACAGGTTTGGCATAGGCACTGTCAGATATTTCTAAAGGTTGGCATTGGCAACGAGCCGAAAAGACGGTCAGGCCTATGGCTGTAACGACAGTGTTCATATTTGTAAGGATCATAGAATACAAGATGGTAATAAACGACGACGTATTAGGTGTATGTAGCGCAAGATGTTCGTCCTCGTTTCGCACAATTATAGTAATGGGTATCATATCCTCAACTTCCATCAGTGGGCGTCCAGCATACGATCAAAGCACGAGAGCAAGAGCGGCAAAGCCCAATAGTCCCATCTCGACACCGCTTCCGTGGCTGGCAGCGCCAGTGAACTGGGCCGCGCTACCTGTACCTGTCGACATGCTAACAATCATCGGTTTCGTTCCGTTGCCTGCAGCGCAAGAGGGGGCCGCGACGCCAGATCGAGTTACCATGACATCGGGAGCTGCGGAGGGGCAGCCAGGAGAGACGGTGATAGTCGTGGTGGCAGATTGGCTGAAGAGTGTTAGTCGAGGTTACAGGTAAGGAAGTAGAGTATGGAAAGTCCAGAATGCGGAGTAGGAAAAAGAAAGCACTTACGCTGAGCAAGTGCCAACAGCCACGAGGGCGATGCTGAGGAGGGAGAAGGAAGACTTCATGGCGAGTTTGACTGGGATGTTCTGAGGAGAAGAGAGTAAAACAGTGACGAGATAAAGATCAAAAATTCAAATATAATGAGCGATGTTGGAGGTGGGTAGTAGCCGGTAGACTGCGTATACACAGCCTCGCTGTTGACCTGTACATATATACCACCGTCTTGATGGCAACACCCTCATACCAGCTTAGCGACCCTTGTTGCGACTACTCGAGTCACCCAATGTCAATTTCCACTTTGTGTAACTTTCCAGTATACTTTAGGTACGAACGTGCGCAAACTAGTCCCGGTCGCGTTCTTTTCCGGGCTGAGGCTTTTGTTTCGAGAGAAGAAGATCAGTGCTAGTTGAGGTAGCGCGTGACTTGTGTAGTGGGAAGAACACGGGATGTTTGTGGACTAACGATGATAGCCTTGCAGCGCTGCAATTTGTTATGCGGGGGACAGGAGAGAAAATCACTTCTCGGTCAGTCGTGAATCAGTGTATCGGTAGAACTGGTAAGCTGCACGTCTACCCATGATCCTTGATTCGCACTGGCACGATACCTGTCGATTTGTTTACTGATACATCCAGGACTTGCCCCCATCCTCCTATGATTGTCATATGTAGGACACATGAAAAAGGTATCGCCGCTGAAGCGCAATTTCAACAGTGTAAGGAGAAATTGAATAAGCAAGGAGTCACTCGACAAGGCTTCTCGACCGCTGCAGCCTGCCAAATGCAGATCTTTCCCTCTGTCATGTCCACCCGTTACAAACAAGTTCTGACGGATCGGTCTGCTTCCAGGGAAAACATCATCGCTCGGATGTGGAAATTCCCTACCCAAGCGTCCCGATACGGCAAGGTGAAAAGCGCCTCAAAGCTTCTTCGGTCTTAGCATCAGGGCAGCGAATCGTTGGATCCGCTAGCCGTCATAGTGAGCTCCATGATTAGCGTACGCCTCGGAACTGACATATCCGTGCTCTGTCAGGTAGTGCTTTTGCGGGGAAATTGTGCTCGACGCATGGACAAATTGCGATTTCACTAAGTCCACTACTGATTTTTGCTAGAGGTGCAGGGGCAGCCACGATGGTTGTGTCAATGACAAATTCGGATGCAATCTACGCCTCCACCGGGACACGATCTCTCCGTGAGCGAGGAGATCGATTACCACTTTGGGAAGACTATGAGTGACAGCGGGTTAGAGTTGAAAATGTCTCCTTCAGAAGGATAGTCGGTCAAGGTGTATATAAGAAAAGAAACTGTCCGAGCAAATAATCATCATCCACAGCTTCATCTTCTTCAACATCCTACCACCGATCCTCCTTCATTACCTCTCAACGCCTCTTCAATCTCAACCAACTCCACAATGAAGTCCACCATCTTCTCCACCGTCGCTCTTGCAGCCTTCGCCTCTGCCGCTCCCACCAAGCGCGCTGATGGCCCTTCTGATGCCGACATCCTCAACTACGCCTTGACCCTCGAGCATCTCGAGGACAACTTCTACCGTCAGGGTCTCGCCAACTTCACTGTCAGCGACTTCAAGGCCGCCGGCTTTGACGAGGAGACTTATGCACGCATCACCACTGTCTCCAAGGATGAGGAGACGCACGTCAGCTTCCTTACTGGTGCTCTTACCGCAGCAGGCGCAAAGCCCGTCGACGCATGCACCTACGCCTTTGGTGTCACAGACGTCAAGTCTTTCCTAGCCACCGCCTCCGTCCTTGAGGGTGTGGGTGTGTCTGCTTACCTCGGTGCCGCTGCCGACATCATGTCCAAGACCTACCTGACCGCCGCTGGCTCCATCTTGACGGTCGAGGCCCGTCACTCCGCCTACGTGCGCAACGTTATTGGCGAGGCTCCCTTCCCTTCGCCGTTCGATAGCCCATTGGGTTACAACTCCGTGTACACACTCGCCGCACAGTTCATCACTGGCTGCCCTTCAACCAACGCACCCCTGCCGGTCAAGGCCTTCCCCCTTCTGTCTGCTTCCAGCACTGCCTCGCCCATCACGACCAACTCCACAGTCACGCTCGGCACCTCAGGCTACAAGATCGAGGGTGATGTCTACGCCGCATTCATCACTGTCACCGGACCCATCTTTGTCGATGCTAAGGCGGTCGATGGTGGCTACGAGGTCATGATCCCCAAGGGTGTTGCCGGTCAAAGCTACGCCGTTCTTACTTCGTGCAACACTTCTGCCACTGACGACACCATCGTTGCTGGTCCTGCCATCATCGAGATCTCGTAGATATCTCTGTGGATGTTTCGAGAGGATTGAGTGCTACTGGTATAAGGATCAGTTTCGATGTACATATTGATAGTCATATACTTTAATGTTTGGTTGATAATGCAAAGATCTTTCTACTGATTTGTGTTCTCTCCAATGATTCCACCATGATTTGTCTGTGATGTTTATCTTTGCTTATGCCAGCATCCCTACTCAAGTTGGATATTCCCCAACTACTTACTTAATTGCAAAGATAAAGTTGCTTGAGGTCATGTTCACCCAAAGTTGCAGTAAGGTCGTGTCAATGTGCTGTTGAAATCTGAATAATCCGTGTATGAACGGTGTGGCAAATTTGAGTAACCAAATGTAATAACAATTTCACGTTTACACACAAGTTGATAGATAAAGCATGCCCGACAAATCGTAGCTCAGGACAAGGCGAGGAAAATGGCGGTAAAGGAAGATTACAAAAGACAGGCGTTATCGGCCAGGCACCGAAGCGGTATGCAAAGACTGGTATAAATCATACAAGCGTGATGCGATAAAATCGCAAAGTGGACATGACAAGGACAGGTGCGTAAAAGACATATCGCATGAGAACACAGAACAGGTACGTAGTGTCGCGTGAAGTGTTCGGTTGCCATAAGCCGGCCTGGCTAGCAGCTGGTTGATTCGGGTCAGCATGTCTCAGAGGAGGGTGATTAGACAACATTGAGCAACCTTTGTATGTGAGAGATGTATCTCGTACCTAGCGAACCGCCTCCAGCCCCTCAAGAAACGCCAAAATTTCCTCAACTACCTTCTCTGGCTGCTCCTGCTGCGGCCAATGCCCAGCTCCCTCGATGAATCTACATCCTCGAAAATCCGCACAAGACTCGGAGAAAGCCTCCAAAGCGCCAGGCTGCTGGTAATTACCCCAATCTTGTTTGCCTGAGATAAATGTACTCGAACACTCAATCTTCTTTCCTGCAAACAAAGCGACATCATCCATTCGCCCGGGGTCCGTGGTCGTGCGGTAATAATTCAACGCGCCTTGAAATGTTGTTCGTTGCCACTCCTGCACGTAAACCTCTAGATCGGAGTCAGACATCCAAGAAGTTGTTGCAGCAGCGTCCTCGTTTTCCATCATAGCGGCGATGGCCTCAGGCATGGATTTGTGGCGTGGCATGATGTAGTAATGTGGCATTTTGGCCAGTTCAACCGCCGTCCAACTCTTCAGTGGAGAAGGATTGTTTGCCGAGTAATTCGCAGATTTGACATGCAAGTAGCCCCGGAGGAATGTCTTGAGCCCTTGTACGGGAGTCGACCATTCGCGTCCTGCTGGCTCGGTGCTGTTGTAGTATTTGTAATGTTTTCTCGGTTCTGGTAGCTTTGCAAGCTCAGCCTGAATATCGACGGGTGGTGGTGGTATGTCTCCCTCGCCGTGTGCTAAATTGAAGGGCAGAGTTGCGGGGGCCTTGAAGGGATGGCTCATCATGACAACACTATCGAACAGGTCTGGTCGCATCAACGCACTCATTCCACTTGTCACAGCGCCAAAATCATGACCAACGATGCACTTTACTTTTCGATATCCCAAGGCATGCACTAAAATGACAACGTCTCTTACAACATTGGTCAGCCGAAACTGCTCCATGTCCGTCTGCTCGAACGATGCAGTATCCCAACCTGTCGTCCGTCCGTAACCGCGCTGGTCAAAAGCAACGACATAGTAACCTGCTTCTGCAAGGGGACGCATTATTTTTCTCCAAGAGAAGGCGAGCTCAGGATAGCCATGACACAGAATGATGAGAGGCTTGTCGCGCTGTGGAGTATATCCCGCCTCCAAGATGTGGAAGGTAAGGCCGTTAGAGGGGCAGTGGACGTAGTTTTCTGAGACTCCTGGGGGAAGTGGCAGAGGGGGGAGATGAGTGGTTGTGGAGGTTGGTGTCATGTTCAAGATGGAGTTATAATTTGGTATTGGCGCTCAGTTGCTTTGTGCTTTTGTTCAGTTGGGTTCGAAGAAGGGTATGTTGTCCCTCTCTCTGATATAAACTGGCAAGGCGTGCGATACGGATTGGTACTGGATTGCCATCTAGGGGACTACATGCGGGGAAGCTCTTCAAAGGCAGGATAAACATCCGATGGTCTCGGAAAAGCGGTGGTGGCAGTAGTCACCGTCGGCCTGTGATTGGTCGCCAGCGACTAAATCCATTAAGTCTCACCTGTGCATTACCAAAACAATGGTCCGTGAGACCAAACAAACACGGTGCCATAAAGTCGAGACGCTACTCGGCTCAGCAACGGAATGTGCCACATGTCAAATTGCAAGGCTACGTCATGGACGTCTGTGGGGCTGCTAGATTCGGAGCCGTCGTGGTTCGCGTATTGGCTGCTTACGAAGTGGCTACATGGCCAACGCAGGGCCAGCGCGAGGTGTATGCAAATGGGGGTGTGGACGCAGGAAGAAGAAAAGATGGAGAGTTGTTTCGCGATGCGTGGTCACATCCTGTGGCACGGTTTGACGGTGGCTGAGACGAGGATGTGTTTGAGCTTGTGCCTGCGCTGGCACCTGGGGCCTGGCGTCGATCTGCGTGGAGACGTGGTGATCGTCCAGGAGGAGTGTGACGACGCGACAACAACACTTTGACTGCACTGGGCATTGTACGCTGGCGTTTGCTCAGCTGCTATTACTACTACTACTTCTCCTATAACACCTACACTGCTGCTACCACGACCACTTCCTACTGCACCCACTCGCCGCTTATCGCCGTGGCTAGGGTGCGCCGTTGACATCACGGCGTGTTGGTGTGTGTTCTGTTAGCGCGCGACATTGTCGACCGGGGCTCGATTTTCCATCGCATTACACATCCACGGCCTCCCGGACTTGTTCAGCCACGGCCATGCAGGCGCATTAATCTCTAATCCCCCTCACTATGTTTGGCAAACGAAGACGCGCAGCGTCGAATCCAGTGCGTGTGTCCCACCTGCTCTCGCACGACGCCTTGCTAACCACCCGTCGCCGTGCAGCCCCTACCGCGGGTGTCGCCCGCCCCGAACGCATCCGCCTCGGTCGCCGCAACAAAGGCCTTTCTCAGCAGCCAGCAATCCAATGGCGCCCTCTCTTCCGCCGCCGCCGCCGCCGCCCTCCGTTCGCACACGCCGACGCCGACGCCCGTAGGCGACACCGTCACCAAGCGCATGATGCGCCGCGGGTCCATGTCGTCCAACGGCAGCGCCATGCCACAGCGCGGGGGGCTGGAGCGGCGCGGCAGCTCTGGCTCCATGACGGAGCGGTCTTTTCGCGCCGGCAACCCCGCCGAGCCTGTTCCCCCTGTGCCCTCGGTGCCGAGCAACCTCAGGGGCGGCGGCACGCTGCATCGCCGGTCGTCCAGCCACGAGCCGGTGTATCGAGTGGCGTCTCCCGGGCCGCGCGGTGGAGGGCGCGGTATGAGCCTGGACCGCGGCGCTGGGGACCTGGGGGGACGTGGACAGCAGCGACCCGCGAGCCACCTCATGCAGGTTGTCGAGGACGACCAGGACGACGCTTCGCCCTCGGTCAACTTCTCGCGGCCCATGTCGCCGGGCGCGAAGCCGTCGCCACCCATGAGCCACGGCTGGTTTGCGGCGCCCGTCGTCGACCAGGGCGCGGTGCAGCGCGTGGCCTCTCCGGCGTCGCAAAGACGCCCGCACACATCGTCGGGCCTGACGGGCTACCAGGCCCACGAGACGCAGCACGCCATCCAGAGTGCGGCAAACGCCCCCGTCAAGACGCACCGCACGGCCTACAGCGTCGAGAGCGCCCGGCTTGCGGGTGGCAGCATGCGGGCACAGCCCAAGGGGACAGCAGTGCAGTCCAGGTCATTTCTGCCGCCCGCGACGAGACAGGCCCCGCGCATCGTCGACCCAAAGTCGCCCAACGCCGTCTACGACCCGGACACGCGGAGCTTCATCCACAAGCAGGACGCCATGGCCCGCCACCGCGAGCTGCACAACGAGCCCGAGCAGCCCGCCCAGCACTACGTCGCACACCACATCGACAGCCTGCGCCCGCACCCCGTCGCCCAGTCAGGCACCAGCAGCCGCCGCAGCCCGGGCCCCCTCCGCCCAGCCGTGGAGCGACCGTCCACGCCCCCGTCGTCGGCCTCGTACGTCGCCCAGCTCACGGGGAGACCGCAGCAGTCGGCGCGTTTTGCTGGCGCTGGCGCTGACACGGACGCTGACAGCCCTCGCACCGTGTCGACTGGCCCGAGTCGCAGATCAGAGGACGCTCCCGTCACCCCTGCCCGCAGCACGGCAGCCAGTCAGGACCATGCAAGCACCCGCTCGGCCAACGACAGCCACCTGAGCCCGCCCCGCACCGCCCACTTCGCCTCTGTCGCGGTCGAGCTGGGAGCCGAGATGCACCAGCCACTCCCGCGCTCCTCGTCTCCATCCAAACCTGCCTTGAAGCACTCGCCGTCTGTTTCGTCTCGCCCCCGCTCTCCTGCTGCGTCGAGTGGGCGCCTCCTCGGCAGCCAAGCTGCAAGCGAAACCTCGGATACAATGTCAGAGGATGGCTTCAGGAGGAAGAAGAAGAACATTCGGGTCAGCTTCGACGAGACACCTGTCGTGAATTCATACACCGAGCCCGAAACACCTCTTACCCCGCCGACTTTAGTGTCCCAGAGCCGAGACGAGTTTGGAGACTTCATGCAGCCGCGGCCAGCTCTACCCTCATTTGGCAGCGTTCGGGACAAGGAGCCTCGACGCGACCAGGATGACGTGCCGCAAAAGGTCACCGAAACCGTTTCCACCCCCATGTCAGCTTCTGTGAGCTCAGTTGGAGACCCACTGGCTGCCTCCACCGACTCTGCACTAGCCGGCATCATGGCTCGATACCATGCACAGAGACAAGTCGACGCCTCCACGAGATCCGAATCCCTCGCACCTGGCGTCACGCCAAACGAGGGCAGTGGCTACGCCTCGGACTCCAGCACCTACTCGCAAGCAACCGACAAAAGTGTCGGCATTCAGAAGCACGGCGGCTCGTTGGAGTCATCGCAACATTCTGGCGCCGTCGGGCTTGAATCATCGATCAAGCCAACTGTGCGGGACACCGCTGCGCCTGCGTTGCCCACAAGTCGCAGTTCAGAAAACAATGCGGATGTGCCAGCCATTGCCCTTCTGCCAGCAACGCCACGCGCATACGACATCCCCGAACCGAAATATCAAGACGTAACGACGCCCGGAGACTTGAATGATGATAACCGCAAAAGCCAAAACAAGCAGACAGATTACGCCCCGATGGCTTTCAAGGATGTGTCTGTCGAGCCGGAGCAGCAGACGGGGATATATTCCCAACAAGCTGACAACACCGACGACGATAGTAGTGTTTACAGCGATGCTTACGAGGACCTCACAGACGCGGAGGGTGGTTTTGCTAGCATCGATGCAGTTGCCAACAGCCCTGTCATCTCTCCATCTTCTGGCCTGCTGTCCTCAAGGAGTGCTGAAAGTCCCTCGAAGCTTCGACAAGGAACCACTGCAGAGGGCCACGATTATGCCGACGTAACTCCCATGCAGGGTTGGGATGCTGCCAGACAACATTGGAGTGGTCTCAACCAGGCCCGACAGCAGTCGCCGCTTGACGAGTCTGCTGTAGGAGAACAGTCACAAGCTGCAGCCGAGGCTTCTCGCGCCCTGCAAGCTTCCACCGACCAGCAGGAAACACATGTACAGCATCAGGCCATGCCTGAGGCAGCTCCTAGAACTTCCACGTCTTCGCAGGTCTCCCCATCGCCAAGCAAGCCTCTCAAGTCAGCCTTGAAGAAGAATCTTACCCCTCAATCAGCACCTCCAGCTCAACCTCAGATGAGGAATACAATGAGAGGCGCAGCGCCCAACCAACGACTCTCATCCGGACCCCAGATGAAAAAGACTATGCGTGCCGGCACGGTTATCAACCCAACCTCACAACCCGAACACCAGATGCGCAAGAGTATGCGTACAGCTGACTCAACCCCCACGCCTGCTGTAGGTCTGGCTGCATCGCGCTACAGTACATTACCCACAGAGAAGGCAGAGCCTCGTGGAGCGCTCCAGAAGAGGCATATTCCGCTTGCTCCTAGACCACAAAGCATGGCTGCCCCTGCTTCCACGAGAGCAACGGCTCCAGTACCTACGTATGATAGTGACTCGGATGCCTCAGTCAGTAGCTTCCAGCGTGAACGAGCCCAAAAGCGCGCTGCGCGAAACCAGGGTGGGCAGTACACAATGCGCAGTTCCATGAGAGGATCAGGCCCCGCGCCGACCATGCGAGCAAGTGCACCAGCTCCTATTCGTTCCATCTCGCCTCCCGCATCTCCGCCGCCTACACTCCGCAGATCGTTACGGCCATCATCGCCGACCAATGGCACTGCGCCGTCTTCGAGATTCAGTATCAGATCGTTGTCGCCTATGGGGAGATTTAGAAACAGCAAGGCTGATGATATTAGACCATCTTCACCCATAATCCCAAAGAAGATAAGCGTTGAGAAGCAGCCCAAAACCAAAGCACCAGCTACGATGCGCTCTAAGGCTAGCCGTTTCGCGGACTCCAGTGACGAAGACAATGATCGACCTCGCCGCTTCCAAAGCCGGTTTGCTGATTCTGATTCCGACGATCCAGCTGACTACGAACTCCCAGCTGACTTGGCTCCGGTGCGCGGCATCCCCAGAAAAGCCGGCACAGAAGATGGTGATTCGACAGATTTGGAGGAGGAGGAAGCAGAAAATGAACCAATCCCGTCTGCCCAGAGCAAAGCAGCAGCAAATGTAATGACTACCAGCCCCACAAATGGAAACCCAAACGGGCAAGGCACGGCTCTATCTGCAGGCTCCCTGCGCGACAGCAAGTATGCCCCTACGTCACCCGCAGCGGGAATCGACAATAAAGTGAAGGCGAAGCGCAGCTTCTTCGGCCTTGGGGGAAGAAAAAAGACTTCCGACTCTATCGCATCCGTCTCGCAGACACCCTCCGCACAAGTCGACATCCCCATGCCTCCTCAACAACGTAACCGTGACCTCGGCCTCCCGCTCACTCCAATTGACGAGGACAAGGACATCGGCGCAGTGCCCCTGGCATCCCTACTCTCTACCTCGCCAAATCAAAAACGAGCACCCAAACTCCAGCGCCACTCCACTCCCGAGTGGCCCTTGCAACAACTCCCTTCCGTTCCCCCAATTTCTGATGACGCCCGGCCGTTGAGTTCAGATGGCATCGCACCCCGACGACCTCGGTTTCAGAGTGGCAGGCGTTCGAGCCAGTTGAGCCATGATACGACGAACACGGCGCCCATTGTGGATGGGAATGGACGGAGTGTGTCCTATGGACGAAGTGGGAAGAAGAAGAAATTTCAGGGGCTGAGGCGGGTTTTTGGATTGACTGACTAGACTTGGTCGATTCATGACTGACGTGGGTTCTAGGTATGTGCGTTGTGGCTTTGTAAGCAACGAACGGAAAGCGTCGTCAGATTCTGCGCGCTCGAATCAGTCACAGATATTTGTCAATTCTTTTGTTTCGAGGACGTCAATTATCTTGATGGGATGCTATCGTCCGAGCAAATTTTCGGGAAGAGATTCCCATCAACCACCACTTTAGTGTGGCTCTTTACGTTGGACTCACCAACATTCTCCTATGTTATTCTCAGCAGGTGGTGGTTTGTGGATTTTCGCGCGACAATGATACCATTGGAGATAGGGACACGTGCGCATCGACGCAGCGACTTTCGTTACTTGTTTGTACATGCTTGGATAGGTTGATGCCATGTGCATGTACATAGATAATTTTTAATCATCCCTGCCTCTGAGCGTCGAAAGTGTTTGCATTTTCAAAACTTGGACTTAGGTCACCTCTATTAACAGTAACGAGCTTCATGTAGGTGAGGCCTTCGTTCTACCGATCTGATTCGTCGGCATGCAGACCCTGGTAGAAGGATGCGGCCCTTCACGTGTGGGGTAGTACCTCGGCTCACTCACTAGTCTGTACGGGTATACAAGCTACATGCTCATGCATATTCCACTAACATCCCTTCCAAAACAGAACAACGTCAACAGTTCACTCTCCTCAGATCAAATTTCTCCCCGCTTACTTCAAAATGCCGATCAAAACATGGCTCAGCGAGAAACTCGGAATCCGTATCCCTCTGGTGCAAGGCGGCATGATGTGGGTAGGTCGCGCGGAGCTCATCAGCGCTGTCGCCAACGCAGGCTGTCTAGGCTTCCTGACCGCCCTCACACAACCCACTCCCGAAGCACTTCGCCTTGAGATCCGGAAAACAAAGTCTCTGCTCAAACCCTCGGCTGTACAGTTTGGCGTCAACATCACTCTACTTCCATCGATGAACGCGCCGGATTACGCTGCGTATGCGAGAGTCGTTGTCGAAGAGGGTATCAAGATTGTGGAGACGGCAGGTGACCCAACGCCAGTGTTGAAGTACCTGAAGGACAACGGCGTGACGGTTTTCCACAAGTGTGTTACGCTGAAGCATGCGCTGAGAGCGGAGAAGTTGGGTGTGGACTGCATCAGCATCGACGGGATAGAATGCGCCGGACATGGCGGCGAATACGACACGACGTCTCTCATGCTCCTCTCGCTGTGCGCCGAGCAGTTGAAGATTCCATACCTGGCGTCTGGCGGTTTCGCAAATGGAAGGCAGCTTGCTGCTGCTCTGGCGCTGGGGGCCGTAGGAGTGAATATGGGGACGCGTTGGATGTGCACAGTTGAATCGCCCATCCACCAGAACGTCAAGGACGCGATCGTCAAAGCCACGGAAAATGACACTGTTCTTGTGCTGAGGAAATTCCGAAACACGACCAGACTTCATAAGAACGTCGTATCGATGGAAGTTCACCAGATCGAGAACACAAAGGAAGACGTCAAGTTCGAGCATGTGGCACACTTGATGAGCGGCCAGAGAGGGAAAGAGGTTTACGCAACTGGTGATGTCGATGCTGGGGTGTGGAGCTTGGGCATGTGCGCAGGGTTGATTCATGATGTGCCGACGTGTGAGGAGTTGGCGAAAACCATGGAGAGGGATGCTATTGAAGTATTGACACAAGGAAACGCGTTGGTGGTCGAGAGTGCGAAACTGTAGGTCGCTTGATTTGCATGTTGTGTTGTTTAGTACAGCGGTGCTGTTGTCCGATTTTACTTTCAATTTCTAGAACGATAAATCTAATATGTAGCTTTTGGTTGACGAAATCATGCAACAGCTTGACAACTACAACTAAGCTTAGTGTAGAAGACTTATGCCTGGAATTTTAGCAGTATACGCCGGACTGCACTCTGATAAATCTTAGTTATGTAATTCTGTGGCATATAGGAGCTTAAAGAATTCCACTTACTTCCTGCTTTCACGGTCGATCGAGAAGCAGTTCCATCGGATGTAGATGTCTTTGAACAAACTCAATGTACTTTTCCATCGCGTCTGAACCTGCACAATTTGCATTGTGTCTTCTGTAGCAGCAGTGTTCGACAATGATTCTACATGCCGAGTCAAGTTTTTTGCTGCTCGTCGAAGATGAACTGTCCAAACACATGTCAAGATGTCGGGCAACGCGATACGAATGTTGTGTTTTGTGATCCCTGTTCACCTCGCATCAGGTACCTACAGATGCAAATTTTGCATGTGAAAATCAGACGCACATGACGTTCGGAGCCATTGCACCTGCATCTAACAGATTGGTTTGCAAGTCATGCGTGCACACACGGGAGGAAGGAGCATGGGGCCAGTTGTCTTAGAATGCTTCCCCAGAGCTTCTCCGGGGCCCCGCAAAGTAACAGGACGTAAAGACGTCTTGTTTCTCCTCTTATAACTCCACTGCCTTGTCGTCCAAACACAGTGACCAGAAAGACGAGGATTCAAGCTGACGTGCTTGGGAAAGCTTGATCCCTGCTCCTTCTTTAGCGAGACTGCGAACCTCGGCGCCTATCATCGTGATCGCAAAAAAAGGTGGTACAGTCCATTTACGACACATCACTCGCAGAGCTCTGGACGAATTACCCAGCTCTATTCCAACGCCCACGTCCACTCGCCACATACGACCGCATTCAGTCGCATGCCGCGCGCATCGTAACGACGACCCAATTACATCTTTCCCGACCCAGCACCGCACAGCGTAGTCCGCGCGATGAGCTGGCTCCTCTACCTTCCTGCCAGCCTCGCAGCGCTCATAATGTTCCTGCGGCTCGTCTCCCTCGTATTGCCCCGCGGGCCTGCCGACATGGTCCGCTTCGCAGCCTTTATGGTCACCGCTTTCATCATGCTTTTGTTTTCCGCGTCGTACGGCGTGGTTGCGAGCATACTCTGCAGATGCGCGGGGTACGGTGGACTGAGCCAATGGACAACTGGCCGGTCATTCAAGTGGCTCATGTGGTGGACAACGGGTGTGACATTCAGTGTGCATGACAATGGAAAGAGCGTGGGAGGAAGGAGGGGCGGAGAGGAGGCGTTGTTGGAGAGGCCGGCAGTGTTTGTGGGAAATCATCAGTCGTGAGTGAACTTGTCGGCGGGTGCTGGGATACTGGGAGCAGACAGCAAGCTCCAAAATACAGCATCCCGCAGTACAATACCACCATGTGGTTATACTGACATTTCACAGAGAGCTTGATGTGCTTATGCTGGGCTGCATATTTCCCCAATACTGCTCCGTCACTGCAAAAAGCTCGCTGAAGTGGATGCCCTTCCTGGGCTGGTTTAGTACGCCGTCTCTCATTCTCCTTAACATCACACTCGCTAACTGATCTCCAAGTGTCACTCTCAAAAACTGTCTTCATAGACCGTGCCAACCGCGCCACCGCCCGCGCGGCCTTTGACTCTGCTGTTGACACCATGCGTTCCTCCAGACAGAGTGTCTTCATCTTCCCCGAAGGAACACGTTCCTACGCCTCCGAGCCCACGCTTCTACCCTTCAAGAAAGGCGCTTTTCACCTTGCCGTGCAGGCCCAGGTCCCAATTGTGCCCATCGTCTGCGCAAACTATAGCAACGTGCTGGATGCGAAGAAACGGAGGTTCAATCCTGGCGTCGTGGATGTCAGCGTCCTACCTCCAATACCAACAAAGGGGCTCACTTCCGCGGACGTAGATAGGCTGGTAGAGAAGACGAGGAACGCCATGATGGAAGAGCTGGTGAGGCTGAGCCATGTCAGCGGGACGGGGAATGGGGTACCGCTGCCGAGGGCGTCTGGCGCTGACAATGCACGGGGGGAGCTTAGGAAGAGGGTTTAGAAGACATGGAGAGCTTTACACGAGTTTCAGTCAGGATTAGTTGATGTAGCATCGGTGAGGTATGGGTTGGCGTACACGGCGTTAAGGCACTTGGGCATTTAACACAACGGCAGCGCGTGGTGGCAGTCTGTACAGTTAGTAGTTGAAAGAAAGCTCGCGACCAGGGCACTCATAGCCGCGCAGCACGAAAGAATAGAAGGCGTGAACAAACGAACCAAACTGGTACTGGAAGATTCCGGACTCTACTCTACCGAGCGAGTGCCCCGCAATACCCCTCATCGCACGTCCCATTGAAGCTATGATGTGGTCAACTGAAAGGTCTTCTTTCAGTTTTATACTGTTCACAATCGTGTCAGAATTGTATCTCAAACCCGTCACTCATCACCTCCAACAGCATTGAACAGCGTTGAAAAGTTGAGACGTTTTATTTGCAAATATGGAAGCCCAAAAGTCAAAATCAGAGAACGAGACTATGAACCCAGAGGCCTATGATGTGAAGGGAAAGAACGCGATCGTCACAGGCGCTGGATCCGGTGTGGTCGCCCTACACTATATCGAATACAGTGCTATACTAATGAATGTCTAGGAATCAACTTTTCCTTTGCAGCCCTCCTTTTAAGCCGTGGCTGCAATGTCCTCATCGCTGACCTGTCTCTTCGACCTGAGGCCAAGGCTCTCCTTTCCCAATACTCCGATCAGCCTCGCGCGGTGTTCCTTGAGACCGACGTGACGAACTGGCCACAGCTCGAACGAATGTTCTCCGTCTGCACACAAGAGTTTGGGGAGGTAGATATTGTTTGTCCAGGCGCAGGAATTTACGATCCGCACTGGAGCAACTTCTGGCACCCCCCAGGTGTCCCTGGTGGAGAAAGTAGGGATACGGCGGATGGAGGACGGTACGCGACGCTGGATATAAACATCACTCACCCCATTCGTGCCACACAACTTGCTATACGGCATTTCCTGAACCCTCCGCCCGAGAAAGCCAAAGTGAGTGTCGACAAACCGAAGAGAGTGGTCATCATCAGTAGCGTCGCAGGCCAGATCAGCAACTTACACACACCACTCTATAACGCAGCCAAACACGCCATGAACGGATTTATCCGCTCTCTCGGGCCCCTTGACGCGAAATTCGGGATTAGAGTGAACGGCGTAGCACCAGGCATAATCAAAACACCGCTGTGGACTGAACATCCAGAGAAGATGACGTTCTTGGACGAGAATAAGGATAAATGGGCCACGCCTGAGGAGGTAGCAGAGGCAATGGTGAGATGTCTCGAGGAGTCTGATCTGGGTGGGGGGACTATACTCGAGGTTGGAGCCACACAGACAAGACTTGTAGAAGCGTTGAATGATCCAGGGCCGAGTGGTGCGGGACATACGGCTAGTAATTTACAGGAGCAGTACAACGAAGTGTATGACTGGCTGGGGGATGGAAACTGGGGTGTTGGGAAGGCGGACGTGTAGATGTACGGGCTAGTATGAGTAGCGTGGGTGATATCTGTTCAATAGTCTGTTTCTGACGGTATTGGAATTCAAAGATTTCCTGTTACTACGCGTAGCAGTGACTCCAAACGTTTGCGTGATGAGCTCGAGGCGATGCTAGTCGTGAGCTTCTATCTTACCAGGCGCGTGAATAGCACAGTTTCATCATGGCTGGGGAGCTCAAACAAGCGTTCTTGGAAAGCTTGTAACCCGAGAGGGATGGTCGCCCTTCAAAGAATTCATTACAAAGCATGTATTTGCTGACTGGAACCATACGTAGGATGGTTTGCCCCTCCGTAAAAGTCATACGCCAAAAGTGGAGCTACTTTCATGCGGAGTGGATTTCCACGTGCAAAAGGGCCGCTGCCGATGAAGTGGGAACAGGACTGGCCGGGTTCGGTGCGATTTGCATGGTAATAACCGGCTGTCGATGGTCAGGTGAAGCGCACCATTTTGATCACTAACAAAGCAAGAATAGGGGTTTGTGTTGATGTGATTATAGAGCGAACTACGGTGCTAACAAGATGGCGGCGACGATAGTGTGCGGATGTGTTGAGAGGGAAGATGTTTCTCCGGGGGAATTCAAGCACGAAGATTGATAACTATCGATAATTGTGACAGAGCTGGAACACACGACTGAGGGATATTTTTCCGAGGGCCGCCGCTGAGACGGTCGACCAGAGCAAAAGCCGCAGCGACGCAGGGACCAAACCATGGAAACAGGCGGACATTGAGCGCTTGGCGCGGGTGACACTCGTCCGAGCCTTTGTGCTTGTTCAAAAATTCTCACGATGATGGTGGAGCAGCGAGGGCGTGCGGCAGGGCAGAAGACGGCAAGCTGGCCGACAAGGGACCAGCTTCGTGACTTTGGCCGAGAATTGCTTCAGAATTGCGTCATTGGTGGTTTTGCGAGGGGCATGAACGCCGGTTGGTGTTGCTGACAGGGCCGTATCGGTGGTCAGGGTCTCTACGGCGGCGCGCTGATTGCTGCGATGCGAAGCGTGGGGCTAGTCCGGCCCGGAGGTAACTGACGTTACAGAGGGGCCTTGGAGGGGCCGTCGTGTAGAAAGGTGACCCCCAACAACAACACGGCCTTTTTCCTCCTCTCTCTTCTGCTTCTTCTTCTCCTCGTATCCTCTCCAATCTTCCTACAAACACATCCACCACATCACATCCACCATGTCCAGCTCTCTCGACCAACTCAAGGCCACTGGCACCGTGAGTACCGTCGCATTGTACCTGCCTCAAGCACGTGGGGAACTAACATTGTCCTGCAGACCGTCGTATGCGACTCTGGTGACTTTGCGACCATCGCCAAGTACAACCCTCAGGATGCGACCACCAACCCGTCGCTGATTCTCGCTGCCGCCAAGAAGCCAGAGTACCAGAAGCTGATCGACGATGCCATTGCCTACGGCAAGAAGGAAGGCGGCGACATCGACAGCCAGGTCGACCACTCGTTGGACGCTCTCCTGGTCCAGTTCGGCAAGGAGATCCTCAAACTCATCCCCGGCAAGGTTTCCACCGAGGTCGATGCGCGCTTTTCTTTCGACACAAAAGCCTCAGTGAACAAGGCTCTGCGCATTATTGATGTACGTCTGCACACTCTCGAAGCAAGCGAGAATTCCATCTGACTTTGCGCAGCTGTACAAGGAGCAGGGCATTGAGAAGGACCGCGTCCTTATCAAGATCGCCTCGACATGGGAGGGCATCAAGGCCGCTGAGATTCTCCAGTCCGAGCACGGAATTAACACCAACCTGACCCTCATGTTCTCTCTTGTCCAGGCCATTGCTGCTGCTGAGGCCGGCGCTTTCCTCATCTCCCCCTTCGTTGGTCGCATCATGGACTGGTTCAAGGCCGCGAACAAGAAGGAGTACCCCAAGGAGGAGGACCCCGGTGTCAAGAGCGTGCAGAGCATCTTCAACTACTACAAGAAGCACGGCTACAAGACCATTGTCATGGGCGCGTCCTTCAGGAGCATTGGCGAGATCACTGAGCTTGCTGGTTGCGACTACTTGACCATTGCCGTGAGTTGAATCAACTAAATGCGACCAAACAGCCAACTAACATATCCTAGCCTAACCTCCTCGAGCAACTCTACAACTCCAAAGACGACGTCCCACAGAAGCTTATCTCCGAAGACGCGGTCAACCTCGACATCGAGAAGAAGAGCTACATCAAAGACGAGGCTGCGTTCCGCTTCTACTTCAACGAGGACCAGATGGCCGTCGAGAAGCTCCGTGAAGGTATCTCGAAATTCGCTGCTGATGCCGTCACACTCAAGGACATCCTGCGCAAGAAGGTCGAGGCGTAGAGTAGGTGCTCCGATGAAGGACAGTCATGAAGGAACGAATGTTATGTTTGCATAGGTGCTCTCTACGTGTCTTTCTTTGAGAATGGAGTTTAGGTAGCAACCCCGAGATATCAAAATAAGAAAACGTAAAATTCCTGTCAACTTGCCCTGGCGTAACGTCATACCATGTGTTGTTCGTGAGGGGCTGTGGATTCATCATCAGTGGGGCCAGCCAATGTTAAATCCGAGACACTCCGAATGCCCCGCTTTCGACCTTGCCCTACGAAATCTGGGAGCTTACCTGACCTCACAACATCTGTCTCCTTCTCACCCATCTCATCACCCGACGTATTGTCAAGCTTCAAAACAACCCAATTCCATCAACCACCTTATACAACCGTCACAATGGTCAAAGCCGGTACGTTCAACTCTCCTTCTACATGAGCTTTGTCGGTTGCGAGAAGGTGGGGCAACCATGTGTGAGCGAGAATGAGCACATTGTGTCCGCGACGCTGGATCCAGCGTTCCAAATCATTGGAGACGGCGCAATTGAGGGGCTTTCGAGCACCCTGATGGGGTGATGGCAGCCTGTCACATTCCAGCTCGTGTTTTCGACGCTCCAATCAGTGCCCTCTACCAAACACCCTGATGGCGCCCGTATTTCGTGTACGCGGGTAACGGGTAGAAGCGAACGGTACGAATTGGACTTGGTTGTTAACATCGTTGTCATAGTCGCTGTTCTCCGTGGTGACTCCAACGTCAAGGGCACCGTCACCTTCGAGCAGGCGAACGACTCCTCGCCCACCACCGTCACATGGGACATCACTGGCCACGACGCCAACGCTGAGCGTGGTATGCACGTTCACGCATTCGGCGACAACACCAACGGATGCACATCTGCTGGGCCCCACTGTACGTATACTCGTAGACTGGAATCGAGAGAAGAGATAGTACGGGTGCTGATATACCACAGTCAACCCCCACAACAAGACCCACGGTGCTCCTGAGGACGACGAGCGCCACGTCGGTGACCTCGGTAACTTCAAGACCGACGGCCAGGGCAATGCTAAGGGAAGCGTTGAGGACAAGCTGATCAAGCTGATTGGCCCAGACAGCGTCGTTGGCGTGAGTTTACTCTTTTTCCCTCTCCTTTCCCTTCCACCTCGTGATAGGACAAGAGTTGACATGTCGTAGCGCACCATTGTCGTCCACGCCGGTACCGATGACCTTGGCAAGGGCGGACACGAGGAGTCCAAGAAGACCGGCAATGCTGGACCCCGTCCCGCTTGCGGTGTGATTGGTATCTCCAACTAGAATCTTTAGCGGTTCAAGTTCCGAGTCAAGACATGACAATGTACTTCAGCAGCCTGGAGACAACACCACGTCACGCTGACAACATAACATAAATGATGAACATTGTGTAACGCATTTCAAGAATAATACTACATTCACTATCAACCTTTCTCTGCGGCTCATGATGTACACACTCGATGCATTTACAGGCATTGAAGATATTGATACCAAATACATGTGATTATATATCTATCTAGGATCGCCATAGCCAACCATCTACCTCAGCTCCATTGTTCCTCTGGAGATGACCAAATCTCGCTCTGTCCATGTCAATGAGCTGAGGAGACGGTAGCTGCATACGGCCAGCCCAGATCGTTCATCGTACACGTCCACCGCTCTTCGGGCTCATTCAATGAATGACCAAACTCCGTTCCAATGCAAAGGGGTATCGATGCTTACAGTCCGACGCCGTGCGCCAGGTGTCGAAGTATTACGTCCGGCGCGTAGTGTAGCGCCGGCGGTCGAAAGGAAAGACCGTCAAAGTAGGTCGATTGGCTCGGAGAAAGAGGGGGAGGAAATTAAGAGACAAGACACTGTACTGTAAGGTGGTCAAGGTCAATCAAAAGGGCACAACTACCAAGCAACTTCGGCCCACGCCGAAGTATCCCTCCGTCATTTACAAGTTGACGACCCTCGTATCGTCATCGAGGAATTCCCTCCGATACTTGGCGATCTCTTCAGCAATCCCGTTGGGATCTTTGATGTTTTTCTGACGCAGCTCCTTGAGGACGCCCCTCAGGCCATCATTCCACTTCTGCTTTGCCTCGGGCGTCTTCCCAGGGTTGGCTGTGCCAAGCTGAACAAGGAGTTTCTCACCTAAAAAGTGTCCAAGTCAGTCTGCGTACGAGGGCGGGGCAAACCAAACGTCAATGAAAACTCCATTCCGGTCACGCACCGGTAATACCCATGCCCCGAAAGTGCTGATCGGGGCATTCGGCGTCATTGCATGAACCGCCTGCTGATTCGTACTGGCACAAAGGCGTTTCTGCATCAATTTGATGACTATAAGTCATGGACAGAAAGCCACCGCTGACATCTTGTGTGTAACTAGGGTGGTAGCGGTAGGATTTGAACATGCGAAGTGGACTCTCATACGGAGTGAACTTGTCCAACTCAACTTGATCATCATCTACAGGCACCTGTTTCCGATTAGCTAAACCTCGTCAAAGAGGATGTACGTACCGTTTCCGAGATACTAACCACGGGCACTGGCTCAGTTTGCAGCTCAGGCGCTAAATCGTCAGCAATATCAGTATCCCGTAGAGGCGCGTTGCTTGCAGATATAGAATCATCGTCTTCGGGGTCTGAGGACGATTCCTCGTCCGAGTCTGAATCACTTGATTCGTCGGATGAAGATGTAGCGATGTCCATAGCACCATCTTCCACCTCATCTTCAGGCTCGTTCTGGCCAACGGTCGCGTCCATAGTGGCAACCGGGATATCAGTCATCTCTTGATCAAAGTCAGGAGGTTCATACGGCTCCTCCTCATCTGTCGAGACATCGGGCGATGAAGACGACTGTGCGACATCCGGCTCAGGCACTTGGTTTTCTGGGATGGGAATGTCTGTGACAAACGTCGGTTCTTCCGGCTCGTACTCTTCTTCTTCCTCCTCGTCCTCTGTGGACAAAGACATCTCCACTTCGCCCTCCTCGGAAGGAGATGTCACCACATTCATATTAGCCGCAACTTGGGCTTGGGGACCTTCTATGATGTTGTTCTCAGCCTCGGTAGGAGTGGCGGCTGGTGGCGGTGGAGAATAGAAATCTTCTTCGTCATCGAGTGGAGTCGCAGAGCGACGTGCACCACTTGTACTTCCGTTGATAGACATCCGGTCCGTATCAGCACGAGCAAGAATCTCGTTCGATTGGGAAAAATCTTGGGTGTCTGCCACTCGTGATTCTTGTGGCATGACACTCATAGGTTCAGCAGCAGGGGTATCTTCCAAGACCGAGTTATGGAAGTCCGCAGTTTTGGGTTCGGGTGCTTGATGCACCGCACGACCCAGCCCTGGAAGAGTGATATGTGCAACCCCCATGCTATTAGCGGACATCAACGCGACCGGCGTACTCTTCTCGGCTGCTGGCGTGGGTTGTGGGATTTCCGCAGGAGGCGACACACGAGCAGAAGTTTTGAACCCGTTTATGATGGGCTGCGAGATATGACCTGCATCCTGTGGCTGGCTATTAGATAAGGGAGACTTTGCGTGCTCGATTTCATCCTTTTTTGCGCGGAGTTCTGCGTGCGACATGCCCTCTGTATCAACACCCAAGCTCTCAAGCTCTTCAGCGAGCCTGGCTTTATCCTTGGTAAGCTTTTCATTACGTGCAAGAAGTTGGCCCATCTCTTTCGTCAATCGAGCAACTTGCTCCTGGTTGCTCACTAATTCGGCGTCATAAGAGGACTGCTCGAGCAAGATCTGCTCTCGTCGACGTCGGCTGTTGTTGTTATGGGTTGAAGGGCTGTCAGCGAAACGAGGCTTTGTGGTTGAGTCGAGCCCATCCCGAATAGGCATCGAATACGACGACTCCATTGTGACTGGCTGAACGTGAGAGGTGTTCTGAGGAGGTAACTCCGGCATTGGTGGCCTTGGGGGAAGAGATGAAGGGGTTGATATCGCGGCAGCAGCTGTGGCCGCTGCTGCCCGATCCTTCTCGCGCTTTTCTGCGAGCTTCTTCTTCAGCGTGATCTTGAGAGCTGCGAGTTCTCGTTCCTTCTTATCGATTCCATCTTTACGCGCAAGAGTGGCTGGAGTTTGCGGACCTGGCGTACTAACAGCAGACGAAGCGGGCTGGACAGACGCTGGACGGAGGGGAAAGTCGGGAAGCTTTCCTGGTGTTTGATGGATGTCATGGGTCGGAGGCAGGGGGGATGCTGCGGCAGACTTTGGGGCGTCCTGGTCATCTTCTATGTCCATGTCGCTTCCTTCGGAGTCGTCTATGTTGATAATCACCTGCTCGTTGTGACGCGTGTGAGGCGATTCTCCTAGTGGTCGCGTGTAGGAGGCGACTGAACCCCGTGGTGTCGATACCTCGGATTTGTCCGAGGGAGCAGGTCGTTTTTGAGGAATTGTGAGGGATGGCTTTGACACAGTTGCCGATGTGCCGTTTGGATTTGGCGACATATTCATGAACAGGCCTGGTAGGCCAGGGAACGACGATACATGAGATGGAGGGTTCGGGGTGTTTGCGCCATTCGACGCAGCTTGTGGTAGTGGCGCAGTTGTTCCTTGAGCCCTTTCAACAACCGGCGCTGGGGACGAGGATGATACTGGCCCGTTTGAAGCGGTGCTTGCGGGTTTCTTTCCTGCCTTGATGGCTGCCAGTCTTTTCTTGATCAGTTCGGTGTTTCGTGCCTTCTGCTCATCCGTCGCCGGCTGCTTAGGCATCGGCGTCGAGGCAGGCTGGGGTGATTTGACAGCCGGCACGGGATTGATTACTGTTGTTGGTGTTGTCTTCCGCGGCGGACTTGGCTTCATAGCACCTGCCTGCTTGGCCTTCTTTGCAGCTTGGAGGCGCGCGATGTAGTCCTTTCGGTCCACGGGCGAAGGCGCAGACTTGACTGGTGGCACAGGGTTTACGTTGGTCTTGACTGCAGGCACTGTTTTGGCGAGCATCACATTTTGGGGCTGGTCTTGTGTGACGGAACTTGGCTGAACAGCGGGACTGATAGCAGACGCTTGACCTGCGCCATTGGCCTTGGGCAACACAATGGGTTCGGGCTCCGAGGCCAGATTGCAGCTTGAGTAGACTCCCCTGAGAAGATCCCTTTGGCTGTCGTCCACCTCATTCGCCAAGGCGCGATAGCCCACGTTGTTGCTGTTGAGGAGCTTGACAAACTGCCTGACTGCCTCGCGATTCTGCTGCATCGTGTCTACGATGGGTTGTGCACTTTGTGGCTGCGCGGGCTTTCGCGCGGGCTCCTGCGACGTCTTCTGGCCAGCAGCAGGGCGGCTGGGGTTGTAGGGCTCGTCAAGCACGCGTGAGGTCTGCGGGGTAGAGCGGGGAGGCTCGGGTTTGGTCTGTCTTTCAGCATTGTGCGCTGAAGCGTGAGAGGCAACCTCGCCATCACTCACTTCGCCGTCTTCTCTGTCAATGTCCATGACTTCGGTGACGCGCTCGTTCGCGGCTGTGGCAGGCCGGGGAGGGAAGGCAGTCGGTGTGGCTGGGTGGTGCTGGGGGATCGGAGGCAGCCCGGGCGGCGGGAAGCCAAAGCCTGGAAGGGGCGGCGGAGGGACCATTCCGTTCTGCATGAAGGGCAACCACGCATCTGGCGGCGGTGGTGGCCATGCGGCTGCTTCTCGTTAGCCATGGCAGGCACACCAGGCCCTCGAAGAGAGCGCGATGGACCAGGTGCACTCACTTGGGGAGTACTGCGGCTGTTGCGTGTTTTGGCCGTACGCGGTAAAGTTGAGTCCAGGGAGACTCGGAAAGGCGTCGGGGGCAGGAGGCTGTCGCGCGTCCGAGGAGCCCGCGTGTGATTCTGGATGCGCGGTCGGCACGGGCTGTGGCATCTGCTGATGGGAAAAGGCAAAGGGCAGGCCGAAGTACGGCTGCGAGTACTGGTTGTTCGCCATGACGGGAGCTCGACGCGATCTGGTGCACGGTCGGGGCTGCCTCAATGCATCCGGCAGCAGGCGCGCGTCGTCGGGATCTAGATGGAGAAGCTGCGACTGGGTGTCCAAGGAGGGCGCGCTAGTTGGGCGCACGTGGTGGGGAGATGTAAAGGCAGGCGCGACGCAGAGAGTCCCAGTGCAAGTCGCAGAGGTGCAATTTGACGAGGCGGGATCGACGGCGGACATGGCGTCACGTGCAGATTGCTGGGATTGGCCCGTCGGGCTGTTGCCAGGGGCCTGAGCGTGCAGGCGTGGCACATGGGCGGGCTGTGTGTAAACAAAGTGCATGCAGCCGCCTCGAGCCAACTCCCACCGCGCACTGCGTCTCACTTCCTTTTTCAGAGCGCCGCCGTCTGGAGCTGCATCCTTGCACGTACCTTGATGCTGCATTGTGTTCCGCAGCCTCGTACCTTGACCTTTACTTTCCCCACATAATAATGCTGCGCGGCCCGTATCCTTAGCCACCACACACCCAGCACCGCCATGAGCGGGCCTGCTCAACGACGCAACAGCCCCTTCGCAAGGTCATGGAACTCGGCCACGCCGTTACCAGGGCCAGCGCCTAATCAACGACCACAGTCCACCATCGTCTCCTCGCCCTTCGCCGCCGAGCCGGAAGTCAAGATGGGGCACCTACGGCATCAGTCTCTCTCACACCTGAGCGGTCCAATATTTGGCCGCAGCGACTCGACACGGTCACGCGCGAGCACCATCCGGAACGGCACGCCCATGGGCACCTTCGCGCCGCAATTCATATCCGAAGACACCCAGGACACACCCAAACTCGGCGGCATAGTAGAAGGCGAGAATGACTTCTCCGGCAAGCGCTATGTCTGGCTTAGGGACCCCACTACGGCATTTGTTAGGGGCTGGGTTGTCGAAGAGCTGCCTGGCGGACGGCTGCTTGTCCAATGCGACGATGGCACCCAGCAAGAGGTCGACCCGGACACAGTCGACCCCGTCAACCCGGCCAAGTTCGACAAGGCGGGCGATATGGCAGAGCTCACACATCTGAACGAACCCTCGGTCATCCACAACCTCCACATGCGATATCAGGCGGATCTGATATATGTACGTCTCCATTGCCAGTACAGGGCGTCGCAACTGACTGTATACAGACTTACTCGGGCCTATTCTTGGTCACTGTCAACCCTTACTGCCCGCTGCCGATCTACTCGAGAGAATACATCAACATGTACCGGGGGCGGGGGAGAGAAGAGACAAAACCCCACATCTTCGCCATGGCAGACGAGGCTTTCCGGAATCTCGTCGACGAAGGCACCAATCAGAGCATTCTCGTGACGTGAGTTTCACGATCCAGTATTTGGCAAGCTATACTTACATAATTCAGCGGAGAATCTGGCGCTGGTAAGACCGAGAACACGAAAAAGGTCATTCAGTACTTGGCTGCAGTCGCAAACTCGGACACACCACGAGCGAGATCGGGAGGACGCAACATCTCCAATCTGTCGGAACAGATATTACGAGCGAATCCGATCCTCGAAGCCTTCGGAAACGCCCAAACCGTACGGAACAACAACTCGTCTCGTTTTGGAAAGTTTATCAGAATCGAGTTCACCCGAACTGGGCAGATCGCAGGTGCATACATCGACTGGTACTTACTCGAAAAGTCGCGAGTGGTGAGACTCAACTCCAATGAGCGCAATTATCACGTCTTCTATCAGCTGCTTCGTGGGGCAGATAGCACGATGAAGCAAGAATTCCTGCTGAGCGACAAGGACACCGAAGATTTCGACTACACAAAGCATGGCAACGACGCTATTTCTGGTGTTTCGGACCGCGACGAATGGAACGCCTTGATCGAAGCTTTCCACATCATGGGATTTACCGACAAAGAGCAGATCTCAATTCTCAAGACTGTCGCAGCCGTCTTACATCTCGGCAACATCAGGGCCATAAAGGAAAGCCGGCGAGCAGATCAAGCTGCACTCGATCCAGAAGCTACCGCACATACGCGGAAAGTGTGTCAACTGCTCGGCATACCGGTTGACGACTTCATCAAGGCACTGCTTCACCCTCGTGTCAAGGCTGGCCGAGAGTGGGTCGAGAAGGTGCAGACTCCCGAGCAAGTCAACCTTGGCATTGATGCTCTAGCCAAAGGTATCTATGAGCGTGGTTTCGGTGACCTTGTCGACCGAATCAATCGCCAGTTGGATCAAGCAGGTTCTGGTGGCGATGACTCCCGCTTCATCGGCGTTCTCGATATTGCAGGTTTCGAGATCTTTGACGAGAATAGCTTCGAACAACTTTGCATCAATTACACAAACGAGAAGCTGCAGCAGTTCTTCAACCACCACATGTTTGTGTTGGAACAAGAGGAATATGCGCGGGAGCAGATCGAGTGGAAGTTCATTGACTTCGGACGGGATCTTCAGCCGACCATCGACTTGATTGAACTACCCAATCCAATCGGTATATTCTCTTGCTTGGATGAAGACAGTGTTATGCCAAAAGCGACAGACAAGTCCTTCACCGAAAAACTCCATTCGTTGTGGGATCGCAAAAGCACAAAGTACAAACGCTCTCTTCTGGCACAAGGTTTTGTGCTCACTCACTATGCCGCTGAAGTTGAATACTCCACAGAAGGCTGGCTAGAGAAAAACAAAGACCCGCTGAACGACAACGTTACGCGCCTTCTGGCAGCTTCCATTGACAAACAAATTGCAACCCTCTTCGCAGACTGCGCAGAGCCGGATGATGGAATGGGAGGCGCTCGCAATCGCGTCAAGAAGGGTCTTTTCCGGACAGTCGCACAGCGCCACAAGGAACAGCTCTCAACACTGATGACCCAACTTCATTCCACACACCCTCATTTCGTGCGTTGTATACTTCCGAACCACAAGAAGCGACCAAAGCAATTCAGCGCCCCTCTGGTCCTTGATCAGCTCCGGTGCAACGGTGTGTTGGAGGGTATTCGAATTGCGCGCACAGGTTTTCCGAACAGATTGACGTTTGTTGAATTCCGACAACGATACGAGGTGCTCTGTAATGACCTCCCCAAAGGATACATTGAAGGACAATTGGTTGCAAAGATGATCTTGGAGAAGCTCAACTTGGACAAGGCTCTCTATCGCGTTGGTATCACCAAGGTGTTTTTCAGGGCTGGTGTTCTTGCTGAACTGGAGGACCAACGTGATGCTCTTATTCGAGATATCATGATTCACTTTCAATCCGTTGCTCGAGGCTTCATCCAGCGGCGACTCGCCCACAAACGCCTCTACCGCGCCGAGGCGACCCGTATCATCCAGCGCAACTTCCAGGTCTACCTGGATCTTCAAGCGGACCCATGGTGGAGGCTGTTCGCGCGCATGAGACCTCTGCTTGGTGCCACTCGCCAAGCCGCAGAGGTAAAGAAGCGTGACGAAATGATCCACGCCTTGGAGGAGAAGATGGAACACGAGGCCGCAGAGAAACAGCGAGTCGAAGATGAACGCAGAAGAGCTGAGATGGACATTCAACGCATTCAGAAGACACTTGAAAGCGAACGAGCTCTTGCACTGGACAAGGAAGAAATTTTCAAGCGTCTTCAATCGCGTGAGGCTGAACTGGCGGAGAAGTTAGCTGGTGCTATTGAAGATCAAGACAAGCTTGAAGATCAGTTGGACGAGTTGTTGGAAGCCAAGAAGCATATTGAAGATCAGGCCGAAGTCTGGAGTCAGGAGCTCGACCAAGCCGGCCAACTCATCAGCAACCTGGAGGGCGAGAAGCAGGATCTCGAGGAGCAGCTTTCCCACTTGGATCAGCAGCTACAAGCTTTGGAAGTTGCTCATTCACAGAGCAGCAAAGCGGAAGAAGCTTTGAACCAAGAGGTACAGCTGCTCAAGAGTCACCTGACTTTGAAAGAGAGAAAGGTCGAAGATCTGGAAGCAAAGCTCCTCAAGATTGATCAAGATCTGGACGTCAAGCTTGCAGCCTCCGTCAAAGAAGTGCAAGCGGGTAAGAAAGAGATTAGAGAGTTGGTCGACGAAAACCGCCAGATTCGGCAACAGCTTACCGACCTCTCCACAACCTCTACGAGTTTTGAAGATATCATCCGACGAAAAGAAAGCGAACTAGCCATCCTGAAAGTCGACCTCAGGACGTACGAGTCTGACCGTCGGACTTTCGACGCAGAAAAGCAAACGCTAGCCTCCAAACACGATGACCTACAAAGCCGATTGCGTGAGGCCAAGGCAGAACTGGATGCCATGCGCTCAAAAACACAGCAACTGGAGCGCGAGGCTGCCGATGCCAAAAGTCTTCTCGAGGAGAAGATATCTGAGGATGCACAGTACAGCGAAGGTCGCAAACTCGTAGAGCAACAGATCGAGGATCTCAAGACTGAGCTCTTCCAAGTACAGAAAGAACTCAGTCGAGAAAGACAATCGCGCGACGATGTTGAAATGCTTGGAGAGCACAGGTACGATACATTGAAGCGCGACTATGAAGCGCTGAACGAGTCGAAAATCACCATTGAGAAAGAGATGTATGCACAACAAGATATCTTGCGCCGAGCTACGGAATCCCGTACTTCACTCGAGAGCGAGCGAAAAGAGTATCAGGATGAGTTGCGCACCCTTCGCGAGCAATATCTCACATTGCAGGAAGAGAAGCTGAATGCCGACATCGAGGCGGAGCGCGCGCAGTCACGACTGGCTTCGGAGCGACAAGCCACCCAGCAACAAGATCTCGAGGAGAAGGATCAACAACTTGATCAACTCGAGGCAGAACGCAACGACCTCGCTGAGCAAGTTCACAACTTGACCCAGATGCTTGCTGAGTCTGATTCATTCAGAGATCGCAATGACCAGCAAAAAGAACGTCTGGAACGCGAACTGGTCACAATCAAGGGCAGGCTAACAGCATCGGAGAACGATAACCGTGCATTGCTCAACAAGGTGCAACAGAAGAACCTGGACATCGCACGATCCAACTCTCGCGCTGGAGAAACTCAACGTTCCAAAATTGTGCAACTTACAGCGGAGAAGGGGAAAGCGGAGGAAGAGAGCAAACGTTTGTTCCGCCAGCTTGAAGACTCTCAACTTACTATTGCCTCTTTGGAAAAGCAAAAGGAGAAATTGTCACTCAGTCTCGAGGACCTGAACCACGAAGTGACGAGAGAGCACAAGAGTAGTCGCAACGCGGAGATGGCTTCTTCCACAATCAACATCCAACTTGCGGACGTGAACCGCAAGCTTGAGACAGAAAGACAATTGCGCACGCAGGCTCAGGCAAACACGCGTGCGGTGCAGACGTCACTCGAAAACAGCAATAGCGAGCTGGAAGAATGTCACAGGCAGCTTGTCCTCCTGCGCAAAGTGTTCGATCCGGAATCTGCGGATGTAACCTTCACGTATGAGGCTGCCAAACCGGAGATCACCAAGGCTGTAGACATGGCGGAGCGCATCGAGGCTGCGAACCAAGCTCTTCGTGTAGCAACAGAACGATACTCGCGGGCCGAGGCTCAATTGGACGAACTCAGAGAAAGGCATGAGGGAGAACTTAACGACATGGATGCGCGTCATGCTAATTCGAAGCGTAACCTGTTGGAAGAGATGAACAGCAGCCAGGTGAACCAGGTGAACGCCCGTCGATCGCCTACACATGTGCGGAAGGACGGCGAAAACCGGATACCATTTTCAAGGACAAACACTCCTAACAACCAGCGTCACCTTAGTAATGATACCAACGAGTCTGCGCATTCCGATCATACCGTTGATACCGTTGCGTACAACAACCGCATGGATATGGCTGCCGAGCTTGAGCTAGTTCAGAACCAGCTGCAGATGTCTGAAATGCGCAACAAGCATTTGCAGGGCCAGATGGAGATGTCTCCCGCTCGCAATGCTTGGCAAGACGATAGCCCATCTGTTCGACGGGTTCAGAAGCTCGAGCGCGAAAACTATCGACTACACGACATGCTCGACGACTCTGCCAAGAAGGTGTCCACGTTGGAGCACAGTCTCCGCTCTGGACAGCTATCATACCAGGAAGTGCAAACCAAATCTCATGAAGAGCTTTTCGATCTGATTAATTCGCAAGAACATTCGCGGAAGTCAATCGTACAGGCACATAACGTTGCTCTCAACGAGCTTGCCGGTGCGAAAACCGCATTTGACGATATCAAGCAAGCCAAGGCCGCCCTGGAGATGGAACTTCGGGATATACAAATGGATTTCGATGACATGGCTATGGATCGAGAGCAAGAGCAAGCCAATCACAACCAACTCCTGCAGGAATTCGCTGATCTGCAGATACGACTAGACAATGAGACTTCTACTCTGGTTGACGTACAATCCAGCTTGAGCCTGTACAAGAGCAGGGCTGATGAGTACTTCAACAAACTCGAACAGGCGGAGATCGCAGTCTTGAAAGCTTCAAGAGCTGAGCAGTTTGCGAAAACTCAAGCTCGTGAAGCTGAGGAGACCTGCGCTACGATTATGGCCGAACGCAAGGAGATCGACGGCATGGTCGAGGACTTCCAAAGACAGGTCCAGCAGTATGAGGAGCGCGTCGAAGATCTCTCGACAGATCTAGAGACGGCATTGCAAGCCAAGAAGCGCCTCCAAAACGAGCTTGAGGACTACAGAGGCCAGCGTGCTCACGACATCGAAGACAATGAGTCGTCGCTCGAGCAGACGCGGAAGAAGTACCAGTCCGAGCTCTCGACACTGACGCACGAACTTGATCTGGAACGCGAGAACGTGATCTACGTGAAGACCCAAAATGGACAGCTGCGCGAGGAAATCGAAGCGATGAGGAGCAAATGGGATGATGAGGTTCTCAACTCGTCCACCTGGGCAAAGGAGAAGAGCCGTCTCGAGATGACGCTGCAGGTTATATCGAACTCCCGTGACGAAGCAGCGAACGCGCATAACGATGCTCAATCGAAGATCGTGAACCTATTGTCGCAGGTTCGCACACTCCGCACGAATGTCGATGATCTCGCTGCAGAGCGTGACTCGGCTATCGAAGAGAAGAGGCGCCTCGAGTCACGCCTACAAGAAGCAGCAAACGCACTTGAGGATCTTTCTCACTCCGAGTCTCCAGCCATGCGGCATGCTGCTTCCTACGACCGCGAGCTCCTAGAGGTGAAATCTGGTCTTGCTCAGCAGGAAGACATTGCTGCTGCTGCAGTTGGCAAGATGCGCCGGGCTGAGGCTCTGGCGCAAGAGCTGCAGAAGGACATTATTGCTGAAAGGGAAGCGAACGTTCAACTGCACAAGAGCAAGGCTTCCGTGGAGAAGAACTTGAAGGATCTTCAACTTCGTCTTGTGGACCTGGAAACCAAGGGATACAGCGGTTCTGCTGGAAAAGACGTCAGGTTTCTCCACGGACGAATCCAAGAGGTAAGCCATGCTGACTACCACCTATATTCAAGACATCGCTAACCGATACCTCAGCTCGAGCATGCCCTTGAAAATTCGGAGTCGACGCGCCTTGTCGAATCCCGCAGCGTCCGTAACGTCGACCGCACGGTCAAGGACCTTCAGACTCAGATCGAGCGTCGCGACAAGCAAAACGCTTCCATTACTGAGGACCTCAACAAATCTCGTGACAAGATCTCCAACCTCCTGGCTGCAATCGATGAACTCCAGTCCTCAGACTCAACGAATCAGCTCGCCGCTAAGCGCGCCGACCGCGAACTCCGTGAGGAAAAAGAGAAGAACCTACGTATTGAGCGTGAGCTTGAAGGTTGGAAGAACCTTCGTGCAGAGAGGAGAAGTGTGTTGGGTGTTCCCGGTGCTGCGGCGAGTGATGCAGGTGATGTGAGGAGCAGAAGGGGGAGCTCTATTGGGCTTGAATTTGGGGGAGTTCCCGCCAACGACAAAGGCAAATACGGGAGCGTCCGAAGTAACCTGCGTCGCGTCTCCGGCCAGAAGGGTTTTTTGTAGAGAATGGGATCTCTGAGGGGCGGAGAGTACGGAGGTCCCAGATGATGAGATTTGACAAGCTGCATCCGTGCATTGAGGAAGAAGAGGATGCAGAGGTGGAAGAGCCAGTCGAGCGATACGATGTTAAAGAGCCAGGTGTAATAGAGGGGTTGGATGGAGTTGGTGCTGGTGAAATTCCTGAGGGTTTTGAGGAGATCGAAGTGGAGATCTCGGATAGTGAGGGTGAGCGTGAAGACGGCAAGGGTTTGTGTGGGCTGGGACGGAAGAGGACTATAAGGTTGGTAATCCGATCTAGGGCGTTTCTGTGAGGGTTTGGGATACCAATGTCCTTTGCACGGCGTTACGCATACGAATTGGCTTTGGGCCTGGTAGCCTGGATGTTGTTGGCCCTGAGGGTCAGGGGATTGATTGTATATGATTCATGAGTATAATATCTGCTGCGACGTTTGTTTGGACGGAAACGTGTTGAGGTGGACGATTGTTTTAATATACCTTGTTTGTCTGTGGATGGTTGACAAGGACTTCTTGTGAATGTGAAAGTGAATTGAACCTTGCGTGGACGATGGGACTTGAACATTACTAAACCTACCCATCAAGTATGACAGTTGCACCTGGCTGGATGATTACTCCCAGAGTATATTACACATTCAACAATTGGCCAAGCTGCATCAAACACAATTCCAAATGTGAGTTTCAACGGTTGTACATATATCATACCCATCCCAATCGAGTGCAGCTGAGGCCATCTTCGTTCACACGACCATCTCACACTCTTACTGCGGAAACATCCCCCCATCAACACAAATCACTTTATTCGTCACGTAACCCGTCTTGATCATCCACAGCACCGTCTCTGCAATCTCGTCAGGAGTTCCCAACCTGCCCAGTGGAATCTCTGCAGTAACCCGTCAGCTCGACGTTCGAACTTCCTCATACTCCATAGATTGACGTACTCTTTGACAACTCTTCACTACTCCCAGGGAGCATCTTCGTCTGCTCAATAAGCGCAGGCGCGATTCCATTCACTGTTACACCCTTCTTCGCATACGCATTCGCAAGCCAATGTATCAAGCCATGAAGCGCAGATTTCGAGGATCTATTCCCGTTAGCCCATCCCCCAATTCTCTTCCACCATCTCCAGAAGTTGGGAATAACTCACGCATAATGCGGCCCTACAATCCCACCCGTCAGACCCGCAACACTGCTCACGAAAATCACTCTCCCCCAGCCGCTTTCCTCCATAGCCGGAATGCATAGCTGTGTGAGTAGATACGCGGACCCGCAGTTGACGCGCCATGTGCGTTCGAAGTCCTCAATGGGGACGTCAGCAACGGATTTCACGCCTGAGAGTCCGAGGGTGGAACCAGCATTGTTGATCAGGATTGTTGGATGGCCGAGGGTAGAGACCACGTTCGTGTGGAGTTCGCGGACCTGTGAGTGTTGGTATGGTGAGGTAGTAGAAAGATCATGGGGGTAGAATGTGTGGATGTACTTGATCATAGTCCCCCATATCTGCCTTGAATGACATAAAGTTACGGTTGAGTTCATGAGGATGCTTTTTTTGCAGCTCGTTCTTCAGAAGGGTTGCGGTTTCGACGTCACTGTTGTAATGGAGTGCAATGCGACACCCTAGACTGGCAAGTAGACGTGATGTCGCACTCCCGATACCACCTGTTGAGCCGGTGATGAGGGCCAGCTGACCATCGAGAGGGGGTTTTGACGATGAGGTTGACATTCTAGGAAAGTGACAGAAGATAGTAAGGATCTTAAAGAATTCAAATGGTGCGTGAGAGCTGTGGAGTAAATCTACAGGTCAGCACTGGATATAGTACATATGGATGAGATGAGGTGTGTTGTAAACAGCGATGATGCAATAGTACTTCGGAAATAAGGGAGGAAGTTTTAACCGAGTTGTCTATCAAAACAGCAAAGACGGCTTTACATATTTATCTTGAAACCTGGGAGAGTGGTGTGGACGCTAAGATGATGCACAAGGTGTGGTGATTTCGTTGTCGCCTGGCCCTCCGTGATTTGTATCTTGTATCTCAAGTCCAGAAAGACCAAACTCGACAGTAGAGTTGCCTCATCAGACCTAAGATTTGTCTGATAGGAGACATCTTACATGTCTGCTTCGTATATACTTCGTACACCTCAGGATATGGTACACAGCCCATACAAATCTACAACTCGTTGGAGATGCGTCTATGCTCGAATCGAATCCAAGACACCTTTTGACCATCCTCATCCTAACCTCGCAGTGTCCGGCTCGCTTCCCCCTTTCATCTGCTGTGCTCCAAGTGCTTTATCTTTCTGTGCTCAGAAGCAGAAGACTTGGTCCTCAAGCTTGCTGACGGCCCTCGCCTTTGCGAAACCCAGGCTCTCTGTCGCCTTCTTCATCGCAGAAACCATAGGTGGTGGCTAGAAACCAAATCAGCTTGAAAGTTATTTGAGCTCAAATATGATAGACTTACGCCGCAGATCAAAACCTTGACATCGCTAGCAGGAGCAGGGAGCTTCTGCGAAATCATATCCTCAGTGACAAAACCAACACCACCGGTCCAGCCCTCGGGCGGGTTGTTGAGAACGTAGTGCACCCTGAACTTAGGATCCTTAGCCGCCAGTGCGTCAAGGTCGTCCTTGAGCAGGATATCCTCAGGGTTGACGTTCGCAAAGAGGAGGTCGACCTCTGTCCTGTCGCCAGCCGCGCGACCGCGAATGATAGCTTTGACGACCTGAAGCATGGGTGTGATTCCGGTTCCTCCAGCAATCATACCAAAATGTCTAACCATGTTGGGTGTGTATACCATGGCGCCCTTGGGGCCCTTGACCTTCATCACATCGCCAATATTGAGGTTGGCGACATGCTTGGAGATGTTTCCAGTGGGATATGCCTTGATGAGGAGATCAAAGTGACCCTTATCGTGATCGGAGGATGTCGGGGTGTATGAGCGAACGACTTCTTTGGGCTGGCCAGCGATGGTGGCGGCAAGGGAGATGTGCTGGCCGATGGGGAGACCGAGAATATCGCTCTCGCGGGGAAGCTTGAATCGGTAGCTATGTACGTTAGCCCTGTCTACCATGCTGTCCCATAGTACCTACACGGCGGTGTTGTGCGAGAGAACCGTCTTCTCTGCAAGCTTGAACTCCTGGAACTCGGTGGGCTTCAGCACTTTACGGGATCCTGACGGAGTTAGTTTGTAGCCTTTGTTATTTCTGAACCAGCACATCTTACCGCCACCAGTGGTGCTATAGACAGCAAAGCCAATGGCTATCGCCGCAAGCGCTACGATGTAGGGCAGATAGTCTCTGTCGTCAATGTTTTAGCTATAACCTTAGAGAAGTGTACACATTGTCGACATACGTTACGGAAGACATTGCGAACAGAGCTGGAGTGACAGCAAACAACAACCAAGCTCTGGAGAAGATGTGAACGCGAATTGATGAGCCTCCAGGAACAGGGGAGCAGGAGTCGTCGTGTGGGGTTGTAACAGTTGAACCACGTTCGGAGAATACTCGCGGCGAAAAGATTCCGGCCCCGAGAAACGGGCTTGGCAGGGTTCAGATATCTCAACAATCAAAGCCGCACATGCAATTGAAGACACCAGTCAATTTCGCAGCAAGAATCTAGGGAAACTTGAGATTAGTGGACTTGTTACAGGCCAGATGCGACGCTTAGGGCGCGTTGAAGCTCTTGCATCTCAGAGAGGTGAACCCGCTAAATGTCCCCAGACTAACGGAACTTGCCGTTCTCCAACTACCTTAAATTTTTCTTCTGACCTTGTCTTCACACCTACACAACGCGCAACAACGACCACACAACATGCGCGCCTCGACAAGCAGTGTCTCGCTATAAGTTCATCAGAGAATATGGACGACGGCGACAGCTCACTCTGAGCCTCTCACGCTCCCTGATTCTATCTCGTAGCTTCCACTGCGGCTTCCTTCTCGGCAGTAGAGTTTTGCCTGCCGTTTACTGACCCTCTCCCACATCAAGACCTTGGTGTCATCTGATTCTATAGTTCTTCTGCACTACCTCTTCGTGCATCTATGTCTGCCGAGTTTTACCTCGAGCGCAATAACACTCCTTAGGCCGCAACTAAATATTGCCAGGACTGCATTTCCATGTCCTGGTAACATTGTACTTGCGGCAGAACAATATTCGTCTCATACTAGAGCGCCCAGGCTTATTCAATGCCACTGCGTGTAATTGGAACGATACATACGTGAATCTGTTGAGATGACTGATGTTGAATACGCAAAAGTGATTGACCATTCCTACAGCGCGTTGCTTGGATTGTAGTTTTTCCAATAATTGAGAGCAAGTATCTCACAGCGAAGACAAGCGCGTCGGTCCATTAATAAATGCGAGCCCAAAAGTTATCTCCAGACTCCGCACGTTGGCCGAATCGTTTAATGATGCTATCGATATTTTCCTGTTTATAAAGACAAAATTCCATGGTCTTTGCGATTTTGGTCGTATGGAAATTATCAAGTACCCATATTCTTAGCTTACGTCTATTACCATTTGTTCCCACAACCCTATCCACTCATAATCTTCCTCACCTTTGCTCGATTAGCCCTCACCCTCCTCATCCTGAGCCATGCCACCACCCCATTAACCGTAAACGGTTCAATATCCAGTATCTGCTCCACGAAAACAGGCGATCCCATCTTCGTCGAGTAGACGGCAAGAACCTGTGCGACTTTCTGTCTGGCTTCGACCGACCCTGCAAAAGGGGTGTCGTCAATGCTAGGCTCGGGGGAGCGAGATGTAAGTATCGACCATGTAAGACCCATGTTGGAGTTGTCCCTGCTATTGAGAATGGAATGCAGATACTTTGCTTCACATGTGGTGTGTCGGAATATTGAGTAAATATATTTATTATGTCTGGGATGCGTTTGCCAAAGTCAACGTAGCAGTAAATAGATACGTGTGTGAAAACTCATTGATCTACTGTCCATTCCATTCACTTCCTCGTCACCTGCTTTTCATCACCACGCGTCAATCCGTCCACATGCTAATAAGCTTCTTCTACGTTTAGGTCACGAAAATCATGAAATATCTACATCTTTCCAAGGCACGAGCAAACAGCCAAAAGATCAGTCGATAGGAGCGAGGAATAGTACGCGATAGCGATGGGACTTTTATTAAGTGCTGTTGAGGGGGGAAGGGGGAGGATACTGAACCGCTCTCCAAGACACCAGATCATTGCAAGCCAGCGACAATGAGGACATCTTGAGAGAGTACATGATAGCTAGGCCGTGAAAACCAACAAAAACAACAAATCCAATCAAAATGTGAAGCCTAAGCCATCAAGTCGCTGTAAGGACAGGATATTGTCCCGCTCCAGATATGCCGTATGAGGAGCCTGCAATGCCCGTCTAAATGAATCCGAGCCCCAACAAGAAAAGGAAATGTGGAAAATGAAAAACACCGGGGATATACCTAACATTGCTTGCTCACCATGCAGAATCATCTCCTCTCGATATACCATTCCATGCACAGACCAGTTCACAGCGCCGTACTGCCTGTGCCACAGCCTTGCGCAGTCTTGTCAGACAAGCCCCACCCAACCTGGATCATTGAAAGAAACAGCAAGGATTACAAAGACGCACAGTCGTAACATGAACAGAGCCCCATTCATACCAGCCTGTCCGATCGATCTAACCTCCTCGGTTTCCGAAAAATGAGCAGAACGAATCGTTGAGCGGAGACAGTCGCCGTAGAACAAAAAGAAAACGCAAACGCAACCTCTTCAACGCCAGCTCCTGACAAACCCAGTAAGCAGACAAACAACGCACAAAGGGGAATCATCGCTGTATGCTGGAAATAAGGTCCATGTCCCACGGACACTACAGCCCCGAAGGAGGTTCCGCGCCAATACCATGCCCTTGCTCAAATAGAGAAACGAAACGAGATCCAAACCAAAACAAACAAGCAAAAACACCTCGCAATGACTGAAATGACAGAAGATAGCGCAACAAAGATGAAGCACACGTGTCGTAGATGCGCAATGATCGATGCTCCCCCAAACTCCTAGATCGTCATTCATAACGGCGTAGCAGACACAACCATCCTCTTCAACGTCCCATCATGTATGGGGAGTAGTTTCCTCCCATGTTCCCATAGCCGTTGCTAGGAACACTCGTAGTCAAGGGTTGACGTAGAGGGCTACCCATGTCGTTCGCAGGCATGCCATACCCACCGTTTGAGTACGTTCTGAAGCCAGATGAACCACTGGAATGAACAGGGCTTGACAACCCCGGAGGAGCTGATAGTCCAGGCGGGGGGCCGCTGGCCGTGGCAAAGCCTGGCGGGGCTCCGCCGTTATTGCCAAATCCTGATAGCGGAGTGGTGGGCGTGGGGCTCGAAGGACCCATGCTAGAGTGCTGTCCGCTGCGTACGCCAAGAGGGTTCTTGGAGAAACTCAACCGAATGCCGCCCTTGACGCTGTTGTGCAACATGTACCCGTAGAGCTCATTCAAAGCCTTGGTAGCAAAAGAGGTATCTTCGAACTCGACAAAGCACATGGGACCATTCTGTTTAGTCCGGAAGCACAGACGCTTGTACCCACGCTGTTTGGAGAAAACAGCTTTTAGTTCATCTTCGGAGGTGTCCATGGGCAAATTGCCAACATACAACGTGTTGCACGGTGGATTCTGATCTGCAGGGTTCACCGGTGGATACGTGGGCCTCGCGAAATGCTGTGAGTATTGTTGAAAGCCTGTGTTTGGTCCGCTGCTCATGACAGATGGCAAGGTATGAGGAGACATGGTGGCCATGACCGTTCCGGGCGACTGCATAGTGGCTGCAGAGCGGGGGGAGGCATAGCCTGGCAATGGAGGGGAGCTCATGCCATTTACACTATTCGTGTTGAGGGACAAAGATGCAAAGCGGGAGATGGGCATAGACGGGTTTGGCTGCGTGGCCCTGCGCGGCATGCTCGACTGCATGGGAGGCCCGCCCATGGCATAGTCGATTGACTCGTTGAGAAGGCCGTCAACGTCGTCAGCCTCGTCGTTGATGACTGATTTGCCCAGGTTGCGGCTGGCGAACGAAGTGCTCATGGGTGACGTCGGCGAGAAAAGGTTCTGCGCCGGGAATTCTCCGTTGCCAAGACCTGGGGTCCCGTTTGGTGGGGACATCTTCTCCATATTTTGGAAGGTCCCGTTGTATCGCGATGCTTGTCGGCCGTTCGCAGTAGCACTGGCGATCCCGGCTGCAATAGGCCCTTGTCGCGCAGATGCGCTGTCAACCGTGTTGCGCCGCGATCCGAAGGCTGCGGGCAGGCTGTCCTGCACCAGCTCGACTATGAGGGCTGCATCGTTGGTAGCGTTGCGCTTACCGTTGAGGAGATCTCGCGCCTCTTTTGCGCCCTCGAAGGTTTGGAATTGGGCAATTGCACACGCGAAGCCTTTGTCGTCGGGGAGCCTGGATTGGGGCACGAGCTCGCAGTCGACAAAGTCCTTTGCGAAGAGCAGGATGTTGCGCACGGCGTCACGGTCGCTGTTGCTCGGCAGCTTGCGCAGGAAGATGGCATGGCGGCTCTTGGGGTCGGGGCTGGTCTGGGCATCGCGGAGGGCGAGCAGCGAGAAGCCGTTCTTCTCCATCTGTCTGCGCTCGCCGATGGGGCCGGGCATGCCGTACATGTGGGAGGCCGAGAAGACGTCTGCCGTCATGGTGTTGTGCGGGGAGAAGGGGTTTGGCGGCGACGACGACGTGGAGCTGCTGAGCGAGCCGTGGGGGAAGGGGCTGTTGGAGAGGTTCGACGGACTGGTGCTGGTCGGACTGGGCCCACGGGCCATGCTTTCCTGGGTCGTTCGTTGCGGAGCGGCGGCGGCGGGGGTCGACGAGCAAAGAGGTGCGTCGGGGCGGCGAGGGGGCAGGCGGGCGCGTGGGTGCGTAAGATCGGGGCGATTAGTTGGCGCAAGTGGCAGGTTGCAGTCGCAGGCTGGGCGATTGGCGCACTGCACGGTCAGACAGAAGCGTCGGTGTGGAGAGCGGGCTGCAGGCGTGCGGACAGCCGTGGCGGAAGGGACGGGGCAGCCGTCGGATTGGCGGTTGCCGGGGCGGCGTTGGCGGGCAGTCGTGTGCGGCGCGCGACCAGGACCAGAGCAGAGCAAGCGACGAGGGCGAGGACGGCGTCAGGCCGACGGGGGGCAGCGCGGTGCGAGATATGAGGCCGGCTGTGGCAGCGGTAGATGCAGCGAGAGGCAGGTGGGCGCTAGCAGCGAGAGATTGTGCATGCAGCCGTGGTGGGCGTCGTGATTGGGAATCTGTCGCCAGAAAAGCGTGGGCAAGGCCAATGGCGCGAGGGGTGTTGGGCGTTGGACTCGAGGCACGGCGAACCAATGGGGCGCGCGCTCAGGCGGCGACGAGAGGGCAGCAGCAGGACACGGCAGCGGCACTGGCAATGGGCATCTGAGGTGCGCGTCTGGGAGGGAGCGGCACGGTACGCACGACGGACGACGCAGAGACGGAGGGCGGACGAGGGCTGCGGTGGGTGTAGAGGGAGTGAATCTGGTGGGTTTGGCGGACGGGCGGTGCTACTAAAGTGATAGCACGCCAGGAAGGCGCGTTGGGATCAGCGGCCAGCCCTGAGCCCATTTGCTGCCTGTGCGAGCTCCAGCGTCCAGAGTATGGCTATGCTATGTACCGTGGCACTGCACCGTGATAGCGCTGTCCTCTTATTGTCCGCTCTCCTTCATAGTTCCCTCTGGCCTTCGTGTCCTGCGTGCTTGCTTGCTCCATCGATACATCTATACATACATCTACCCGTCCCTCCATCCGCCCATCCGTCCATCCTTCTGCCTTGCATTCCCCACGTCGTGCTCACTTGGCTACACTCGCTGCTTACTGCCCACCCACCCACTCTACCACCACAGCATAGCTGATTCTCTCACTGCCGGGCTGCCTGCCTGCTGATCATCACCGACCACAACGTGGGACTCACACGTCTCCTGGCAGTTGCTACCGAGCTGCCGTGTCTTATCCGCGATCCCATGTATGCCCCAACCCCACCCATGTTTTTTCTGCACACACCACCCTCGCACACGCCAGTCGACGCCAGCCATCGCAAGCGGCATTTCGCGGCTGCAGTCGACGCTCATCACACGCAAGTCGGTCCTCCTCCGTGCCTACACAACCTCGCTCGTGGGTCCCTAGCGCTGGCGCTGGCTCAACGCCGCGTGTGGAAGCCATCATCGGCGGCCGTCTTCGTGACCGCATGCCCAATCCCGGCCCCTTGGTACTCAGCACCTACTGCCCATGCATCCAATCGTCGTCGCGGGCCTGAGGTGCATATCATCTCCCACGACGCCAACACTAGGTGGACGCCAGGTCGTGGATGTCTTTCTCAGCCCAGTTCTCTGCCCATAGAACACATGTTCCTCGGTCGAACTCGCACCACCACACTTTTGACATTGAACAGCCTAGGTGCTTACTAGACCTGCAAAACACAGTCAGGCCCAACAAACCTCCGAACCCGCTCGCCGTTTGCGCGTTCCAAGGTTCAAAGTCAGCCTTTGAACCAGGCAATAAATTGCACAGCGAGGTTCGTACCTGCCAATCACGGCAACTACCAGGAAAACTATCGGCTTGCCGATGCTACCCCCCGGCTAACGTCGGAAACCAAGTCTCTGTGCTCTGGCCTTTTGGGTGAATCATAAGTGGATGAGTCGTCCGAATTGCTCGTGTTCCTTTCATCGCTAACACGCCAGAGGAGCACATGGACATAGCGGACATAGTTGCAGAATTTGGCAAGCAACTTGACGCCACACATTCCACCCTATCATGCACCAGGTCCAATCAACAAGTAATACGAGCGTATCTAGTGAATACCTTGTACCATCCCAGTCACACATGTCGCTTCTCGCACCCATACAATCGCCCTTTTTGCGCCTGCTTGACGCCGCCACGTGGATGCATTCACGTTACAGGCGCTCCATCACATTGTCCTCCCGTGCCGTGTAACAGTCAGTAGCCAGGCCATTGGATACGCACGGCCCTTCCGGCTCTTGTCGAGATCGGTCCGCCAATTCTTTCATCACACCTACACAGGAATCAACGTTGGGCTCCTAGATAGGAAATGGAGTATGTCTCATCACGATTGCGCTATTCTTCGTGTCATCATGATATGATTCGTCACACAGTCTTGTAACAAGTGTCTGAGAGCACAGTCCAGCTGACATGTTGTTCTCTCCTCCTAATAGTACAACAGTCTTCGAAAGATTCAGGCTCCAGTCGCAAGTCATCGAGGGCACGTTTCATTCGGTAACAGCAGTTACAGCCATGGCCAATGACTCTCGGTCTCTTGGTATACGTTGTCACATCATCTCACAATTCTGACGCCTCTCTTCTTCGGCCTTTCAAATCAGCAATACCTACTCCCCTGAGAGATTCACCGGACCTTCTGTCTCGTCAAACCGCCATCATAATTCCGGTTGGCTTTGTGACATCCGTGATTGGTCAAACTGGTCACGGAACGCAAAGCCCACCCAACCAAATCCAATGACAAGATCAACAAGTCTGTCTCCAAAGTTACTATGGAACACATTTCATCAACAGCCCCTATCCTTGTGTATGCATTGATTAGGTGCACATGCGATATGTGACCCAGCTTTCAGGCACACAAGGCATCTACATGATAGATCTTGGTATGCAACACCAACAACAAGGTGTAAATTTTTGCGCGGAAAAATCTTGAACATGCGATATGGAGCGTTTACACTCTCGGAGGTCACGGAAAGCTGAGATACTCGCTTAGCAGCATCATACCAGGCTGACCTTGAACTGCCTACAGATATGCGGGGAGTTACAAGGTTGACATTGGCGTTTTCAAGCCAGGGCGACACGGTGATTTCTCACCAAAAGCGGTGCCCGCATTCGTTTCCCGGTTCCCCTCTTCCAGCTGTCGAGCAAAGACGTCGGCGACAATGATCCACACAACCAAACGGCACTGCATATCATCTCGCTAACGAGTCTAGTGACTCTACGAGTCAGGGGAATGTAGAAGTTCTACGCTTGGAACCGAAGATCCGCAGGACTAACTCCGGTTCTGACTATTGGCTGTGTATGCTCCACCATCTCTCCACCACAAAAAGTACCCTTCAATCCCAGCATACGATTATGGAAAACAAAAACGAGTTCTTGTTATCATTATTACCAGGTCAACAAGCGCCGTCAGTAGACGCTGATTTCGCTTGACGCCCTGAGAGGCATTTGGTTTACTACAACGGCGACTTCGCGGCGACTTCGTTACAAGTGAGTGACCGATCAAGCTAGTTCTTAGCTCAACTTAGTGCATGCGTCGCTAGCCCATCAACGTCAGACCGTTGGGCAGGACCGCCATGGCGGGGAGTTTGCGGATCGCAGGTTCAACCTTCATTCCAAGAGCTGACCTGTCAAATCGCCGAAACCTAATTTTTTTCTTCTTTGATCAGCATATTTTTGTCGAGTTTCATGATCAGGTGAGTATTAGTGCATGCGGGCTGGCGATACACGAGTACCGGCATGAGGTTGGACAAAGAACCTCCCTTGCTGGAAAGCGGGCGAACAGCCGGTGTTGAGAGACCCCTGCCGGACTGTGTGGCTTTACACATTTAGGCTGAAACCTCCAAACACCGTAGGAAAGACTCGAGGCTACTCTCTTCATTGCATCATTAGAGCTTTATCTCTTGGATACGACATTCTTACACTTGTACTTGCGGCCAAGCCCGATGTGTTAAGTTCAAACACACCTCCTTCACATCATGCAACGATGGCTCTTCATTGGGGGCTCGTGATCTTTATGTTTTCCTTCGATATTCATAGAATGATTGGTTTCGTGAATGGAATATATTTACCTCATGTTGGGTTGGTTGCGCGCTTACACTACGCACTCTGCGGATTTTGCGTTTCACACAAAACGTCTACCAACTGCCGTTTGCTAATAGGCCTCTTAGGGCTGTACTTTCCACGACAGCCGTACACTCAGGAATTCCTTCTCGTACTCTTCTGTACTTGCGTCATGCTCAATTTCTCGGCTTCAGCCTGAATGGCTCGAGCGAACGGTCAGTCCAATGCCACAACGGAGAGCTCTATCTCAAGAAAAATTGCGTTCTATGTCACCCATGTGTTGATAGTGCGTAGAAGTGTCTTAAAGGAAATACTATTACACCTGTCGCTGTTGCGAGCGTTCAACTCCAAGCCTTCTTTTACTCTATGAGACGTAGATCTTCGTTGCAACAAGTTGCTGTACGTTGCACGATTTACTGCAAACGCGGTTGATTGCAAGCAGGAAAAACATGTCCTGTGTCTTTTTGAGATAACCAGACTCAAGACTTCTAACATCTAAGCCCCCAACTATCAGATTGGAGTTCAGCCGACGTCATTCCCCTCGTTTCCTCATTGGGTGTTCTTGCATAACCGACCCGCAATCAGCAAGGCAGAAGCTCACCGGTCGTACCCACAGTGTCTGGTCAAGAAGTCTTCACTCCGCTTTGCACGATAACTTCTCTCTGGAAACGACCATCGAAGTAGTCATGTCAGCCACTTTGCAACAGCTGAAAAGCATGGCTGCAAAAATCCAAAAAGCAGTCATACTTGGACTGTACTTCATTATGATGTACGGGCTCTTCATTTTGATGTTGGGCATAAGTTCGCCTTCGGACAAGAAATCGGCCCAGATGAAAGATGATGATATCGACCGATCTGGAGGACAGCAAAACCACGCATCCAGCCAGTATCGTTGGTCTCCCAAGCGACTCTTCCAGAACAGTAAGGTCGCACAAGACTTCTGCGCACAAAATTCGTTCTGGATACCTCTACTAAGCGTAACGTTCACCACCCTCTTTGCTTTCCAATCCCTTGAAGACGAACAATTCCCGTTTAAAGACACCAACCTGTTCCAAGAAGGTTGCCCAGCAGATGGCCGCAGAACCCCAACTGGGGCTCTTGTCAAATTGTTTGCCGCAAGCATTACAACAATCGGAATTCATGGGCATCTCGGCTCTCTGGCTGGCTCGGGATCCTGGAGACGCGAACTTCTCCGCGCACTTGAAACAATCCTCAGTCCATTAGCATCGCTCTTTCAACTTGCCAGTACATTGTGGACCGAAATTGCAAATCTGCCGTCTCCTCGTCATCCAACATGGAATATGAACATAGGATTTCGGTATCGGCTGGCTCGGATGTGCTGGTGTCGTGTCGATATGTCTTCCTCCGATGTGCCACCTTATCTGGGTGTTGTCAATCTGGTGCATATCCAGAAGAAATCCAAAGTAAGAGATTTGAAGTGGTTCGGCCGGATGTGTATTCTGGTCATCCTGTTTGCGCAGTATGTTCAGGCCGCAATTCTACTTACACGCCGTATTATGGCGGATGCGGCATCGACCATCGACCTGGCCATGTCTTTCATGGTGTTGTCGGGACTGGTCGGGCTTAGCCAGTCTCTCATCATCTCTCTCGTCAATGTATCCTGGACACTGGACCCGAACTTCGTACCATGCGTAAAGAGTGCTTGTCGCATTCCAGACTGCATTGCATATAAGGCCAGCCAATCGCTGCCCAACGATGTGTTTCATGTTATCGTTTTTGGATATAACATAACCTCTATCCCACGAAGCGTCCGAATGATGGTGGCAGGCGGCTATTTACAGTTTGATATAACCCAGCACAATCACCATCCCTTCTGGACGGTTCTTCTCGCTTTGATGGGGCTCCAGTTTATCTGGCGAACGTCTGTCGAGCACCTAGTATTTGCAGATAGTATAGCCAATGTCTTCCACGACGGTTTCGAGAAACATAAACCTACTGGCGCCGAGAACGATGGTTCGCTTCACTTGCTCTCGGTCGGAGACTCTACTCTTCCTGACCACGCGGGCTCGCCTGTCCCATCTTCTGAGACGCCCCAGACCACCGATCATGCGAGTCCACGGGGTAGCAAGGACACATCGTTACCGTTGTCCGAAACGCCTCCTGTCTCTGACCACCCCAACTCATCATCAGAAATCCCAGACCCAGCATGGTCAATCTCGACCATCCTCATAGATGGTCTCTTGTTTTTATTCGGCATTATAATGATCTTGTTCAGCTTGTTTGTATTTCTGTACCAAACATTTTTTGTCCTCTTTCCTTTCGTTGATTTGTGTGTACGAATAACACTAGAGTTGCGTATCTGGGGAGAGTGGAATATCGAAAAGCCGTGCCCACAGCTATGGAAGGATTGGCTTGAGGATGAGCTTTGGTGGCTTTGACTTGCTATCACGAATGCCAAAAGTGTGAGCTACCACGCACAAGATTTCACACGACCTCGTTGTGTAACTCTCGAAGAGAGCGGTAAAGTCGGCGTAGTCTATCTAGGTCGATTTTGGAAATCAAGCAAAAAGAACAACGGACCTGCCTTTGGCGTAATTTCAGCCGTAGATGTGCCATGGTTGCTGAAAACCCTAACTGCAGCTTTTGCAGGATTGGTTTTATCACGAGATCGAACTTGCAACCCTCGTCTAACTTAATAGGTAGGTATCGGCCCAATCCCGCCAAGCGAGTTTTCCAAGTCGCTTGGATTGATGAGAGAGAGCAGAACTTTGGGGCATATATTGGCGACGTGGATTAGGAACTCCATGGGGGTAAGAGGCGGAACTTTGGGGAGGGGAGAGAGGAGAAGGACGGGATAAGTGGTGAAAGAAAGTGTTTTGGGGAAATATGTCGTGGGGCCTGTGGGTCCCAGGGACTGAGAAGTTGCTTTCACTGACGGATTTCAAAGTCTGCGCATGACGAATTGTTAGGCATGTGTCATTAACATACAACGAGTAGCAAACGAGGAGAGATAATAAATATGTCACCTTGTTAACCTCTTCACTTTTTCCCATACACCCTACTCTCTCTCTCAAGAACAGTGAACCCAGACATGTTCCCACGACCCCGTCGAGACAATACAGCCCTTCCTAAACCCTTGCCAGAAAACACCGCAACACGCGAATACTACGGCGTCTCAGAGGACGACGCCCCACAATCCATTCACGATGACATCGATTACCCTGAATCCTCCGCGTCGCCCGGTCACCAGTCTATTCCATCGCCGGGCGATAAACACACTCGTGACAACCTAATGTTATCTAGAGATGAAAATGCGCCTGAGAAGACGACAAGTCCAACGCCCAGTCTTACAGCTAGTGATGTAGTGCTGGGTGCGGATCTGGAGGACTTTGCGGCGATGAGTAAGTATGAAGCGGAGACGAGGGGTACATTGAGTGAGGGGGAGAGGAAGAGGGTGTTGACGGAGATGCAGGAGAAGAGGAGGAAGGCGAGGGAAGAGAGAAGAGAGAAGGAAGCGAAGAAGGCGGAACAGGGGGAGGAGGCCCAATTGGAGAAGGGATCGCAGATGAACATGCAGGGTAGCCGACCATCGGCGGCAGAGAAGTAGGTATTGAGTTAACGGAATGAGGAATGTGGAATGTGATTGAGGTAGAAAAATGTGCAAGCTGTCCCTCATTATTTCTATGTCATGCGTGAGGAATATATACTCATTTGATGTTGATGATTTGTAGGTTAACTAATACTTACACCTGCCTTAACATCTCTACTGCAGGGTTTTCTTTTGTTAATCAAAGCGACAGAAACATAGCACGGTGGCTTCTATAACTTAGGAACATAATGTAGAGCGTCTCGTTGAAGTGCCTCAAAAATGTCTACTTTGGATTTGCCTTGAACTCTGTACCGAGTACAAGAATCATCTCAATATAGTAAGAGTAATCAAAGTTTGGAAACGTTTGAGAGGAAGCGGTCGAACTGATATACGGAGCTGTGAAAAGACATCGTTCTGAAGTGAGGAGCTTCATCACGTGGCCGCTAATTAGACCCGCGCTAGTGAGAAAAGTCGCTTCATATTCGAGCTCCACGTTCTGAACTCCAGACAACACCCACCACAAGCCAACACTCGTTTTCCGCGCTCTCTTCTGTTCTCTGTACACTACTTCTTCAATGCGATAGCATTGACTCGCTTCCACAATGCCTCCGCGGTTGCGCTCCCCCAAGTTCTCCTCACCAATCGCTCAATGTCCCTACTCGTCTGTCCGATCCCAAACCATCTCACAACCAGCGCGTTCATCGCGTGAATTCTCACAAACACCATGCCAACAAGTAACATTACGGCGGCGGAAGTTTTATGAGTGGATGAATGGTCCTGGCAGAGCTTTGAAAGAGCCTCTGCCGGGGTCGACAAATTACTTGGGAGCGTACGATAAGTACGGGAACCTGGTGCGAGCGGGACCGGGATGGCAACGAGGAGCAGCGAAGAAGGAAGGTCAGGATGCAGAGGCACAACCAGAGGCCAAGGAAGAGAAGCCGGAGGCGGAGAAGATGCTTGAGGGGCAAGAGTCGCTCGATGAGCTGGAAGCAGCAATACGTTCTGAGGGCGCTCAAGAAAAGGATGCCAAACCAGGGAAAGAAGAAGATGATGGGAAGCTAGGGCCAGAAACAGCAGAAGACCTGCGGCCTTTTCCGCTCAATCAGTATTTTCGAAGTCAGCCTGTGCTCAGCGAAGACCTGCGAGAGGCCATTTACAATCGCGTTAAGAAGGACGGTGTAACAGTATCGCTCGCCAGTGTTGAGTTCGGAGTCAGCAACGAGCGTGTCGGCGCCGTCGTGCGGCTCAAGCAGATGGAGAAGGAATGGGTTGCGCAGGTATGTTCATCAATTTTTCTTTTCTTCCTACCCCCGCCCTTGACATGATGAGACCTTGAAAAATTCGATTAGTCTTTAAGACACCTACATGGTTACAAAACACAAGCTATGCTCTTGCTGAACGTCATCAACACTCTGCTTCTTGATAGCATTACAATATGGGCGACTTGAACTGACAGTTCCCAGGGTAAAACTCTCGCCGTTCCCTACTCCAAGGCGGTCATGGAAATGCTTCCCACAACACCCTTCATCGATCCTTATGAACCAAAGAACAAGGGCAAACGCCCTGTGACGCACGAACCTATTAACGATCTCATCGTCCACCCAGCAACACGCCAACAACTCTTCGTTCCTGTGTCTGAATCTCGTCGCTTCACTCGCGTTGACGCAGGTAAGGCGTTCGACAACAACCTCCTTCCCGCTGATGCACGGATCCCGCATCCCGAACTCGTGCAGGCTGAGCGCGAACTGGCATCCGGTCTCTCGTTCGATGAGCGAAGCAAGCTAGCACAGGCGAGACTCCAAGAGGAGAATGAGAAGAAGCGGAAAGAAGAGGAAGCGAGGCTGGCGGAGATCCGAAGCCACAAGGTTGTCCCCAAGCGACGGTGGGACTTTGTGTTCAAGGATGTCAGTGTCGATGCTGCTGGGCGGGATGGTAGAGATCCGCGGGGTGTGGGCTGGAGGTACGGATTCCCACACGAGGACCGTAAGAAGGGCACGGTCAAGATCCCTACCAAGGTTGAGGCGTAGGAGAGGTGTACGATTTAACGTCTGTGATGATATGTGTAACATATTTATGACCCTGGAATATGGGCTCGCGGTGGTCCACGAAGACTACTGCTTTTTTCGAACAATATATCAATTGTAATCGACGATGCGTTGAACTCTTGTGCATGTGATGGCAATGATGATTGTTGATTTTCTTGTTTAGTTTGCCCAACCTCCCAACGCTCACGCAGACGTCTGCAGTGTCTGTTGAGTGTTGACCATTGGGCGTATTTTCAAAGCTTTAGGCCTCCCAGTATCCCCATCCGCTATCCACTATCCTCACCAGCAAGTGATATCACGTCGGCCGTCCCACGACGCCTTTCTTTCTATACGCAAGCCACCACATTATCTCCCTTTACATGAAGCGACCCAGATTCATCCAACTTTTGCTCAGGTCAGTCTATCGCGTTCAGCGGTAGGCCACCTTCTGCCCTCCTCTCTTCTCCATCTTTGCCTGTCTCTTACTCGCAACGGCGGGCTGCTGCACCCCCGCGGCATCCTGATATCCGCCCCTCATGCCTGTATACGTCGTCCATGCGGCATAGACACTGTACGCGGGGATGACCACGTACGCCCACCACCCCTTGTCGCCAAGCAGCGCAGCCAACAATATGCAAAAGTAGGTCCAGTACGTCACGTCCCAGAGGTATTCCGTAAGACCTGCGGCGGAGAGATCGTCGCCGGGGCGCGCGACTGCGCCATTGGCGTTGATGGTGGGACGGGAGGAGCGCTCGAAGGAGAAATTTATGAGAGCTTGGGGTGCGGAGAGCAGGACGTAGAGGACCAGGGAGCGGCGGCTTAGAGGGCCGAAGAGCAGGCGGAGGACCCAGAAAAGGGTGTGGAACCCCAGGGTCAGGTAGAGGGTGGTGTTTAGGCGGGACGTGTTGCTCGCGGCGAGGTTCTTGGTTGCTTTCTGAGTGGTGGTTAGTATTGGCTCGTATACGCGATTCTTGGTGACGTGGAAGATAGAAAAGACCTACTTGGGCCATACTGGACAATGGCAGTGACAATAGCCTTTGGACGGTGGAGGAGGCAGAGGGTCCTATCGGCTCGCAGGAGATGTCCGAGGACGTCGAGACAAAAGCAAATTGCGCTGCGAGCGGTGACGTCGGGTTGTGGGAGGGTTGTCGGCCAAGCCAGCATCCCGCAGCAGTGAGTGGCTGTCTGTGCGCGGATCTAAACACAACCTAGAGGGCAGGCGCGACGGCCAGCGCGACCGAAAACAACAGCCCCAACACACACGCGCGCCCAAGGATCCCCGTGCAGCTGCCCGCCCCCGCGCAGCTTCCTAGAATGACCGCTCAATAAGACTCGCCGCCCTCACGTCTGCAGTGCATCGGCCGTGTTTGCCAGTGCGCTTTGTCGAGCACGCCCAAAGCGTCCCCTAGCAACAACAACGCACGCCTTCACCGCGACACGCCCGCCGCCCGCCATCTCTACCCGCCGCACCCTGACCCACGCCGACGTCGACGTCGCCTTGATGCCTGCACCGCCGTAGCCACCTGCATCCCCGCCGACTCTCCCTTTTCTCGCCCTGCCTGCCCACGGCCGCCGTCACCACCGCAACCGTCCGCTCGCCATGTCGCCGCCTGCCGGGGTCAACGCCCAGCTGCGACAGCTGATACACTACCACCTGGACAATGGCTTCCTCGACAACGCCCTGTTCCTCGCCGGCCGCCTGCACGCCCTCGAGCCCCGCAACGCCGACGCCGCCCACCTCCTCGCACTCTGCAACCTGCGCATGGGGCGGTACAAAGCCGCCTTTGACTACTCCCGCTCCAAGGGGCTGCAGTCGCAACATCTGGGGTGCGCCTATGTGTTTGCGCAAGCCTGTCTGGGCCTCGAGCGCTACGACCTGGGTGCCCAGGCGCTGGAGAAAGCCAGAGGGCTCTGGGCCGGCCGAAACCACTGGAGTAAGCTGCCAGGGTCGTGTACATGCAGCGTCGACACTGACTTCCTTCCCAGACAAGCATTCCGAGACTTCGAGACGGCACGTGCCTGACGCTGCGGCCTGCTACTGCATGCTGGGGAAACTCTATGCGGCGCACGGCGACACGAAAAAGGCCATTGACTACTACGTCGAGGCGCTGAAGATCAACTCGTTCATGTGGGACGCCTTCACCGGGCTCTGCGATATCGGCGCCGTGGTGCGTCCTCAAAACGTCTTCAAGATCACCCCGGACATGCTCGCTTCGATATCGCACACCGTTACGAACGGACACGCGACACAGCCTGCGCCGGCACAAGAAAGCGCCGACACAAGGAATCCGTTTGTCTCGACTCCCGACATCGACCCTTTCAATCCGTCAGTAAGGCCAGGGGGCGATGTTGGACTCAACCTGGGAGGGTCCAACCTGCTCTCGAAACTGAACGGCAGCAATCTAGGAACCAACGGCCTCAACGCAAGTTCGACATATCGCGACCTGGAAACTCCAATCGCAAACGGCCAGAACTTTCGGGACGAAGATGTGATGATGGGCGAGGGTGGAGGCCCGGTCAAGAACGAGCAAGGTACTGACGCCATCCTCGCTCCTGGTCGGAAAGCCCTGCATGCCTTCAACGGAACAGAGGATCCACCAAGAATGCGACCGATCACGTCAAGGACACGGACGAAGACGGTCTCAGAGAATACTGAACAAACGGATATACCGAGGCCGATATACCAAAACGGTCATAAGAGGACCGTGTCTGGCCATTCCACACACCAGACTCAGACATCACATTCGCAAGCACCAGACCCCACAGCAGCACCACCGCGACGAAGCGTAAGGCTGTTGAACTCCATCATTCAGCCTCGACCGTCAAGCAGAAACCTGGCACCCGGCTCAGTGAGAGATCCAGACGCGAAGGAACGAAGAGAGCTGCGAAAGGTCAAAGCAACGGGGACAAAGGGCAAAACAGGGACCACCTCAACCGTCGGAAGAGTGGTTAGCGGCAACCGGAAACCTTACGGCGAGATGACAGAATCGACGAAACAGGAACCGAGGCCAGCGAGCGCAGCTGCTCTGACAGCTGTACCACCAAGGATGGCACCACCAGCTGAGACTGTCCGCGAACAAGACGCCGTGGAATGGCTCCTGGATCTGCTCCTCAGAATTGGATCAGGGTACAGGCACCTGAGCCGCTATGAGTCGACAAAAGCACTCGAGGCGTTTGCTACGGTCCCAGCAGCCCAGCGCGAAACTCCATGGGTACTCGCGCAAGTTGGCAAGGCCTACTATGAACGTGCAATGTACGCCGACGCAGAAAAGATCTTCCAAAAGATACGGGAGAAGGCGCCGTCTTACATGGAGCATATGGAGGTGTATTCGAACACGCTCTGGCAACTGAAAGACGAAGTCGCACTAGGACACCTCGCCCACACGCTGATGGACCAAGACCGCCTCTCGCCCCAAGCATGGTGCGCTCTCGGCAATGCATCTTCCTTGGACCGACAACATGACGACGCTGTCAAGTGTTTTGCGCGAGCTACACAACTGGATCCAAAGTTCGCGTACGCCTTCACACTCCAAGGCCACGAGCACATGGCAAACGAAGAATTCGACAAAGCCATGGCCACATACCGAAATGCGATCGGTGCCGATAACAGGCACTACAACGGCTGGTATGGCCTAGGAAATGTATACGAACGGATGGGCAAGTTCGACGTGGCGGAGAAGCACTACCGAGCAGCGATGCAGATCAATCCGAACAACGCCATGATCATGGTTCGGATTGGATTGGTACGACTTGCCCCTTTTTCTAAATTGGCTAGTACTAACATACCGCAGGTCCTCGACCGCATGAAGAAGCCCGAAGCCGCCCTAATGCAGTTCGACGCCGCCGTCAAACTCGACCCCCGCTCCATCATGGCGCGTTTCCGCAAAGCACAGATCCTCCTGCGCCTCAACGCGTCGGAAGAAGCCCTCAAAGAACTCCTATACCTGAAGGACGCTGCGCCCGACGACCCCAACATCCACTTCCTGCTCGGCAGGTGCTACAAGAAATTGAGGGATCGCACAATGGCCATCCGACACCTGACGATTGCGATGAATCTCGATCCGAAGAGCCACGGCGTCATCAAGGAGGTCATGGAGAGTATCGATCAGGATGACGACGGGGGGTGGAGCAGTGAGGATGAGCGATGATGACTTGATATCGATATGCTCGACGCCGGTTCTACACTACCCTTACCACATGCCTTGCTTCGCGTCACACGCCCGCTGTTACCTTTGTCTGCCTAGGGCCTTTTTGCTCCTTATCTTTACCCTCCCCTACTCCCTCCACTCCCTCCTTGACTCCTGGACACTGGCATTGGCACTGGTACTGGTCTCAGCTCACACGATATACCCTTCTTTCCGCGTCATTAGTCAGTCTTGCATTTGCATTTGCGGGTATTTGGGTTGGGGGCCAAAAAGACCTTTTGGATATTCTTGCGCGCATTGTGGGAGTTTTTTGCCTGGATTGGAATGGAATGGAATGGATTGGAACGTTCTATTGCATTGGTTGGAGTGGTATGCATGGGATATGAGAAATATGATTTACCCTTTTTATTCATTCATTCAATTATTGATTCGGGGCGAGTGTGGTGATGCTGTGATGGGATGGTGGAGGTTAATTGATAACTTGACTGATGCAAAATTCTACCGTTCGTTTGTCTGGGTGAATGATTGACGGACTGACTGACTGCCAGGTGGAAGCAAAGCGACGGATGAACGCGTATGGTTGTGTGGATCTTGGCGAACGCGCTGTCATGTGATAGGCACTTACTCCACTCCGCAGGTACCTAGCTGTTGAAAATACTCCAAGATGGTGAATATTAGCTCACTTAGACATAAAAGGCTAGAAGAAATTGGATCTTATATTCCATCTCAAATTTACACATTGGTCGACTATACAGCAGTGGTTACAGCCATACGCCCTCTCCCGTCTCCACCGTCTTCTTCAACTACGAAACAGAGTACTCTGTTCTCTATGGGCAAAAAGCGTTGAATTCAGACTCGTAGTCGCCTATCCTACCTTCGGGCATGGAACACCCCTCGTCCATCTCACTCATGTCGTTCCCGTGGCGAGCTAGACCACCAGTTTCGAACGAGAAATGCTGGGCTGTGTGTTTCTTTGGCTACCGATGGTGTGGTTTTATATATCTGGCCGATCAACTTATCATCTTCGTCTCCACGAGATAAATAGCAGAACAATGGACTAACGAAGGGTGGGTTGTGGATTGGCGGTGGAAAGCGTTCGGAAGAATCCAGTGCTGGTTTGAGGAGGTGATCGAGATGTATCTTGATGGTCTTGTTAAGTTTCTCCACCGGCTGGAATATCTGGCTCGGCGTTGGACGATCAGGGGGATTCAGTGTGTTGCTGGTTTCTCGTGGATGTGGATTGCTGATGGTGTTCCCTTTGTTTTCTGGGATGCTGGTGGGGCGTTCGAGGCGGTGATCTTTTTTGTTGTTGGACTTGGTTGAAGTGGCATCTCACGATCTGGCCGCTGTTAGTAAGAACATAGACTGGTGAGAAAGAATTGTACATTATTTTAGGTTTATAGCGTATTCATGCTTGTAGTACAGGCAGATAGACGCAACACAGTAAGAATTTAATATAGTAACTTAGTGTAGAAGCTAATACCTAGCCCCTTTTTGCACAGTAAATATTAGTAGGAGTACACAGTAAAGGTAATAGAGAGCTAATTAGTATACTGTCTCTTAATAACTAGCTGCTTAATATACTAATACAGACGCGTATTTAAGAGCCTAGGCAGCTGTTAGTTAAAGTTTAGTTTAGTTATAAACCCTAAATTATATTATAAACTATAGCTAGGTTATAAAAACTCTTTAATTAACTAGTAATCCTAAATATATAACTAGGACAGCTTTAGTAGGGGTGTAGGCAATAATAGTTTATATAGACAAGCTAGCATATAAATATCCTTTGCACCTTAGGAGTCTTTATCTATCTATCTTATCTTTCTTTACAACTATAATTATAGCTAACTAATAACACAACCCTATTAGCGCAGCCTAGGTGTTTCTACGCTGCGTCTTATAGTAAGCTAATAAGTAAAGGATTAAGGCAAGTAATTCCTAGTACTAGTATAGTACTCTAGATATCTCTAGTAAGATCTCTAAGGACCTAGTTAGGTAGTAGGAGGAAATAAAGGGTATTACTTAGTACAATAGTAATACCTTCTACCTAGGAGATAAAGATATCTTATAGCGCCTTAAGCTTAATAAGAGACTTAGGGTACAGCTCTATAAGGTTAGAGTTTAGCTCCTCCTTATATAAGTCTATAAGACTAATAAGGCTTTCTTTAACGCCTAGCTCTTCTAACTTAATAAGCTTACTACTAAGCAGCGTAATAATACTGCTTTAACTAAGGATAAGAGCTACTTTAAGCGAGCTTTTATAGATCCTAGGTACACTGCCTAGAAAAAGAGAATTATAGTAGCAATCTAGGAGGTGCGATACCTTACTGTAGGGCTGTCTTACACAATTAATATAGAATAAGGACGAAGCTAGAAGTGGCAGCAATGGCGACGGCGACGGTGATAGCGATGGCGATGGCGATGGGAAGCGGAGGGCTGATAACATAGAAAGTTTGCGACCGGGTCGAAAATGAAGACTGATGAACAATCGAAACGCGTGCACAAAAACACAATGGTGACGTAACACATTAATCCCCGTCCTCCAGGGAAGAATTGTACATACACTTCGTAAGACATCAAGAACTAATGTTATCCGCTCATACTGCTCGACTCTCCGCAATAAATTTAGTACTTCACCGCATTACGCATAAAAAATGCGAAGTCCCAGCTCCTGAACCCAATATACAAACACTGCCACCATCACACCACATTCCTATACTTCCCAAAAAGTCAGCTCACCACCCAGACAAATACAACAACACCAACAAAAACCTACCGAAACAACACTAACCCACGCCGCACTCGCCAAAGCCAAACAATGCGGCAAATACAACACCCTCGACTCCCCCTTCCGCCCCAACGCGCGATCGACCAGCGGCCCGAGGAACGGCTGCGTCACGACTACGAACCAGAAGATGATTTCGAAACGCAGCGCACTTGCGCGCGCGTCTGGTGCGGAGAAGCAGCGCAGGTGAGGGGGTAGGGGGGAGTGCGCGGTTTCGAGGGCTGCGAGGTGTTGGGCGAGGGTTAGGGTTAGGGCGTTGAAGAAGGTGTTGAAGTCGTAGGCGGGGTGTGAAGGCATGTTTGGATGTTGGAGGGGGGTTTGTGGGAAGGAAGGAGGTTGAGATGGATGTGTATATATACATGGTGGGTTGGTCGATTGGTTGGTAGCGAGAATAGATTAGGTCGATAGTACCATGGATCGCCCAGGCGAGTTATTTCATGAGCCCTATTGAAGCGACTGAATAGGTAATTCAAGATTATGGGCATGGCATGTCAAAGCAGATGTTGTCTGGCAGGCTTTTGGTTTGATATAAAAGCTTCGCGGCCTCAGGCCGGAAAACTACATCAACAAAATCCACGAAGGTGAACGTTAGGCGTACACTGCTAACGACTTAAGCACTAGGACTCTTACAGTAATTTTATATGTACTTGTCAAGCTGTTGTAAGAATTCCGTTACGTCTCAGTTCCCCTTTACAATTAACTAAGCAGCAAGATGGAAAACAACCACACGTCTTTAGGATTAGATTCAGGCTGTTGGGGGTAGGTTGCGCGCCTACACACCTACACCTCAAGGGCAAAAAAAAAATAGGACGTGAATTGTTCCATAGCTTCCGTGCACACAGTAGAGATGCTGGATGTTGCAGCAAAAAGAGTGACTTGTCTGAGGCTTGAACTCAGGACCTTCAGTGTACTAACAGTAATGTTAGACTGACGTGATAACCAACTACACCAACGAGCCGTATTTTTGTTTGATGAAAGTCTACCAAATTCATTGCATAATGAACTTTTTTGCAAAAAGATTTCATCGTAACGAGAGGTCTGGAACATCGAAATCTCGACCAGAATTCGACAATCTCAAACGAGCACCTAAAATAAGACTCGGTCAACCCCACGTGAAAAGGCAATCTCACCTGTATCGCCGCCCGTTGATTGACAACAATCACGTCCAAAATTGAACCAATCGTCGCGCTGTCACGAGGATCAAGGAGGACAACACATCGTACAGTGAAGCGTCTCGCGTCATCACTCCACCCCGCAACACCCAATCATCGCCCCTCACCTCCCAACATCAAAACACCAAACACCAACCATCCAATATGGCGACCAACGACCTCGGCGATCTGCCAACGCCACCATCCTGCATAGCAGACTTCTGTCTGATCCCGCTCGGCACACCAACTGCCAGCGTGTCAAAACAGGTGGCAGAAGTGCAGCGGCTGTTGAAGAAGAGCGGGCTGAGCTATTCGATGCATTCTGCGGGGACGACAGTCGGTACGTCGTTTTGCACCGCGTTGCGTGTGCCTACCAGTTGCTTATGATCGCGTAGAGGGCTCGTGGGATGATGTGATGCGCGTTATTGGGCAGTGTCACGCTATGCTTCACCAGAATGGAGTGGTGCGGATTCAGAGTGATATCAGGGTGGGGAGTCGGACGGATAAGAAGCAGGGATTTAAGGATAAGGTGGACGCAGTGGAGAAGCTGCTGGAGGGAGATGCGGAATGAGTGTGAAACGTGTTGGATGGCATGCAGCGAATCTTGCAACAGCTTGACGACTACTCGCAGGAATTATATTAAGATAGTACGCCTCAAAAATGTTAGTATATGCCTAACCTATTTCGATTGTAGTATCAATCTTGTACTCGATCTTGCTAATGAGTATGTAGCTTAGCTGCATGTATTTTGAGATTGATATGTTATCACAAAATCATGGAGGAAGAAACTTCCTTCTTAGAACATGCACACAACGCATTAGAGCGTACGCAATCGCTCCCCCGCACAGTTTTCAGTCTAAGCGACCTGCCGTCTAGACTTTCTTTTACCCGACCCTGCGGCAGGGCTGGGGTGCGTGTCGTATATCAGCGTCTTTTTGGGATGTCCTGCAGGGTTTACACGGCCTCTGAACGTGGGGCATGACGACTCGAGCTGGGACATGTTCTGTGCAACCCTACACCGTACATTGCATAAGGAGGGCAGGCCTCGCACACTCGCTTGCCACTGTACCACTTGACACCCGTTTGTGCCGCGATCAAAATTACCTTGTTGTGTTTCAGACTTTCACCGCCTGTTGTTGCGTACCTGAACCTGGCTTCTCACACACGCGCGGGCCGGAGTTCGTCCCGCAGAAGCACGGCCGTTTGAAAAGTTGGTTTGACAGTTGGATAGCCGAACCGTGTGCGGAAGCAATCGTCACAAATCGCCTGGCAATCCCGAGAAATCCCTTTGCCCGTTCTCACTCCACTGAACTGTTGTCACTCCACTGAACGCTTCCCACTCCACCTGAACGTCCTCAAAGGCCCGTTGTTGCTGCACGACAGAGACACGGTTACTACCACTGCAGTCATTACTCCCCTCTGACGTAATATTCCATCTACCACCCATCTTGTTCGAGTCGTGACGGGATCCGTTCACGCGCGCAGTCGAGGCATGCACGCGACACCACATCCGTCCGCACAAACACGCACCACACCCATCCCCATCCGCCGCTAGGAGCGTCAACGCAAACATGGCCTTCAACTTCAACTGGTCGCCGCTCATCGCCGACACGTCGCGCGCGCGAGACATGCTCACGACGGCGTTGAACAAGTCGCCCAAACCGCCCATCATCGTCGACGACATCATCGTAACCGAGCTGAACCTGGGCACGACCCCGCCCGAGCTGGAGATACTGGAGATTGGCGATCTGGCTGAAGATCGCTTCAGGGGAATCTTCAAGATGTCGTATGCGGGCGACGCCTTCTTGACACTCAAGACCAAAGTGCAGGCGAACCCACTGAAGACGTATCTATCGACCAAGCCAGAATTCGCATCGCCACAACCGCTGGCAGCAGCATCTGGGTTGACAATACCACTGCAGATAACGCTGTCGAATATTCGTCTGTCGGGCTTCGTCATCCTGGTGTTTTCAAAGCAAAAAGGCCTGACGTTGGTATTCCGAAACGATCCGCTGGATTCGCTCAAGGTGTCATCGACATTTGACTCTATCCCGTTCGTGCGAGATTATCTACAGAAGGAGATCGAGGGACAGCTGCGGATATTGTTCATGGAAGATTTGCCTGCCATCATCCATCGCCTATCGTTACGCCTCTTATCGCCAGAATTTCAAGAGCTGGAAACAGACACGGTGGAGAGATTGGAGGGTATCGAAGACAGTACTGAGCCTATTGATCCGCTAGCCGCCCCTCCACATGACGCTGTCGATGAGTTTGGCAACCCCCTGAACGAGTCTCAGATTTCTGCATTGTCGCTCGACGCCACCGGCGAGGTGCACGCGTCCTTCTCGCAGAAGAATATTCTGCGTCTGGCAGCACTGACGGAGTCACAACGCACCCTGTCGCTCTTTACGCCTGGCATCCGCGACGCTGTTTTTCGTGCCTGGGCTGGTCATCCAGACCGAGCCGACTCCGGCACCCTCACGCCCGCTCTCACACAGGGTAGTCTGTCAAGGATACAATCCACCTTTGGCAGCTTGAAGTCAAACGCCCCATCCGTCGCTTCCGGCAGCACAGACAACGAGACCCACAGCTCACGGCCGACCATGTCATCCACCTATTCTGCCTCTGCAGGACTAAGTCTTGGCTCCAATCGCTCACGCACTGGTCAAATGCGAAAGCGCAAGAAGCGTGTCGTTGATCTACGCAAGAAACAAGATGACTCAGAACCTCACACCGAAACGGAGACGGAAACACCACTCGCAAGCGCATGCGTCTCAGAAACATCGAGCGTCATACCCGAGGAGCGCGAACCAGAGGATGTCATCACCCCGCCAAGAACCCCCACAAAGCCAGGTCTCCGATTCGAAGGCAAGCACGGCAGTCTGGATGTTGGCGAACCAAGCAGACTACCGGAACATGAAGCTGTACTCGCCCCAGCGATTCATCTCACATCACCACCGCAAGCAAAAGCCAAACAAAAACAGAAAGCAGAAGACACGGAAGATAAACTACGACCGCAACTAGTATCACGACGTTCGCGCTCCTCGCCAAGACGGCCCCCACTGTCACACCACTCCCAACTTCTCAACGCGCAGCAATCCACATCTCCACTCCTCCGCTCACTATCTGTGGACAGAGTTCATAGTCTGGCTTCGCCGTATCCCAACGCAGAAGGCTCAGGTGGTATTCTCGAGCAGGCGTGGATGCTCAAGATGGCGCAGGAGATTGCACGCAAGGTGCAAGACGAAAAGGACCGTGGATCACCTAGGAGAAAAGATTCAAAAGCTTCGCGTAGTATGTGGATGGGGAGCGATGACGAGATAGAGGCGCCGCCTGCATATGTTGCATAATGTAAGAGGATGGATTTGGTGGTGTTACTACTGCGAGAGTAGCATTTTTAATGACATGACGAGTAACGAATTTCCTTTGTCGATGGGGGCTGGCTTGGACATGCATAGGACGGGTTGAGAGGAACAAAAGTTGTGTGTATGGTATGGGCTGGTGCATTGGGTAAAAGTCGGGGAATGGTCTCGCATTTTGGCATCGACAGACTGTCGAGAAATAAATTGGGCATGGGGGTGTTTGGGTGGTCGGTTGTTTGCGCTGCATAGAGTAAGATGTGCAAAGAGTCTCTCGTTTATGGGTAATGCATGGATTTGGGCTCGAAACTGGTTACTCGTCGAGAGTCGCTGATAACAGACGGTTGATTACACTAGAGTCTAGCTGTTACATGGAACAATTGCATTCCACCATACAGCCCCTGCAGAAGATTTGCGGTGTGATCGTTGGTGAGTTGTTCGCGCCCGTGCGTTGCTGGGACAGCGCACTGTTTACGAAGTTGCGTCAGCGTCGCTTCCCCAGCCTCTCCATCAACCTCCTCCCAGCCACGTGAAATTTCCACTCCCAACTACAGCAAAGTATCGGGGTCTCACTCCACTCCCCCAAAACAAAGAACCATCACGAAAGAAGCATTATTACGACTTGGATTCTTTCTGACGTTGGTGATAGTTGCATTCGCTGAATTGTCATTCCGATTTCATACGCTCTTTCCCAACCTCGCAAGCTCGACTACATCTTTGCACGCTCGCCATCATGGCGCCGCACCCCGACTTTGTCGCTTTGGTGCACCATCTCACGAAACGAGATGATGCTTACAAAAATCTCGCCTCTGCAGGCGCCAAAGCACCACAGGATATGTCCGGCCCTGGTTACCAAGTGCTGTTTGCCTTCATCGGCGTAGGCATGACAATGACAGCTATCTGGTTCTTCTTCTGGGCCAAGAACGGCGGCTTCAAATGGCAGAAGGACGACTGGGAAGACTACAAATCGACTGTTATGCGACGCAAAGGCCCAGACGGAAAGACGCTGTCGAACGCTACCAAGAGTACTATCCTCGGCGGTGGAAGTGTTGTGCATGGAGGCAGTTACGGTGCCCCAAGCAGTGTGGGCTACACCGACGAGACTGGCACGAGCGCTGACATCAACGAATACCGTGACGCTGAGGAAGGCAAGGGAGGTATCCGCGGTGGAGACGGCAACCATGGTCGCAAGAAGAAGCGTCGCGACCACACCAACGACTACAACGACCCCGAACTCCGCCACTACCGCAACGAGAAAGCTGCCCGCGTTGGCGGCCTCAATCGTCAAGCTGACGGCACGTACACGGACTACTCTGGCTCGCAACCCTCTGAAATCGGATCCAACGTCTCTGCTCAACCCCTCGTCAAGAAAGATAAGAAGGACCCCAAGAAAGAAGCCAAGGCCAAGGAGCAGCGCGCAAGAGAGCGTATGAAGCGCGCCAAAGCGGCCGAAAAGGAAGCCGCCCGTATTGCCACTCTGGAAGCCAAGGAGAACAAAGCTGAGGCCAAACGCGAGAAAGACGCAGCGAAGAAGGCAAGGAAGGCCAAGTCCGTCATGTCCGACAACCCAGAAATGGCAGAAGTCACACGTCCTCTCACTGGATACACACGCGCTTCCACCGAATTCACCGCGCCCTCTGAATACGTCGCCCCAGCCCCAGCCCCAGCTCCAGTCCAAAAGCAAATCACTGGTCCTCGTCGTGCACCCCCTTCAGCAGCATACTCCTTCACCACCGGCGATGACACCACCGTTGTGAGCAGCGCCTACACGGACGGCCAAACTGAAGCACGCACCGAAGCAGGCGAGTCATCCTACTACTCGGACTACCGCCCCAAGGCCGAAGTCCCCAAGTACTCGGACCCCAACAAGCACGCTCCGCGCTCCACCTCCAAGCCTCGCACACGCCCCTCCGGCTCCCGGCCTGCATCCAAAACCCGCCCTTCATCTTCATCCAAAACGCGCACCGCAGACGCGCATCCATCGTCCCGCCCTGCAGGCTCGCGTCCCCCGTCCAAGTCGCGCAACAGGCCTTCCCGCAGCGCGTACACAGCCGCACCATCAGACATCTTCACAACCACCAACGGCGACTCCCAAGGCCACATGTCGTACCCGTGCCACATCCCGGGACTGAGCCAGTACGCAGAGAGCGTGGGTGTCAGTGAGAGTGTGAGCCAGGTCGGCGGACCGAGGGGGCGAGGCAGAGATGTCATGGATGGGTATCGCCGTGGAGGTGCCGCCAAGGGGAGGAGAGATAGCTTGAGCGACAGCGATTAAGCGTTTGTAGTGAATTGTGGGAGATATGATGGCGTTTTTGGTATTCGGTCTTTTTTTCTTTGCGGATCGATTGCGACAGCGAATCGAGCGGGGTTGCAGTGTACGATGAATGAGCAGATGGAATGGCATGGCATGGTATGATATGGGCTGGCGTCGGATACCGACCGGCTGGCTTGGTGGGTTAATGACAGATGGCATGAAGGTATCATGGTTATGGTTATGCGTACGTATGTAGAATACAGTCACACACACACATTCATGAATCGATATACCCAACAGTATCATGACAATCGAATGTTCTGCTTCTTATCCCTTTTTTTCTCTAATCCGCCGTCCATCAAACGATCCAGAACTCTCGACCTGAAGCGTACATGCAAAGCCTAGAAGAAAAACACATTTGATAGCAGAGAAACAAATAGATGTTGGACAAAACAAACATTTCCGTAGCAATATATATAACTCCCAGACCACGCCTCGCACGCAAGATCCTACATAAACACTCCCCCCTCCCTCCTTAATCTCCTAGCAGATGTGTATATGCACTCTATTCTCCTCTGCTACCTTATTTGTTGGCGAACGTACATACTCCACCCCATCCCCTTCTACTTCTAACGACCACTATCTTGAGGTTAGAAAGAGTGAGGGAGGTAACAAATGGCGAACCCAATATTTGATGAGAGCATAGGAGAAGGCAAGTACAAAGAAAGCCACAAGACACAAGCAAAGCATACGCGTTTGAATTCTTAGATTTTCCACGACTTCACGCTACCATCTTTTACATAGACACACACGTACATACACACATACACGGCTAGTCAAACACAACCCCCCCCCTCCCCATCCAACCACCCACCTAATCATCCTCGGTCAAATCGCCATACTCCCACTGCCCCCTCCTCTCCTCCTTAGCAACATCCTGCTTCCTCTTCAGCGCGGCGAGCACATCCCCCGCACTCCTCTCCCAAGCCTTAAGTTTCTTCGGCACCATGGCGAGCCCCTCACTAAGCACATCGGCATTCACGCTCTCCTCGCCCGACTTGCTCAGCTTGGGATCAAACAGCGTAACCCACAGCAGGCCATCGCGATCCACCTGGTCGACATTCGCGACGAGGGAACGGTCCGCCGTCTCCTGCGCGATGACGTGCACCGCGTCGGCGAGGTACTCTGGGTTACCCGGTAACTGGATGAAAGACAGCTGCGCGTCGAGGGCCTGAGGTTTGAGTTTCGCGGGCAGGAATTGCGGCTGTGAGAGGGGCCGGAGACGGGACCATGGGATCGTTTCCGAGTTTCCGTAGTCGACGTAGACGACCTCTGCTTTTTTGGCTTCGCGGTCGTTGCGGCGGATGCGTGCGCGGTACCAGGTGTCGTCTTCTGTGAACTTTGCGGCTACGAAGTCGCCGGCTTTGGGCGGGTTGGGGAGCCCGGCTGAGTTGGTGGGGTTCATGTGGAATTTGCTGAAGGCGCTCATTAGTTCTGTGAGGGCGGCTGTGCCGGTGCCGACTTGTTGGAGTTTGAGTCTGCCCTCGTCGGTGACGTGTGTGACGACGACGTCGCGGTAGTCTTTTTGTCTCGACACTGGCGCATCGTTGGTCGACGTCTGAGTGGCGAACGCTGTGCTGTCCTCCGCATCTTCCTCTTGCGAAGGGTCGTACTCTTGCCACAGGTTTTTCCGCGCGTCTTTGGCCTTTTGCTCCGCGGCGAAGAGCTCGTTTGCGTTGCCGGATTTCTCGGCCGAGTAGGCGTGTACGGACGCCAGACCCTCCTCGACGAGCGTCTTGGCAAACGACTCGCGGTTGATGTAGAGCGTGCCGATGAAACCACCGACTTTGTCGCAGTCCTCGACGTCAATCTCGACGTCCCGCTGCTGGCATCGCTTGTTGGCAAACTCATGGGCCTCCTTGCCGAACGGCTCGCCCTTTTCGTTGTCGTTCCTGGCAGATTTCGGTGCGCGGATTCCGGAGAGCACAAAGGTCAGTTTGGCGTTCTCGCGGGGGACGAGGACGGTGAAGCGAGAGGCAGATTTGACGTAGTCAACAATGGCGGGCACCCTGCGTTGGCGAGAGAGCAGCGAGAGTTGACGCTTGGCCTTCTCGAGGGACTCGGAGTAGTCGACGTATTGCTTTGTGGAGGGTGACTTTGGCGACCAGAGGCCCTTTTGTGCGTCCTGGGCGGTCTGCTCGGCAAGCAGGAGGTCGTCGTAGATGGGGCTCCTGTCGGTGTCGTCCTGGCGGTGGCGGATCACGGTAGCCATGCCGCTCTCGACAAGAAGCAGACCGATGTTCTTGCCCTGCAGGGAGACGGTGGTCATCTCGCGCTCGTCGTAGCCCTCGGACCCCGGGCGCTTGCCGTCGACGTGGTACTTGATGTGCTTGCCGATCAGCTTTTTCCGCAGGAACTCCTTTGCTTCTGCTACCCACGGCGACTGGCTGGGGTCTGTGGGCTTGGGCTGGCGGACACTGCTGAGGTTGATGCGCTTCTCCTCGCCGGCCTTGTTGCGGACGAAGATGGTGTCGGCGCTCTGCACTCTGCTCACGACGGCCTCGATCTCGTTCGCCTTGCTGGTCTTGGGCGCAACGTGGCCCTGGTAGAGACCGACGCGGCCGTCCTTGGCGGCCTTCTCGGCCATCCTCAAGACACCCATCTGCTGCCCGAGCAGCGTCGTATGGTGGTCGGTGCACTTGGCCAGGCCCGACTTGAGGATGAAGGGCGCGATGCTGCCCTGGGTGGGGTGTCTGATGTCAGCCACGATCTGGCCGTTGGGCGTGGTGCCCAGCACGATGGCGCTGACGTTGCGCTGCAGCAGCCGCGACTCGACGTATTGTTGCGCCTCGTCGCCAAAGGCCTCGGCCGCGTGCTCCTTGCCGTCGGACGGGTTGGTGCGCTTTGTGGCAGGCGCGCGGATGCCGGCGAGGAGCACCATGGTCTGCACGTGCTCGGTGGGCGAGAGGAGGAAGCGCACGATCAGACGGTCGCCGGCGAGGACCTTTTCGACGATGGCTGTTGGAAGTTAGCTGAGCCCACACCTCCAACCCCCAACACAACATACCGGTGATCTCCTCGCCCTTGTGGTCCTCGACAAACTTCTGCGTGTCGCCCAGCTCCGACTGCGAGTTGATGCGGCTGCCCGACTCCTGCCACAGGCCCTTGGACTCGACCCGGGCGTGCGCCTCGACAGCCTGCAGCCGGTCCAACAGCTGTGCGGCCTCCTCCGAGTCTTCCTTGCGTGCAGCATCGTCCCGCAGCTTGACCCACCCCTCGGCCACGGCCTGTTCGGGCAGCACGATGCGGTCGGGCAGGACAAGCAGCCCGTACTCGCGGTTGGCGCCCGTCGGGATCTTGTACAGCACCTGGAAGCGCACGACCTTGCCCACGAGCAGGCGGCGCAGGTAGTCGCGTGACTCGAAGGCGAACTGCTCGTCTCCCTCCCGTCGCAGGCGGGGCGCAGTGACGAATGCCAGGCTCAGTATGCGCTCTTGCTTGGGGTTGTTGATGTTGTGCAGCACCACCGTGTCGCCCGAGAGGACCGACTTGACCTTGGCTTCGAATGTGTTGGCCGCCATGATTGCTGTAAGGAGCTGGGTCTGGAGCTATTAGCCGTGTGCAACAGAGCTCCCAACTTGGTCGTCGCCACACATATCACCGACATACCTTGCCAAAATAAGGTGAGAAATAAAAGGAAAGGCGAGACGAGATGCAATTGATGCTCGGAATGCAGCTTCTGGGGGGAAGAAAGGGAGTTTGGGAAGATGTGGACACTGTGGTAGCTCTGGGGACTTAATTCGGGGTCCCTGCGTGTTGTGGGGTCAGCCTTGCGAGCTAGCTCCATACCTATTCTAACACGAACCTGACCATCGAGGAATATGCTACATTCACCATCCACCGCCTAGTTCGTAATCACCGGCGCCGTCCCGTCCCAAGTCTCCTTCTCCGCCGCATCTACCAAGAACCTCGCAACGCTCTCCCGTGTAATAACCCCCATCATCGGCACCCCCTTCCCATCCCCCGCCCACTCATTCACCTCCGTGGCCTCGCCCTCGACCAACCTCGACGGCCTGGCCATGACATACCTCACCCCACTGTCCCTGACCTCCTTGGCCACTGCATCGTGGTCCTGGTACTGGTAGATCATATTGCTATTCTTCATGAGCAGCCGCATAACACAGTGTAAGTTTGGCCACGACTCGGCCACGCCAAACGCCTGCAGGATGACCAGCTTAGCCTTTGGCGTAGATGACTCCTTCATCGCGGCAACGACGTTGGCGTTGGAGTCAGCCATCATGCGCGGCGGGGAGATGTTGGCTGCAAACGGGCTGTCGGAGGCGCGCACCGCGCTGAGCGTCACGATCACGACGTGCGGACGACTCGCGGTAAAGGCCGTGCGCACATCGTCTTTGTTGGTGGGTGTGCCAGTGATGAGATGCACTTTGCTGTCCGATGGCATCGATGCTGGATTGCGGACCAAGGCTGTAACCTCGTGACCTGTTGGCTTATGTCAGGTTTGTGTAAGCACTAATGTGGGGCGTTGCTAACCTCGCTGTTGGAGCTCGTTGATGACCAGCTTGCCTGTGCGGCCGCTGCCTCCGATGACAAGAACACGCATGGCGGAGTCCATCTTGTTTGGCGTGAGAGAGGTAATTGGTAGCGTGTTGTTGATATGTTCTTGGGTTTGAATGTTGTCTTGAATGCTCGAGTTGGTTGGTACTGGCACGTTGGCAATTACAAGGCAAAGAGGAAGAGCAGAAGTAAAACTATTCGCGTCTTTGCAGTTATCAAGGTATGAGTAAGAGATTGAGAAGGTGAGTGATTATTTTGAAGAAGAAACGACTCTGTATTTATGATTCTCTCCTCCGGACGATACAGACATCCTCCGAGCTCCCCGGATCCGAAGCCGGACGATCGAACATGACAACGTCCTCTTCGGGGCCGCGAGGACTCGGATGAGATGGGTAAGCACTAGTCACATTGAATGGGTAGGTGTTCTCATTCTGTATAAAGGTTTCGAGTTGAGCCCTTCTATCACATCTCATATCCTATTCACTCATCTTCTACATCATCCTAAGACTCAGCGCATCTCCCCCTTACATTCAACTTCATTTTCAAAGTCGTCGTCAAGTCACACCGAAATGCTCTCCGCACCACCAACCCGCGTCGCTATCGTTGGCGCAGGCCTTGCCGGTCTTGCTCTGGCCATCTCCCTCCACCGACAAGGAATCTCCTGCAGTATCTATGAACTCCGCGAGCCCTCCGCGAGCACACCAGGAGCTCTGATGCTCTCCCCCAACGCTTTGCACATCCTCGACACCTTGGGACTCTACGATCGACTCCGGCCCCAGGGCTACAACTTCGAGTCCATCGCCTTCAAGAACCACGACGGTGTTACGACAGACACGTACTACCTCGGCGGGGAGAAGTTGTACAAGTACAAAGCCCTCCGCATTTATCGCCAAGTCCTCCTGACCGAACTGCGAGCGGAAGTCAAAAGACTGCAAATACCCGTCACGTATGGCGTCAAGTTTAGCCACGTCGTCTCCGAGGATGACAGCGGTGTCACCTTCGCCTTCGTTGACGGCACGAGCGCATCTGCGGGTCTTCTCGTCGGCGCCGATGGCATCCACTCAACAGTACGCAAACACATCGCCCCCAGCGTTGTGCCAAAATACGGAGGCCTAGTCGCCATAACATGCGCAATCCAAAAGTCAACCCTCACATTCCCTGCCTCCACTTCCCCAGACGAATACCCCATGCCCGTCTCCATCCACAGCAAGAACGGCGCCTTCGTCATGGCCCCGCAGAACATCGACGGCTCTGAAGTCCTCGCCGGCACCCAGCGCGCATGGCCCGAGCAAGACCGCGCAGGCTGGGACGCGCTCCTCGCCAACAAGCCGCAACTCCTCGAGCTATTCCGCGCCAACATCCAAGACTGGCCGACCATCGTGCAGTCAGCGCTTAACAACGTGTCCACCGACACACTGGCTATCTGGCCCTTCTACGTCGTACCCAAGCTAGATCGCTGGTTCTCGCCTGCGCACCGCGTCGTCATCCTCGGCGATGCTGCGCATGCTATTCCCCCCACAGCGGGCCAAGGTGCATCGCAAGGCTTCGAGGACGCGTTTACGCTGGCTGCTTTGCTGGCTGGGCTGGCTCCGAAGTTGCCGCTGGATAGGGCACTTACGGTGTGGAAAGATATGCGGCAGCAGCGTGTCGATAGGGTTATTAACCTCACGTTGCAGTTGAACGCCGTTCGGTTGCCGCAGGCTGAGCGTGATGCTTTGGCCGCGGAGGGGAAGCTGGTTTGGCAGACGGGGGCGGATGGCGAGTTGGCGTGGCTGTATAATGCGGATGTGGAGAGGGAAGTGCGGGATTTTATTGAGGCTGAGAAGAGGGGGTAGAGTGTAGGACTTGAATGGAGGGAAAGGGTGGGCTTGCTATGTTGGATGGTGTAATCCTTTCTTTTCTAACAGTCGACAGTTGATGTTAAAGTGGAGAGATGGTAGTGTCTTTGCTATTCAATCCTGTGATTTTGAACCCTCCACATTGCACAGCTTTCATGTGACGTTTGTTGCACTTCATGTTCAACTCGGCTTAGCGCCACACTAGTACCCGTTACGCCCGTTGTGAACGTAGACCTCCACAATCCGTGCCGCATCCACGCCAAACTCAATGAATCCAGCATTGGAGTTTCTCAATTGTCATTCGTCATAACAAAACTCTGAGGCCATCTCTCATCCTCCATCTCCATCCGTAAATTGATCGCCACTTGAAGTCATCCGGACTGAGTGAATTCACGGAATACCTTTTAAATGGATGACATGAATACAAGGAAACGGCCTCGCCCAGTCGTTTCATGTCTACGCTGCCGCGACAAGAAACTCAAATGCGACCGCATCTCACCCTGTGAGAACTGCGTCAAAGCATCTTGCGCGGGGACATGTGCATATAATCGGGACGGCGGATCAGCACCACGCACAAACGGGCATGAAGGCGCGAGAAAATCATCCGTGGGGTCTGAGAATCCGTATGTGAAGAGTCCAACGGCTACAAATCCCAGTTTAACTGCGCTCGAGGATCTGCAAAACAGGATGGCTAGGGTGGAGGAGATGCTCGGTGTGCGGAATGAACGGACTGCGGAGAAGGAGGAAACTCCGCCGGCGAAATTGCTGGGGACGCTGGTGGTGAAGGGGACACGGTCTGTGTATCATGGGCAGAATGATCGCGTTACCCTGCTGAATCAAGTATGTTTGTTGTCGAGTTCGAATCGTATAAGCTAACACGCACTGGTTCCTCGACGTCAAGGACTTCATCAATAATGAGGTCTCCAAGGATGAAGAGCTGCAGGCTGCGGCAAAGCAAGTAAAGTTCCTGCAGAACAAATCTCAGGCGAAAGTCTCGTCGCCGGATGTCGCTGAGCCGGACTTCTCCCTGGCCCTGCTCAAGCTTCGGGAGTTTCTTCCCCCAAAGACATATTGTGATAGACTTGTTGGTATTTACTGCCAGCATTTTGAGCGCACTATGCGCATACTGCATATCCCCACGTTCATGCACCAGTACGAGCAGATCTGGGCAAATTCGAATCCCGATCTCTGCACGTCGTCGAGCATCATCCCGCAGGTTACTGCTGTGCTGACCATGGCGTACCACATGGACGACTCGATATACATCAATAATGGCCAGCCATATAGAACGTACCTGCGAGGAGCCGCCATCGAACTCATCCAAGCGTGGCTCGACGAACTGGGCCGGAAGCAGCGCACTGAGCTGACCACACTTCAGGTGGAGATCCTCTTACTCCTGTCGAAAAGCCTGGGGCAGCTGAGTCCAGAGAAGCTGTGGACTTCGACTGGCGCGCTTGTGCGCTCCGGTATGATGATGGGCCTGCACATGAACTCATCGGGTAATGCGAAGATCACCCCGTACCAGTCAGAGATGAGGCGCAGGCTGTGGGCGACGGTCCTCGAAATAGACTTACAGGCATCCATGCATGCGGGGATGCCACTCGTAAGCCCTGAGTTCAGCCTGGCTGATCTGGTGCCGGCCAACATCGACGATTCGGAATTCGACGAGTCGACGACAGTGCTCCCTCCCTCTCGTCCGTTGAACATATACACCGACAACATCTACCAAGTCCACCTCGCAAACTGCCTACCCCAACGGCTAAAAGCCCTCTCGCTCGTGCACCGCTCGGCCCCGAACATAGACGAAGCCATCGACCTAGGCAGGCAAATAGAACACCACCTATCCTCCAAACCCCCCATCCTATCCCTCTCCACCAACTCACCAAACACCACCAGCGGCTCCATCCTACACCGCGTCCTACTAGACGTCTACCTCCGCCGACCCCTACTCTACCTCTACAAACCCCTCATCCAAGACCCCACCACCACCACGCACCCAGAAATCCACACCCACTGCCTCACCTCCTCCCTCACCATCCTCTCCTACCAGTCCCTCTTCACCCCCCTCGCCCTCCAAACCATAACCCCCAACCCCACCCCCCTCCAGACCTTCTTCCACCGCTGCTGCAAAGCCGACATCCTCTGGGCCGCGCTCAGCACATGCCAGCACATCAAGACGCTGCGCCCATCATCCCGGGATTGCGCCGCGCTGGTCGAAACGGTGGAATCCACCATCCAGTCTTTGATCGCGAGGATCGACCAGAAAGGAAGTGACGTGAAGGATATTGTTTTCTTGGGTCTCGCGCTGCAGGCTGTGAGTCAGCCGGCGGCTGGCTCGGCGGTGATGTTGGGGTGTGTGAAAGGGGTGCTTGGGAAGTGTCGGGAGAGGTTGATGGTTGGTGTGTTGGGGGAGACGGCGGTGGGGGGTAAGCGGGTGAAGACAGTGCATGTTCCTGAGATGGATTCGCGGGGCTTGATGGATGCGGATTATTGGTTTGGCGATGTGGAGGGGCTGGCGGCGGAGTTTAGTGCGTTTGAGGGCGGGGGGTGGGATGTTGAGGGGGGGTTTCAGGGGGGCGGGTTGGGGGGGTGGGCGTGGGGAGGTGAGGGTTTGTAGACTGGTGTGTCTGGGATTGGTGTGTGTGGGTGGGGGGTGGTGGTAGAGTGTGTGGATGTAGGCTCTTTTGAAGGGGTTCTATTCAAACCTGCCTGAGTTGTACTCCATGGCTCGTGTGTGGTGATCAGGTTCAGGCCACGCGCATAATCTCGTCACGGCACTGGGTTCTGTGTCGGAAGTCTACTCGCTTTCCTCCACCCTTCCTCCACCCCGCTCACGCAGCAGAAGCCCATACTCCCAGCATCGGGTCACAGGCGCTATTTACCAACAACGCGCTCCCTACGCATCACACACGACTAACCATCCCCTTTACCGCTGTGTGAACACATCCCCATAACATATTCCCTTCCTCCCAATAAACGCACTGGGAAGAACCACAATGGGATAGACAGTAGCGGACTGGACAAGAAGCGCTAAATTAAGTATACTGACAATACTAGTAAGGGATGATTTGTTGGGGAGACGCTGATTTAAAAAAAAGACGCCTTGTTCCATCCCACAAACCCGATGAAATCTGCCTGTACAGATTAGCTCGAAAACCGTTACTGTCCATGGACTGTAATGATGTGGTGCTATGCATTGACAGGGGGTCTTGTGTTGCTGACCGATTTTCTACAAGATGGGTGATCGTTGTTCTGCTGTTGGCGGTCTATCTGTCTGTCTGTGTGCTATTCTCATCAGCGAGTAAGACATACACTCCCTGTGCTATGTGTGTAAACACTCCAGCGTTCATCCCAGGGCTGAGACTAGACTATGCGGGTTTGGACAGCGAGATAGGTTGTAAGCGCTGTTTGAGCGGCGGATCGATGGGTGGCGGGAGGGGGAGCTGCTGGATAGTGGAGGTGGCTTCATTTTATGGGATGTGTAGATAGTGTATGCCAGTTCAGTGAGCTTATGAATGAGGTGCGAGGTAGTAGATGGTGGTGTATGCGGGGTTAGAAATGTCGGTGTGGAGGTGTATTAAGCACTGGTTGGAGAGGGATAGAGAGTGAACAAAGGGTGAGGATATGACTCAGTGCAAGTGTACAGTGTAGAGAGTTTTATCGTAAGACGATACTTTACACACACGGGTTGCATGATTGGATGGCATGTCGCGATAAGTGGGTGAGTGGGTGTTCTGGGCGCAGCGTGGTCATGTCATATGCAAGCCTCAAATCCCAAGTCCCAAACTCCACGTTCCAGTGTTCCAAAGTCACAGACCAAGTGTGTTTTTGACACCGCCATGCATGACGAAGTCGTAACTCGCACGTTGTGAAGAGGCAATGTTGAAGTCGAGATGCCTGTCTCGCGTGGTAGAACGTAGAAATAAACAACACATGAGCGGAGTGTTCAGGATGAGGGGGAAGATAACAAGAAGATGATAAGTTGAGAAGTGAGAATAAAGTGCATATAACAAAGAGCTGGAATCATTTATAGAGAGGACGGCTGGGTGCGTTAAAGATAAAGATAGAAGGACAAGAAGTCAGATCAAGATCCCAGGGATTCAGGATGAAAGAGGCAGAGATCTTGAGGCGCTTGATGGGCAAAGGAAAACAAAGGAGATAGATAATTGCAAGACCGCTACAAGATCATTTTTCCTCCGCCAAAGGAGTTGTTCCCACCTTAATCAGCTGTTCGGCTTCAACGAACCCCACAGTACATACGTACTGTACCATCTTATTAATAGAGGCAAATAGTTGTAATCCAGATGTCCAGTCGCACATGCTCTCTCTCCATATCCTCCTTCCTCCACTGCCCTGTCCCACACCCCCAAGCAGAACAAAAAAACAAGTCATGTCCTCTGCCAGATTCGAACTGGCGACCTTCGGATGTCTACTCTTCGAGCAGTCATGGTCTAATATGAGACCGACGTGATAACCGACTACACCAAGAAGACTGTTGATTTGATTGGTTGAACGAATGACGAATTGAAGGGTATATATACGGAGATACTGGTGCGGGAAGGGAGTAGACGGGAGGTCAAAGTGGATAGGTGGGGAGGAAAGGGGTGTTTGGTGGGGGCCAGGAGGGGGATGTTCAGTGGGGGAGGGGAGTGGATTTAGTGTAGTGGAGATTTTGCTCGCTGGGTGGGTGTGTGGGGTTGGGCAGAGAAAATGTCGAAGAAAATAGTTATGTGTTGAAATGGTTGCGAGATGAAGATAGATGGGATGAAAAGACAGGTTCAAAACGTCCGAGTACTCATGTTGATAAAAATCTGTGTAGCTAACATGCGTGTTGGACGGGAGAGAGCCCGTTGTCCTCGTGGCAAAGCAAACACTGAGCGCCGTTTGGAGTCGAATCTTCACAAGGCACTGCCAACAGAGAAACGTAGAGGTTGCCTCGATAAAAAAAACAGACCAGACTACACCCAAATTATGTAGATCAAGTCATGCCACCGACCCTTGCGTCGATGTCTCGAGTGTGCTGATACCACACCGGGACGGCACGAAGCGACCAATTTCCCGGCCGCGGTCAAAGCTATCTCGACAATCCCACTCAGCTCAGAGACAAACCTCACGTGCGCTTCGACCTGAAACATATCCCACTGCCCTGCCGTGCCAATCCTCCAAACGATACGAACGTCATGGTTGGTGTTGGATGTAGGGAGCGCCCCCATGCGTAACGCGCCCAATTGGTGGATAGTCGGCGGCTAGTCTGAACCTCAACGCCGCCGAACAGTGGATCCGCTGGGCAGCATCGAAGAGCTCCAAGTTAGATCCCGCGCGCTCGGAACCCAATCAGGGTCTTTTGGGCAGCAAAAAAGGCTGAGTCGTCAGTGAGTCATAACGGCTCTGATAGGAGCGGAGCCCGGCGCACGGAGGAGCGAGCATGTTAAAACAGGATAAAGGAAGAGAACGGCTTATGTGAGGAAGTTTACCGTTGGAATTTCGGTTCGAAGTCGAGCGCGTGGTGCTAAGCGAGAGTCCCACATGTTCTTCTTTTTTTTTTGGTTCGAGGTAGGCGCTAGCCGTACGTAGTAGTCAAAACCGACGTCATTGTAAGACCGCAGATGAGGGTTTGGATGGGGATGTTGATGATGTTGGCGTTGATGTTGACAATGGAAAATCAGTCGAAATCGAGCATGTCCAAACTAACAACAATAGAAGCGATTAACTCAACAACGTATAGGGTGCGCCGACGTATTTCCAATAGTACCTGTTTGTTGTGCGTGATGTTGCTTGTGAACCACCTTGACCACGGTGCAGCTGATAAGTGGGATGTCTTAGACGAAAAAGGGTTTCAGAAACGAGCGTGTGACCCATGTAAAATCTCGAGGGGACGACGTTTTGATTCGTGAAGTCCAGATGGGATGGTGTTCGACTCTCGAAGTTCTGCACGGTGTTACTTTCTATGCAAATTTTGCACCGTCACTTGATGTGTTTGTGCGCGACAGTTCGCAGATAGAGCACGCGTTGTGCAGGGTGGTGCATTCGCACAACATCTGCCGATTCCGCAGCTCTCGTCTGAGGGGATCGCACAAGATGCTCACGCCAGAGCTTGTTATCCGCAAAGCGTTCTTATGCGCCGAGTGGGTAGGGCCGTGCAGGTTGGTCGCTTTTTACAGCCTAAACGACACCAACGCTGGAGGTCGAGCACAGTGGTGAGAGCCAGCATCGACGAAAGTGTGATGCTGACAGTGATGAACGTTGATCGTCAAAATCTGCATAACCCTGCGCGCCCAACATGTACGACAACTGCTTCAAGACCTGGTTGTCGGTGTTAGCTCGTGTTGTGCAGAACTGGATCCACAAGAATGCAGGCGTTGCCCGAGTGATACATGTCAATGAGCTTAACTTTGAGCAAGCAAGGTTTTCTCCATGGATCAGCAGTGATCTGAGACACAGTAGCCAATGTTTCACAAAGAGTGATATCGTGAAGACGGAAAGTGAGCATCGGATGCGAGCGTGTACACGCTTCCTCAAGATCAGGCATTGTCCTTTTCTTTTCTTCGTTACATGAAACGGCAAACAGCCAATAGCACGGTGGACTTTTGAGTAGCGACTCGTAAGCTTCGACGAGGAGCCCTCGACCATATGCCTGCGTCCCAATTAGGATGGAAGCGAAGAATCATGACGGGGTCGTACTCTGCGCGGTCTTGTTCCACTCCGATCACTGCGTCCAAGAAACGTGAGCAGGATTTGGTAGTCAGTTGCGTGAGTGTCACAAAGAAGTCCATGGGCCGCAGCTTGCCGCTTATCCAGCGTAAGTTTGCGGATAGCCTTTCTTCTTTCTGATCGCTTTGTTGAGAGATTTACATGGTGCGCTGTCTCGCCTGTGTTCACCGGAGTACCGTAGGCTAAGCAGCTAAGTAGCGCTTGTTCGGCCCGCATGATGGCGGAATGTCTAGAGGCGAGGCGAAATGGTTACACCCGATACAGCTGTCTTGATGCTGTTGGACCGAGAGTCGGATGTCGTGCGTTAGTGGGGTAGTAAAGTTGCTGTGGGATGCCTATGATCTGCATTGTCTGCTCGCATCAATCACGCAACTAGAGTGAGCGACTCCGGTGGCAAAAGGACAAATTTTCATGTCCCCCACGACGTTAATGAATGATAGTGGAATCGAAGATGCACTGTTGTTCCTGCATGGCAGGCGCGAACTGACGTGGCTGGTCCAGAGGAAAAGAGGCCTAGTTGGCGTTGGACAGTGCATCACCGCGTCTTCGCATCAGAATGGACCGAGAGGAATCGAGAGAAAAAGCAAGATGGACGGGTAAGAAATTGCCAACGATGGTTGACCGTGCAGAAACGTATGGAGAGTTGATGGACGAGTAAGTGGAATAGGTAAATAACGCGTGCAAAAGAAGTGTAGAGATTGTCAATCGATAACACTAGGCGCCGAAGAGGCATGGCGTGTGTAACTTACTGCTCCTTCCGGAATGGGCGATAGACAGATTGCGGAGAGATGGCAGCCATAACTGGCGGTGAAGCTGGCCAGATGCGGAGAGCAGAGCAGCTCGCATGATGGGGTGCGGGCGAACCCGGTTCGTTGGCGAGGAGCTGACGTGCTGGCTTGGAGAGAGGAGCGTTGCACGTCTGAGGGAGGGCCAATTGCAGAGGGTCGCGCGGTAGGGCGGGCGACTGGCTATAATTACGCACATGGCTGTTACAGATCATCGTTCAGGGTATGCCTGGTGGATCAGTGACAGGATGGAACGCCTCGCTGATGGCTGGCGACGGGAGAAGTCGCAGGCTGTTCGACATGACACATGGCAGGGCGGGCGGCGGACGTGCGAGGCCATTATTAACCTCAGACTCACCCGTGTGCAGCATGGGCGTGGTGGAGGCACGGGAGACGAGGCGTCTCAGGCGTGTGGTTCTCAGCAGACACAGATGGCGTCTTGCATGGAGGGGGGCGCTGCGTCACCAATGGAGGAGCGAAGCAGCAAAGGACATGCTCGTGACGGCGGAAGGAGCACGACGAGCAGGGCAGGAGCGACGGTGCCGTCTCAGCGCACCTGGGCAGCAAAGCCTGCGGTGCGCGCCCAACGATGATTAGACGCAGCGCATGAACAGCCGGCTTATGTGGGTTATATAGTACGCAACGCGCCCAGCCGTTCTGAAAAATTGCTGGCGGAAACTTTTTGTTGCAGCTCGACGCCCAATTTGCCAGATGCGCCTGCCTCGCTGCTGCATATCCGCCCCGTCATTCCCAGCGCCTTGTGCCCCAGAACCTTCTCTCCCTCCCTTCCTCCCTCCCCAGCGCACACAGCGGACATGCGCCGGTAGCAATATTCAGAACGCACGCGTACAATGTGCACTCGCCGCCCGACTGTAGTCTGATTGTCGAAGCCCGCCCCGCGCCCTCTATCGATACCACCGCCACGCTAAAGAAACTGCCCGCGACCAGCCCTCAGCGCCCGCCCACCACCGCCGCCATGGCGAGCGATGCCCTCGCCCTCGCCTACCAGCCCACGTGCGAGGACTACGACTCGGACGAGAGCAGCGCCCGCGTGCTCGAGTCGCTCCGCCGCTCGCCGTCGTCGCACCCCAATGTCGCCGCCAAACGCTCGCCCGCCGACGCGGGCGGCGAAAAAGCACCCGCGGTCCAGCAGCAGCAGCGCGTGCCCGTCAACATCGACCTGCAGAGCGACTCTGGGTATTCCAGCCACACTGCCGCCACCATGAGCAGCGCTGATTCGGCCCCAAGTTTCTCCTCGATGCGTCCGACCATGCCGCCCGTCGTCGTCGCCGCCCCCTTCCCCTCGCAGAGCCCGGCCAACAGGAACAGACGTCCGACGCTGGGAGACCCGCGCCAGTCCAGCAGCCAGAGCCTGCCCCGCCCCAAGGGCCTCTCGCGCAGAGACTCGCAGTCGGCCAAGCGCCCGCCCGCCCAGCGCCGTCCGACCATCACCCAGGAGCGCAACGAGAGCCGGGACGACGACTGCACAGACCCCAACTGCACCACGTGCGGGCCCAATGCAGCCGTGCAGCGTCGGCGTGCAGACCCCCCGCCGTCCGACTCTGCCCTTGACGTGTCGTACCCCTACGATCCCCGCTCCCAGCGCTCGGATACCGCCTCACCATATGCCTCACCGCCGTCGCCGACATATGCCCGCCAGCCACAATATGCGCAGGGAGCCGCTATCGCCCAACCTGGCCAGACACGTCGACGCTCGTCGTCGAATGCACGTCAGCGCCCTCTGACCCACAACGGAGATGGCCCCGGCTATTGGGTGCAGGGCATGCCTGCACCCTACCCGAGTCCCCCTCAAGAACACGGCCCTCCCCCCTCAGCTTCAGCATACCGCAACATGCAGCAATACCCTCAGATGGCTTCCTACATGGCACCTCCTGCCCAGCCCAACGGCTTCTACACGCCCGCCTCATCCATCCACCAGACCTCGCCGCCCTACGAGTCACAGAGACCTTCCCTCTCTGCTCGCACCTCGTCCAGCTACTCGCGTACCAACTACGCTCCCCCCGTCGTTACGCAGGACCGTAACGAGAGGCCAATGTACTCGGCAAGGTATAGCCAGCCGCCGCCGAGTACGTCCCAGCCCAAGTTCACGCCGCAACCCTTGCAGCTCCAAGAGGGCAGCTCCGACTCCGAGTCTGAGTCGGAACCTGAATACCTGCCCGACCCGCGTGACGTTCGTGCTCTGATGCCCCCACCCAAGATCACTAGCTCTACCAAGCGACCCAGCATGCGTAAAGCAAAGACCACTCAGGTTGTCGAGCGTGTCGACCGTGGCGAGCGTCCTGAACGTCCTGCACGTCCTGACCGCCGCATGTCCCAGTCGATCAACAACATCCCAGAGCGCCCTAGTCCTAGGGATCGTGATCGTGATCGTGAGCGACCGTCACGCCCGAGTGCCACACTGACACGGGGTCCTTCAGTCCATCGACCTGCACTGGTGCAACAGCGTCAGACGCAGTCGGCATACGATACACCCCATGCTCGGGTCATTGTCGAGAACTCAAAGTCGAATCGTCGTCAGTCATATCAGGGCCAGGACAAGGTCAAGGAGCAATACGCCAGAGCTCAGGAGATGCAATACATCTCTGAGAAGAAACTCCAGAAGCGATCGTCAAAGACCTATCGAGAGGAACGTCGTGAGCCTGTCGAGTATAGTGTCGAGCAGAAGCGTCGCAACCGAACTTCCAAGGTCTACCAGGACGATCGATACGAGCCTGAAGAAGACAAGACTGAACAGAAGCGCAGGAATCGAGTTTCAAGAGTTATTCAACCAGAGCGCTTCGAGTCTGATGCATCTGACGCGGAAGGGCAGGTGGAAGAAATGGCACTAGTCCCACTCTCGACTCGTCGCCGCCGCGACACAGACGCTGATGCACGCAGAGGAAAAGATCGCACCCCGGAGCCGAGGAACAAGAGTATCGAAATGGCTGCTGAAGAGTACATGAAGGCCACACGCGGCGATCAAACCATCTACACTGACCAGGTCCACAAGGCTGCTAAGAGGGCCTCCAGAGCTCCCTCTGGTAGGCCTTCAGAGTCTGGGTCTTCTCAAAGTAAGGGAAGCGACAAGGAAAGTCAGTCTAATCGTACCGCCATCACCAGCGGTGGACCAAACGACGTGATCCGACTGCGAGTGGATGCGTCTGCTCCACTCAGTCTGTCGTTCAATGGTGACATGGAAGGCCGTACTCTGCAATTCACTCCTGCTGAGAACGGTATGGCGGATATTGTCATCGGCGGCGCACGCGGCAACGAAAACACCTATCAGAGCGAGAAGGGCAGCGTTATGGGCAGTAGTAGGAAGAATCTCATTGCCAACCAGGCATGGGACGCCGAAGATGTCTCAGAACGAAGCTCTCGCAGTGGACGCAGTAAGCGAGAGAACCGAGAATCGCGAGAGATCCGAGATGATCGAGAGGAACCACGACGTATTCTTGCACGTCGAAGGGACACTCACTATCATTGAGGAGCTCACAACGCTCTCAACCCTCAAGCTAGCAGCGACCACGACGCTCACGACTGATGTTACGTTTCGCAGCGTTTGTTTCGTGTGACTTTCATCTTCCTTCTTTCCATTCTCCATGCTCGTCTCTTCCTGAAAAAGCTTCCTTACTGGTGGGTGGATTGTGCCGAAACCAAAAGTTTTTTATGGACACCGCTGTTCTTTGGTCGTTCCTTGCGTCCAGAGTTTTTGCCAGCACTCCATTCACTTGAGAGATTGACACGATTGCTTGCACGCGTTTTGTGTTTGTTTGCTGCGTCCTCCGCGATGGTGCAGGTCACATTGTTGTTATTTGCTAGACTGGAGCGCTCACGCATACATGCATTCCACGCACAGATTGTACGGGTACGTTTTTGCGGGTTGTCTTTGGTCTTTTCCTCAGTTTCCACGACGTCGATTTCCAAGCCCTTCTTCTTGCTCTATACCAGCTCCTGGGGCTTGTCCTGGGAGCCATTCGCGAACTTTTCGGTGCATCTAATACCCCTTTTGCGTGTTCCTCATCCTGTCTCGAGCCGAATTGTCTTGTTTTCTGGACACACAAAAGCAAGGGTGGTTGTTCGTTGTTCGTTTGTTCGCTGCACGATTTACATACATGATGATGTTTATGCGATATACGGGATATATGATGACGATGTAGCGATGTTTTTCTTCCTTTACGGTACGCTCTAGAGCTTCAAGCTTCAAGTGCGCACGACGAATCGAATTCAAATGCTTCTTCTTTTTCTTCTCATGCTCTGAACTTGCCCCTCACGAGTCGCATCGTGCTTGCAAACTCGACTCCGTCTTTTCCTCGCCATCACTCCACCGCCCCAACCAGCCCTGCACGACACGACGCGCCTTGCCACGCCACGCATGCCGAAACATCCCAAAACAAACATTCCAAAAATAACTCCCCCGAACCCCTACCCCGTTCCTGACTACCCACGGCCCACCTCACCGGATCCCCCATGCCATGCCATGCCATGCCCAAAGACAACACTCACATAAGCCGCCAAGGCACAACGCACCGCGCCGCCTCACCGGCCGGCACGGCATCCCCGCAACACGACGCCCCGTCGGTGTCCGTGTTCGTGTCCCCACTTGCCAGTGAAGCGGCCACGGTTTCGCGCGAGATTGGAGGTTGGGGACGGGGCGGTGGGTGGAGTGTCACGTGGAGTGTGGGGCGGACACGTTGGATCGGGGGTCTGGAATCGAAGGTAGGGGATGTGGGGCGGCGAATTGGGAAGGCAGATATGTGAGGGTCGGGAGATGGGGGAGGGATGGAGAGGGAGGATGGAGGTTGGGTGGTGGTGTGAGGTAAGTAGTTGTGGGTTGTGGATGGGCTTTTCCACGAAACCGTTGTGATGTGATTTGAACTCGTATACACTATCGAACCCTCGTCGTCCAAACTGTAGCATATCAGCGCACTATACCACATATCCTTCAATAACTTCATTCCACTGCATTGCACAAACCAGAGTCCAGCGAATAAAGTACACTGACTTTTAAACATGACAGCGCCTACACATCACTCTCCCCATCCATGATCCCCAACACAAACAACCATCACTAGAACAGACTTCACCCCCTATCTCCATTCACGATTCAAATCCCCACAAAACCACCTCCTCACTTTCCCCCCCACAGGAACTCCCTAAGTAACCACTTCCCACCATCTCCTAACAAGCACACAACTCCAAACACCGACCACAACCAAAGAATGCCACACATCCACCTCTACGGATGTGCGCACGTCGGCAAACTGAGCATCTGCTACGGTACTGAGAATCAGAGGAATGGGGTGTGTGAGAGGATTGAGGCTAGGCTTCAGAGAGAGGAGTGTGAGGCGTGTCGAAGGGCGCGTGTAGAAGATAGGCGGGATAGGGAGGGTGGAGGTGGAGGCGGAGGAGGGTGGGGTGGGTTTGAGCGGAGAGATAGGAGGGAGTATGAGGAGAGGGAACGGAGGTGAGAGGTGGTGTTGGAGGGGTTTGGGGGGGAGGTATGTGGTGTGGGTGTTGTGTGTTGGATGGGGGATCGTTGAGGGTTGCTCCTTTTTACGGCTAAGAAGTGGGGCAGTCCCGAGAGTTCTCACCTTTGTTCATGGAGTCAACGGATGATAGCAAGAGGGAACTAGAACTATCATAATCAAGAGTATTTGCGAATCTGGGTTGGTCGGCGAAGCGAAAGATGAATGACTGACAAAGTTGGCAGTATATATGTTAAAGTGGTTGTAATATCTTAAGCCTACTTATTGAATTGTCAATCCTACAAACATTCAACAAAGTCTCTTGGCGACCATAACAGAGGTCCCACTCCAAATGCGACCAAGAAGAAGGCTCCGAGAGTTACCAGCAATGCCGATATCTTGACGATTGCAATCATGCTGAGGTAAACTTGCTCCTCGCCCTCAAGCTCTTCCCATACTGGAAGAAAATGAAACTAGATGAGGTTAGCGAAGGTAAGACATAAAAGTTTTACATTAATACGTACGGGAAAGGCAACATGGCCAAAGTCAAGAAAGCTAGCAGTGACGACGCCCATTGAAAGCCGAGCTTGTGATACACTGAAATTTAATTAGGATTACTCAAGACTAAAAGCTCATTGGAGGCGTACTTTGATTGGTGAATAGCGGAAACGCTGCTGAAAAGACACAGCGTGTAGTAGTGTTGGCAGCCATAGAACTTGCTGCATACTTGGGATATGCAGCTACCAAGAACGTGAACACTCCCTGGAACACGAAGAAAACCCTGTTGACATTCGATATCAGTAGGTATAACTAGACAAGTTTCAAGAGGAAGATACACACCCTGTACTGAAAAGTATAGTTGCCAGTATTGGCACGATCCAATGCACAGATGCATAGGTCGTCCACGCAAACCAAAACAATGACACAGTGACCAAAACTGATCCCGCCATCGCAGGTGGTAGTCTCAACTCGGGCTCAGGCTTGTAATCGTCTCCATTCTTCTCTTTCATCTTACGGATCGAACCCATCCAGTGCTTGTGCCAGAAGGGGTTGCAAAAGCAGGCGATCATGTTGCCTATCATGAGACCGATGAACGTGAGACCGATTTGCCAGAGATTGAAACTGTGATTGACCCCAAAGACTAGTGGGAAGGCACCAAACATCAGATAAAGTATCCCTTGGAGGAGAGAGGTGTAAGTGCAGAGAGCCAGAACCATGGGGTCGAGTAACAAGAGCTGGAAGGGGACGTAGAGGGAGGTGAGGAGAGCCCCCGACAGTGATTTTGACGCGCGGGTAACTTCGGAGGCTGAGTAGTACTTGTCGTTGTCTTCGCTTTTACGGAAGACCGCCGCCTTCCTACTTAAGAGAATGGGGTGGAAAGTTTCTTTTGTGAAGAGTACGCATATAAGGAGTAGTCCGGCCCAGATGATGGGAATGTAAAAAGACCAACGCCTAAGTCGGATTAGCAGGTGTATGCATGGAGGCATTATATACCAACCACGTGGTGAAAGAGTTGACGAAGCCGCTGATGAGAGGCCCAAGGGCTGGTCCAACAAAGGGAGCACCAGTGAAGACGGTCATGGGAACCAGAAGTTGTTGAGGAACGAACAGGTCGACTACAGTTCCACCAGCGACAGCCAGGAATGCACTTCCCGACAGACCGTTGAGGAATCGCGCAACCAGGAGTGTCTCTATGTTCTTTGCAACGGCGCACGGGATCAGCCAGATCAAGAAGAACACAGTGGAGGTGATGTATATTGGTCTGCGTCCATAAAACTGACATGCAAGTCAGTGAGTAGGGAGGCATCAGCGAAACAATAACCATACCTCCGATAGAGGACTAAAGATGAGCGGTCCAAGCCCGAGACCCAGAACGTAAAGTGACAGCCCGAGATTTGTGATCTCCAGAGAGCAGCCAAACTCTTCCATGATTTGATCGTAGCACGAAGTGTACAGCGATGACGTGGCCGTGCTGCATGTTGTTAACAAGTATCACAGGTAACAGACTCTGAAGCACTTACACCAAAAGAGAACCCATGGCCACGACAGCGACATAGGACCACTTCTTCGCTGCCGAAAAGGTGCGAGGATCTAGAGGGTCATCATCGCCGTCCCATTCCACCAGGAACGATTGATCAGCCTCGCGCTGCTTCTCCTCGTCGGGAAAGAATATCTGCCCTTGTTCACCCTTTTTACTTGACATGGTATATCTTTGGTCACTTAGACTGAGTAGTGAGAAGAGTATTGTACTCGATTAAGGAGGGGGCTTTGCCATATTTATCTGGACGACAACCGAATTTGAAATCAATCAAATTCAGAAAGACAATCATGCACCCAGCTATTGATACTAGTTCCAATGACGAATTCAGCCAGAAAGTCAATTGGTATCGCCGGCCATGTGTTTGCTCCGCCGTGCCTGACTAGCTCCTTCTGGGACGGATCTCATCGTGCCAATCAGCGTTCCTACATGTTCGTCCGCCGTGCTTATGTAAACTCCACTCACCTCCGCGGCCTTCCTCCGCACACTCCATCATGCCAGTTCTAGTGGGTCGCTAACAAGTGTTGCACTAAAATCTCACAATCGTATCTATCGTGCTTACATAAACCTCAACCTTCCTCCGTGCCTTCCTCCGGCCTTCCTCCGCACCTACCCATGTTCATTATTTTACATTGTGTCGTATGAAATGCCCCCTTTTTCGCGTCCTCTAGATGCTGCTCCGTTGAATCATGCCCAATCCGAGGCAAAGCGAAGGCGGCTGCGGAAGGGCACGCACAGCTGCTGGGAATGCAAGCGGCGGAAGATGAAGTGTATATTCGACGCGCCCACTGATGCAAACATCTGCCACGGCTGTAAACGACGAGGTTCACAATGCATCAGCCAAGAGTTTCCCGAGGAGGCCTCAGCGAATGCCCGTACAAGGGTCGAGACTCCAAGCACTAACAGCGATGGCAGCATTCATGACAGAAGAAGACCGACGACGCCCATTGAATATAGTGCAACCGCAGGCCACTGTATTTCTACTCCTGTGTCTATCATCTCGGAACCACCACGGTATCTAGCCTTCCACGAATATACCGAGGTTCGCCTTCCAAAACATCACGTCACCATGAATGTAACTGATTGCTTTCATAGCATCATACCGTCAATAATGGCGCTCTTCCAACCTCACAAGACAAGTTTGAGAAATTATCACGGTTTTTATATGGATCACTACCTTCGCGAGAAGACATAAGAAGAATATGCTCAGCCAGTCGCCACCCAGCTGTCCTCGCTCATGAAGTAATGACAACGCCCTACAGTACTCTCCATAAGAAAGGACTTGCGACGCCTGAGACGTTACTAGATATACCTGAGCCGAGCGCGCATCCTGTTTTGATAGCGAGATATATGCTCCTGCTTGCCACATTACTACAGCATCTTCACCCTGATTACCACGAGGGGGTAAAAACCTTGTCGGAATCGCCACGAGCAATCATGGACCGACTGGCAGATCTTGCCACCAGTCTTGTCACGACGAATGACGAACTTCTTGGCAGCATTGAAGGCCTGGAGTGCGTGATAATTGAAAGCGGGTATCAGGCGAATATTGGGAACCTCCGACGGAGCTGGGTATCATCGCGGAGGGCTATGAATATTGCACAGCTAATGGGTCTCGATATACCCAACAATCAAGCACAGTACAAGGTCCTTGACCCCAAGACGAAACATGACCCGCGACATATGTGGTTCCGAATCGTTTATTTGGACCGCTATCTCTGCCTCATGCTAGGCGTATCTCAAGGCAGTACAGATCGTAGTATGGCAATCGACGCAATGCTCGCAAACGATACTGAAATGGGACGTCTCGAGCGAATGCACTGCGTTATCGCCTCCGAGATCCTCGAGCGCAACAAAGCCTATCCAAACCTCCGCGACACTGTCCTGACGCGAGCTCTGGACGTGGAGCTGCAAAAAGCAGCCAGCAGCCTGCCCAGCAAATGGTGGCTAGTACCGGAATTCAAAATGTCCTCGACCGAACCACAGGCTATGTTCTGGAACACCCGCCGCTTGTTTGCACAAGTACAGCACTACAATCTCCTCAATCAACTCCATCTGCCTTATATGCTTTGCTCCAAGTCAGCTGAACGCAGCTACGAGTACTCTCGGATTACCTGCGTGAGCGCCTCGCGGGAGATACTCTCACGCTTCATCACACTCCGCAGATACAACGGCATCGCTTGGAGTTGTCGTGCCATAGATTTCCTTGCCCTCATGGCTGCCATGACCTTGTTGTTAGCTCACTTAGACAGCCGCCTCTCAGAGGCAGAAAATGTCCTCGCTCACCAATATCACAGCGACCGCGCTATGATTGAGCAGGTACAAGAGAATATGGAAGAAGTCAATCGCCTCAGTGCAGACGCGTTGAGTGCGAAAAGCGCTGACTTACTACGTCGCCTGTTGGCCATCGAGACCAAAACGTCAGATTGTCGTTCACCTTGTGCCACAAGGGTAAGTGTGCAGGGAGCGGGGACCGAAACGGTGCTACCGGATCGAAGTGATGACGCCGTTGTGAAGGTACATATTCCTTACTTTGGCATCATCAAGATTGCTCGTGAGGGTATGACTCTGGATGTCCCCAGACCACAAGCAACATCAACAACAACCAACTACCCATCTCAGCCGCAAGGAGTGAACGCTTCCACCTCAGTCAGCCTAGAAACCCTCCACTCAAGACCTCAGATGCATTCCTCCGAGCTCGCTGGGCCTAGCGTAGTTCCAAACCCCGAGACCATAACACCACTAAATGCGAGCTACGGCCACATCGAAGCACCCCCAATGATGTCAGCCAGAAACCACGCGCATGTAGAAACACTCCCAACCCTGGACACGGGCGCCGACGACGCCAACACACATTTCACAGCGCAACCGCAATACAGTCTATGCGATCCCCTCCCACAGCCTGGAGAGTACCCCGAACTGGCCGCCGGGACAGACGACTGGGCATTCCAGGGCGTCGACCTAGCATTTTTCGAGAGCTTGATCAGGAGCTCTAGGAACGAGGGAACTGGTGGTACGAACTGGAATGTTATCTGATTCGTTATAGATTGGTAGAAGTGCTATGTGGTAGTATGGTGATAATTTTACGATCAGCTTGAAGGGCTTATTCGTTTGAACATCGTGCAAGTGCAAGGAAGACTAGCATCGTCACGTTCACAATGCACACCAAGCAGATACCTACACAGTATAGCACAGTGACAGTGATAGTGATAGTGATATCAACATTGCCATTGACATTAAACTACCCCATCAATTCGAACCCCATCCCAATAGCCATCCCTCTTCCCCCAGAAAAGCCAGACAAGCAAGCCATGATATTCACCAGCGACGCCCAGAAAAAGCAAGGTATCCAACGCGACAAGCACAGCAAGAAAAACAGTACGAAGAAGGTAAAAACCCGATGCCGTCCAACCCCCACACCTCACTCCTTCAACCCCTCATTAAGCACAAGTTCAACCACAACCTGACACCTCTCCTGCTGCGGATGCTGCAAGCAAAGCTTAACAGTACGCTCATGGGCGGAGCTCCCACTCAGCCCATCATCCAAACACTTGACATCCCTACCGCTGATAACCTGTCTCAGGCGGCCATTCTGCGCATTGCGAATCTCCACGAAATCAGGGTCGAAGAGCAGAACATACGGGCCGTACATAGCAGCAGATTTCGCCTTGCCGACAAACTCCATAATGACGGAGCGACTAATATCGCCGTTCTTATTGATATACACAGCGCACTCCTCGTAGCAGAGCAGGAATTCCTGGTCCGAGAGGCGGAACATGCCGAGGGGCATTTGGCCCTGGAGGCGCGAAGCGATGGTGGCGACGTGTTGTTGTTTTAGGTCCGGGACGCTCCAGGGGAGTTTTTTGTCGAGGGTGAGGACCTCGAAGCCCTTCGCTGTGCTGATGGCGAGGCTCGATTGGAAGAGGTTGATTGTGAAGCAGTCGGCGGGGATGTAGAATTCGTCGTAGTCGCGGAAGTATTCTGTGCGGCCGGATTTCCAGATGCGGGATTTCTTCTCCGTCGACTTTTGGTATACGGGTTCGAGGACTTTGAAGGTCGAGGAGAGACTGTCGCGCTTCTTGTAGAAGACGAGCGTTCGGTCTTTCATGACGCCCGTTGCGAAGAAGCCGATGTCGCGTGCGCCGGAGAGTTTCTGGGGTGCACGGCGCGACGAGTCGTTTGTTGGTGGGACGCCGGAGACGGGGCACACGGCGTCGAGGTGGTAAGCTATGAGTGACTTGTCTGAGATGAGTAGCATGAGGCTGAACTGCTCGAGGACTGCTATTTGCGTTACTCGGGGGATTTGGATTGCCTGTTCTAATCAGCTGGCGTTTTTAATGGCGGCAAAGCTGTGACTTACCTTTGACCAGCCCCGGGGGTTTTCGAATTCAGCAACATATACGCCAATGTCCGTCCCGACAGCGACCATGTGCTTGCCATACGGTTGGTGGAACGCTGTCGCGCAGTTGACACGAGCTCGACAGATTGGAACCGGGCGCCCTGCGTTGGCGAACAGCTTCTCTACCTCGTCAATTGCCCGATCGAGTGGTGTGCCCTTGATGGTGATACTCCTTTGCGACGGCATCGCACTGTCGTATGCAAAAGCCGCATCAGCCATGACGCGAAGCCGGAAGGGTTCTGCATTCTGAGCAAACAAGGCAGCCGCATGTCGTGTCTTTGCAATGATAAGCTTGTCACACCACTCAGCCCTGTTTTGTGCCGACGAAGCATATAGGGTGTACGTCTCCTTGCCGAGATGCTTGAGCCTGAACGGATACAATATCTTCTCGTCCTTACTGCTGTCGATTGTGTTGGGGTTCACTAATCCCTTCCCAGATCCGGTCGTGTTCTGCGATCCCATGGAAGTTGACGTATGAGTATGTTGTAAGGCGCCAGGCCCAGGACCACCACCTGTTCGCCCAGAGCTAACGCCGACTTTACCAGCTGCTGTAGCTACTGACGAGATTCCCTTCATAGCGTTGCGTACAACCGGGTCGTCCTCCTCGCTCTCAAGAACAAGGAGATCCATAGGTATGGGTAGTCTTGAGACGTCATATTTCTGTGAGTTTGTGGTACCGTCCTGCTCCCGATATGCCACCATCTTGGCCAGTACCAGGTAGTGATCGAACAGCAATGCGTGAGTCTCGACCCAATTGAATCGACTGCTTCCCATTCTCAGCAGGTCGCCCCGGAAGATGAGCTCTCGACCCAGGTGGTCCAGGTTAAGTTCCACGCGTTGCATGCCAGGTCGCAGGATGAGCTTGGCCTGTAGATCGGTCAAGCCGACCTTGCGTTCCATCTCACCCACGCGACTATCACACTCCAGAGCGACAGCCTTGATCTCCTCCTTCGCAATTTGGAGATTGCGCTTTTCCTCATTGTCCACAAGCGAGTTTTTGAGCACCGTATCTATAAGCAAGCCGTAGCGCTGCAACCTGTCAATAGGTCCCTTGAGAAACGTATTCCAATCCAGCTTCTGAGAAAGTTTGTGCTTTTGAGCTTCAGTTAGGAAGGCGCGGAACAACATGTTTCTGTCAGATTCCTGGCGAACGAGGAAACTTGCGTAGGGGAAGTTTGCCGCGTACTCAATGTATGCTTGCTTTGCTTTTCTGATCCACTCGCGGAAGATGTCACTGAAACCAACAATCCATGGCCCTTGCTCTTGCTGCCGGTACTTCAACTGGGGCAAAAGATGATCTTCGTTTGCTTTCTTAACTGCGTCGACTTTGCTGAAGACGTCTTGAACGAACTTGTTGAGCTTTTTGGGTGGAATGACAGCAGGCTGCGCAGACGTGAGTCGATCGCGATACAAACGACGCAGGACATCCAGTCGCTCCATGTAGTTGTCTTCTCCTTGAACAATCTCGTGGAGAATGTTCTGTCGCTCGACTTCCTTCTTGCTAACATTGTCGAGATCTTCTTTCTTGACCTTGAAGTAAGTAGCCCAGTCATCCGATCGGGCAGCAGCAGAAGGCGAGTGGAGATCAATTTTCTTGAGAGTCCTGTGGCAGTGGTGTGAGTAGCATCGTCCAGAAGCTGTGTATGTATGCAACATTGGCGCGTAACATCCCGCCCCAGTGAGTTGGAAGATGACACCGGTCATGCTTGCAGTTGAGAACTTCAACCACTCTTCCTCGTGCACAAGCGTGCCCGCTCTATACATTTCCGCAACCACCCGACTGCTCAATGTTTCCGCATCAGCTACGTTCATCGTGGGGACCTTGTGGGTGAACAGCGCAATGAGACCTTCGTGAATACGCCCTTCTTTCAGGTCGTTCTCACCCTCGGTCATAGCTTTGAGCCAGGCGATGATTGAACTAAGCGCCCATGGCTCCGTACACCTTTTGAAGTCACTACTAGAGAGCTTCGCAGGATTGAAGCGCTTGCCCGCTGGGAGTGTAGGCAAATCGATGGGCGCCTCCGCGCTGGCAGGGGTCAATGTGTTTCCGTCACTATCCATAGCGCCGCCGTACAGGGTATTTCGGTTATTGGCCTGTCGCGATCTATAGCCCTGTTCGGCATCCGTCTTTGACCTCGGAAGTGGTATTGCTTGCGGAGCATTGCTATGCTGAAGGAGTGAGGCCGAGCGGGGTACTGTACCGGCCGGTGAAGCTATGTGCACAGCGTTGGGGTCAACGGGATATGATCCACGAGACGAAGGAGCATTGCGCCAATACTCGTAGGATCCAGTTGAACCTGTGCTCGAATGGTTCATCCGGCGGTTGTTACTTGCTGGAGGAGGTGGTAAGGGACGGTTGGTCATGCCGGGGTGATAGAACATATCTGGGGGTTCGCCAGGCATCGCAGATAAGGGTTCCATGAGGGTGGCGCCTGACATGACAGACGCAGAATCCATGAGGGTCGCCTCGTCTCCCTCGTCATAGCTTCGTCGCCGTGCGCTGGGCTCCTCCAAACCCCCAGTACCAAAGGTGTCGACGCGCGCATTCGTCGAGAAAGACGGAAAGGGGTGGATAGGGTCGTAGTCATCATTGGCAGGCTCGGACTGTCGCTGCGAGCCTGAGGTTGACAACGAGTGGTTTGCTCCAGCTATCAATTGATTAGGGTCTCCCCCGTAGTTGAAAGAGGGCGCAAAGCCACCACCATACAAGCCCATATCCATAGGACCATAGTCGTCGTCGCCTCCCACAGGCCGGCTCGATCCGACAGGTTGTGAGGAAGAGGGAATGGATGCATATGTGCTGAACCGGCCGGCACCTCCGGTAAGCCTGCGAGCGTCGTCGGCCGCTTCTTGTGCTTCTGCCAACTGGAGGGCAGCCAAACCAGCAGCTGCCTCCACATCACTCTCGTCGCTAGTGTAAGTATCGCGGACAGGATATGGCGCAAGGCGATCTCCGTTCACACGCTCGCCATTCCTCCCATTGTAGTATTGACCGCCGTTCGGGTGTTGGACCTGCTGAGCACCTGAAGTCATGTTCATTACGTCCAGGAAAAGCTGGTCCTGCGAACCATTTTGGGGCGCGAAATACTCATCGCTATCAGACTCGGCAGGGGGGTTGGGGAGTGGCCGTGAAGACGTGGTGTTCGATCGGTGGGGAGGGACCTCGGGCGTGGGAGGAAGCGTGCTCGAGTGGTGGCTTGAGACAGAGGAATATCTGTCAACACGTCCTTGGGAGTTGTAGGCATTGTCGTAGAGGGGCGGCGACGGGAGCGGAGCGTGATTGGCACCAGAGGGCTGGTAATACGACTGAGCGCGCGCGTTCGAGGGCTGGCGAGGTGCATAGTTGCCCCAGTCGTCTGTGGGGGACTGCGCACTGCCTGGGATTGTAGGCAGAGGCGGTGGGGCAGGTGTTGTGTAAGCTGACATCCTCCCCTGCACCGACTGCGTCCTTCCAAACTGCGAGTGCTGGTAGTTTGCGGGCGAGGGGTACGATGTAGTTGGCGACGTGGGCGAGAAGCCATACGGGTGGTTGACGCTGTTGGTCCTGCCGACGCCGTTGTCTACGTAGGCGGCTGGGTTGTATGGCAGAGGCGCTGACTGCGCGGCGGGAGCAAATGTCCTGTTGACGCCGCCATAGTGCTGGGGATTCGGCAACGCAATGGCGGGGGAGCCGTAGTTTTGCGGATTGTACTGCTGCTGCTGCTGGGACTGGTATGCATAGCTGTTGCCATAGCCGCCCGCCGTGGGAGAGGCTGGTCCCTGGCTCAGCTGCGGGGACATGTTGGTGCCGATGAACAGCTCGTCATGCTGGCGCGGGCGCGGTGCCTGTCCATAGCCCACGGCGCCTCCATTTGCCGTGTCGCCATTGTCGGGGCTGCGACTGTACGGGTCCTGGTAGTGGGCGGATGCGCCTGGGTTGGCGGACGGTGCGTTTGGGTCGTAGTAGTTCTGGCCGTTCCCGTAGTACGACATGGCGGGCGGTGCTCGCGAAGGCCGAGTCAGAGATGAGAGCGGGCGCGGTGGGGGGTGGCAACGGTCGAAGTCGTCATTCACTCAGCTGCTGCGACGTCGAGTTGCGCGGGCAGCATTTCGGGGGGCCGAGCTACAGCTTCCGATTATCGCGCCCTGGCCCAGCGCAAGCTTCCCACCAGCACGCACGCACTCACACACACAATTCGCTGCAGCCAGAAGTTTCCAGACTTCCACTGCCCTCGCACGCGCTGGCCTGAGCGCTCTCGCGGCTGTATGTCGCTGTGTGCCTGTGCGTGCTTTGGCTGCTACCAAGCGAGACGTGCTTGAAGGCGTCTGTAGTGCGGGGACGGGCCGTCGAGGGACGGGCTTCTGTGCACTTGGATGCGATTTGGTAACGTGTCAAGGCGCCGCGGCGATGCGACCAGGGGGTAATTATGCTCGGCCTGACTGCGAATGCTGCTGGTGCCGTTGATGAGTAGTCAAACTCGTGGGTGCTCGAGCGGAGCCAAGCAAGCTCCAGCTGAACGTGGCAGCCCTACGAAATTGCCCTGCACGCACCCTGACCAGGCCCATCCCTCCCCAGACTGCATGTTTGCCCAAAGTCGCCAAACACCAACAGCACTGCCATTGCATCTTGTACGCGTTGTTGAGAGTGCGATAACTTCATAGGCTGCACTTTCTACATCTCCTTCCTTTGTCTGACCATACGACCCATCGCAACTCCAGATAAACGCTGCATACACCGCCAACAACTTCAACAAATGCTCCGCAGCTGGATCTATCTACAACCAGCGTCAGTGAAATAGGCGAAGCTGGCTTGATCTTCGCGTTTCGTCACCTCCATCATGTACACGCCCGCAGTGTGACAATGCCGACTTACTCTCACAAATCACACTACGGCGCGTCCAATATGATCGCAAGGGTGCATTTCTGACATTGCTCGCGAACACTTGCAGGCTGCTCGACATATTGCGATTCTTCAAAATCGGACTTGTGTGTGTTGGATTCCATGTAACATCCCACCCGGACTCTCCTTCGTTGCATAGCACGTTGATCACTCAGTATCACCACTCAATCGCCACCCTCTTAGTTAATCGAAATACCAGGCACCAAGGTGCAGCAAAATCACGCAACAGTTTGACAACTACAACTGTATTTAGTATAGAAATCTTATGCCTAAGATTTCAACTGTATGCCGTACACATTTTAAAATTCTACTTGTGTAGTTTCGCACCTTATAGGAGCCACAGAGAACGCAGCTTACTTCCCGCGTTTACGGTTGACCGAGAGCTACCCTCAGAGAGAGACAGCACACTTTTCTGATGTTATCCGGAGAACAACAGGAACCCCCAGATTTTCAACATGACCACAATATTATAAAGGGCAAATATCTAATATATTGTAGGGCGACTCCAGCTCCTACGATATTGTGATTTCCAAGGCTTTTGTATATGTAGTTGTTGTGATATTATCTTGAAGAGATTTGCTAACACATTAGGAAAGAGTGCTGTTATTCTTTGAGGGTGGTACAATCGTTTTCGCATCTGGGGTTTGACTGAAATCGGGTTCAAACGCTTTCTTTCGGCTGTGGCTGAAGCATGTGTCAAGTCAAGGGTTCCGTGGAATGGATATGTCGCGATATTTAAACGGATGGCTGACACCACTGGAAGAATTCACGCGCCTCAATCCACTAAGCCGAGGATAAATTTCTCATCTCAAAGCTGGAGATAATGCAATGTCGACAAAGGGTTGATGCATCTACGACAACGACGAGGTGTATGAAGCAAGCCCCATACGTACGAGTGACCACATGCATGGGCAAGGCAGAGCGCTCGGCGGTATTCGAGTCTGAACTGGGCAGTGCCTTGGGATTATATCACCCCAAGGCTGAAGCATGTATCCCCAGACTCTTGAAGGCGGAGTAACTCCAATCAGGCGTTCCCAGCGTGATTCTCCAACATGAGTCGACCACGTCTTGCTACTTTGAGTGGCGGAGGGTGTGAGCTCTGCCCAAACCTTCCACATGCAGAAATACGCCTTGAAAGCAGCCAAGCCTCCACCATTTTGTTTTCCCGCTCCACCAACGCAGGGTAACGTCAGAGGAGTTTGCGAAATCATAGCCATGGGCAGATCCTCCACAACAGGAACTTGATAGCCCTTTTCGATACCAGAAACCAGTGCGACTCGTTAGCATCGAACCAGCCCGCTGTCACCGATCTCCATTCAGACCCTCAGTTCTCCGGCAGTTTTGCCAAGAAGATAACGAGATGGATGTCTATTCGCACGCGGCAACGACGGATTCTTAGGTGCTTAGCCCTCCGCACACTTGGGTGCCGCGACGCGTGCCTGTCGTATTCGATCGTCCTTCGGCAGGTGTTCTAGCGTATCCATGTACCTACGAGGGTAAGCATTTCAATAATGCTGCCCGAAGACACCCGTCGCAGTCGCCGTGCGTCGTCGCAAGTGCAGCGGCACAATGCAAAACGTATTGAACTGAAGATTTAGATCGTTGATAAGAGAATTCAATAGGCAACATTGCGTGTTCTCGACCTCCACTGCGGCTTTGGTTGATATCTCTACATCGGAGCACGCGATGTCTAACCAACGTAACGTCCACAAGCTGCGTGCGTAAGCGTGGTGATCATTTCCCTGGTCTGTGATTCGGTGCGGGTGAGAGCTACTGGCGCTAAGCCGAGCATGCGGGGTACACATTCATCTCTTTGCAGATGTTGCATTTCCTCGCATTCAGCGACAAGACGCAGCTAACTCAGCCTCTCGACCTAGCGCAGAAAATTTTGATACTCGAGACTACCAAAGACCTAAAGGGCCGTTATGGAGGCTCGTTATCGGCGCATGGGCTCACACCACGCAAGAGTCCTTACCCGCTCCCGTTCTCTATCGGTGCTGTCTTATCACGGCCGCCGTTAAGATTTAGTAAAGAAAGCCATTCGAAACCTTGGCGCCAACCCGCCAAGTAAAGCCGCTATCTTGAATAAGCAGGTGTGAAAAGCTCTTCCACCATGCTGGGAGAGCAAACGCGCGTGATGGCCTTATGCTTGTCCTGGCGATTGGCGCTGTACATAAGCTCTGGACCACCTACGGACTTGGACTGTGCTGAATTACCCTCGGTTTCTCCACACCATTACTTCTGTTTGCCTTGGCCGCCTTGGGTTACGGTGGCGTCGAGCAGCCAGCCTCGCTGACAACTTGTCTTATCAGTAGTTGAATTCCGCCCCACTGCCTCGTGTGTATAACTACCGGTCAACGGTACGACGTTGAGGCTCCCAAGGCTTTTTCGCTGCCTCACTTGTCTACGTACTTAGGAGGACTCTTCCTTCTCGAGCAAGCTCCTCTATCTTAGGAAACTTGTTCTGCGCTCTCATCAAAAGCAAACATCCGCCGTCGCCATAACTTGACCGGCGCTTTCAACCGCAATGGCCATCTTCAAGAGGAACTCCGGTTCCTCTGACGGCGCTAGCCCTCATGCTAGTGACCCAGAGTATGGCAACAAGGAGCACTACACAACTGGTACCGCCGGTGAAATGGTCGTCGGCTCCGATGGTGTCGTTATTCACCAAGACGGCAGCCATCTCCACCGTGGTCTCAAGTCGCGTCACATCACTATGATTGCCATCGGCGGCGCTATCGGCACTGGTTTGATTATTGGTACCGGAAAGGCTCTCGCTCAGTCAGGGTGAGTTCACAAGTCAAAATTGTGGTCGACACAATGTCTAACATGTTGTAGTCCTGGTTCAATCCTCATCGCTTACACTGCTGTTGGTTTCCTCGTCTACATCGTCATGACCGCCCTTGGTGAGATGGCCGCTTGGATCCCTCACGCTTCTGGTTTCTCTGGTTACGCTACCCGGTTCTGCGACCCTGCGCTTGGTTTCGCTCTTGGATGGACTTACTGGTGCAAATATATCATCACCACGCCAAACCAGCTTACTGCCAGCGCCTTGATCATTCAAGAATGGAAAACAGCAGACGAAGTCAATCCCGGTGTGTGGATCGCAGTCTTCCTGTTTGCAATCTGCGCTATCAATTACTTTGGTATCAAGTTCTTCGGTGAGCTCGAGTTCTGGCTCAGTACGATCAAGGTCATTGTCATCGTACGTGTTTTTTACCCGCAAACTGTGGCGCCAACCGCTAATATCATTCAATAGGTCGGTGTTATTCTCCTGTCTTTTCTCCTTGCAGTCGGAGCCGGCCCTGGCCCAGCAACTGGTTTCCAGTACTACAAGAACCCCGGTGCATTTAAACCTTACATCGGCAAAGGTAGCGCAGGCAAATTTTACGGTTTCTGGTCGTCTTTGATCAACGCGGTGTTTGCTTACCTCGGAACCGAGCTCATCGGTGTTACCGTTGGTGAGGCTCAGAACCCCCGCAAGACAATTCCCCGCGCCATCAAGCTCACTTTCTACCGAATCCTGTTCTTCTACTGCTTGTCCGTCTTCTTCCTGGGAATGCTGGTCCCTTACGACTCCAAGGATCTTGCTTTCGCCAACAAGGCCACAGCCAGGGCTTCCGCGTCGCCTTTTGTCGTCGCCATCAAGATCGCAGGCATCAAGGACCTTCCTGGCCTACTTAACGCTTGTATCTTGATCTTTACCTTCAGTGCCTCCAACTCGGATTTGTACATTGCCTCGCGTACCCTCTACGGTCTTGCCGAGCAGGGCCACGCCCCCAAGATCTTTGGCTGGACCGACAAGCGCGGTGTACCTGTCCCCGCTCTGGCCATCTCCGCCCTGATGTGCTGCATGGCTTTCATGAACGCCTCCAACGACTCCAAGGTCGTCTTCGGATACTTTGTCAACCTGACAACCATCTTCGGTCTCCTGTCCTGGATCTCGCTCCTCGTCTCGCACATCTTCTTCGTCCGCGCACGCCGCGCCCAGGGCATCACCAAGGACCAGATGGCCTACACCGCACCCTTTGGTCTCTGGGGCTCCATCATCGCCCTGTTCTTCTGCTGCCTCATCGCCGTGACCAAGAACTTCAGTGTCTTCACTCCCGGCTCGTACGGAAGCTTCGACTGGAGAAACTTCATCACCGGCTACCTCGTAAGTTTTCCTCACAATTCTCCCATCTCACAATTCATCATTACTAACTCTCCTCCCCAGGGTATCCCCATCTACCTCATCCTCATCTTCGGCTACAAGTTCATCATGAAGACCAAGATGGTCAAACCCCACATGGCCGACTTCTACACGGGCAAGGACGTCATCGACCGCGAGGAGGAGGCTTTCATCGCATACGAGGCTGAGAAGAAGGCCGCTAATGGCGGCAAGAACGGCAGCTGGTTCTACAACACGTTCGTCTCGTGGTTGTTCTAGATGCGTCTTTTTCGTGCTTTTTTCGCTCGTTTCTGCTGCGTTGCGATATGATACCAATTGTTATGTTATGTTATGATTTGTCTGTGTGGTTAGCGTAGCCGGCTTGGCTTAGCTTGGCTTGACTGCGAAACGATAATGGCATATTCTTTGAGATTTCATGTTGGATTGTATTGTCGTGCTGTGATGTGATCTGGTGTGCTTTGTCTTGCGTGAGTTTGATCTACCGTCCATTCTACGTCTCATGTTTATATACCAATCTTGCTTCTCACCATGCGCGCAGTAACTCACTACCCACAACTTTCTGACCATCTTCTGAGAAATACAAACAGACCCGATCGCACTGTCATGTTCTCCGCCTGAACAGGTATCTACTGGAGCGAATTTATGCGCTTCCCTTTTAATCCAAAGTTCACGTCCACCTTACCCCGCGAGACCAGCACTTTTGTATACCACGCTCCGCTATAAGCACATGCACAACAATGTATATAGTCTGGTATTGTGTTACGCAAACTTGGATGCGGGATCGGGGGTTGGTGTATAATTGGGTGTGGGAAGGCGTGATAAGGTGAAGTAAGGTGTGATGTCTGGTATGCCGAGCATCAAGGTTGTGTAGGGAGTGTTTTGTACTTGATGTTGGAAGCAGAGGTTGGATGTGTGGAGGTTGTTAGGGTTGGGATGGGATGGGGAGGGGAGAGGTGGATGAGAGGTGGGTGGGAGGCGAGAGGCGAGGACAGGCTTGAATGTGTGGATGAAGAGATGGCGACGGGGATTGGGACTTGGGAGATGATACTGGTTTAGGAATTTGGAAATTGGGGGAAATGGATGCTGGGCTAGTCATTCATGGTGGGTTTCCCGGAGACGGAATGGAAAATGGATGGGATTGGCTAGATGGGAAAGTGTAGAAAACGTTGCGACATCTGATTCCTTCTGATATGAATCTGACACGACGTGAGGAGGAAAGAAGAAAGTGACTAGGCCAGAAAGTTGCTAGTCCCGACTCGACGTCATGTGTCACGAGCTTCTTCACTCTCGCAGTGCCAGATCTTGCCTGATTCTCAACGCTGGCGATTCTGCGACCGCTTGAGCTACTTGACGTGTAATCACTCATGCCCTCACGCCCTGTCATCAAACCGCAATTCCAAACAACGTCATCAGTAACAGATAGATCCTCCACGAGTCACAAGAGCAGAAACACAACTCCAGGCTGGAATCGTGACAAGGCAAACGGGGCGCGCCAACCACCTCGTGACTCTCGGCATGCCCTTTGAGCCCTGACAAAGGTTTGTCTGCCTGCTTTGCGATGCAGTGCAGTGTAGCCTCGTGTAGCCTAACGGATCAGGCATGCACTCCGGAAGGACAACCGGAGCGTCGTTTACGCGCGCTTCGTCCTTGTAGTACGAAAACGTGGGAGCTTAACACTTTTTTATGTGACGACACGTTACTTTGAGGGAATGTTAAGGGGCATTGAGCGGGTGAGCGCAGCGTTTTCCAGCTATGGATATGCTGATAGTGTGAAGGGACATCGAGAAGGGAAACACACACGAACCTTCGTGTACGACAAGCCAAACCATCCAACGTCCAGTAGATCTACTTGCTCGTGTTGCCATGTGGTCAATTAGTTTTGATCCTGGTAATACGTATTCGCAACATCACCGCCACACGTCTCAATTGGTCACTTGCACATCTCCCGCCTGCTCTACACCGCCGTTTTGAACTGTGGGTCTGAAAAGAGCCACTTTGCGATCGAAACGTGGATAATCCTCCACTTGTGGTCTACTGTTATATCGTCCAATCCTATATGGCTTTACTTCCGTTCCGACGTCGGATGGATATTGTTCGCCTGCACCGACACCACCACCCGATCCCACGATACAGGTGAGAACCTGTAAACTAGGAGATATCTCATCATGCTCATCGTCCTCTGTCAGTTTGACACAGTAGTGATGTATTTTGAATGGCCGAGAAACGCATGTTATTGGTATGGCTTAGGGCACCCGTTGCAAATGTGACGGATGGTTGAAGGGACTCATCGGGACGTCAGAGGGCACTCACGATGCTATACGCCCTTTGTTATGTGGCTTGGAGTCAAAATTAGGGTCACGATAGACTCTCAACGTCCCTCGTCAGCTTCATCTTAGTTGAAGAGTTTGAGTATAATTCGGATCACTTTTCTCCTATATTCAAGATTTTTCACCAAGCACCTTCTCAACACACCTCATACAACATCAGTGAACCTCAACAGATCAAGTCATCATTGCTCCTGAAATTCTTACAGATTTCGTTTCTCTCCTACGGCATTCTCTCCTTCTTGGTCTACCACTCAAGCGTTGTTTCATTTGTGTCCATCACGCGTCCCTCCAGCCAATTGTGTCCAATTCTATCGGAAAACCTCAGAAGTACCACAAATTTGAACAGCCTGAACACTTTGATCATTGTCGATACCTCAGCATTCCGCACGCCGGACCGAGCCAAGCAAATCATCGCTACGAGTTCTATTTGCCTGACCCAACTGCTCGATTCTTCGACCTATAGAATTTCTGCAACAAACGATTTCTTAGACATAACATTCATCAAGTTCACTTTCGAGTTCCACCAGCCATTATCCATCGCAGCCAATCCATCATGCATCAATCCCATGGTGGCACCGTTCCCAACGACATGTGGATATGCTGCAGCTGCAATGGCGGGAATCTCATCGCTCTCACTGACGGTGTCTGTCCAGTCTGCAGCCACACACGATGCTCAAGCTGCATTGGTCCCGGTGGGACGATTCCAAACGCAGCGTATCCCATGTCTTACTACCAGTCTTCCAATACTCATGACACCTATGTCGACTCGTACCATGTTTACTACACTGATGCATCTTCGCAGCCTGTTGCGCATTATCATGGTGCTAAGCCTTCTTGCATCAACTTTTCAACACCTGATGATGTGTGGATATGCCCGGAGTGTGGATCGCCGAATCGTGACTGGTATGACAAGTGTCCGATCTGTGACGTTGGTACAAAGCCTTCGTAGAGTTGTACTAGCTCTGCAAGCATCACGAACTGGGTCAGTGCAGGAACTCTAGCTCCGCACGTTTGAAACTGCCAGTAATATGGCGATACGGATGGTAACCCTGCGCCAGGTAGTTGTCCTGCGTAGGGATACGATCGGTAGGTCAGGGTACGGTGACTGCTTTGCTTCACCATCTTTCACCTGATTTTCTTTTGGATGCTTCGATGAGGTTTCTTCTTGTTTTCTGGGTACCCCTTTATCTGTTTTTCTAACCTTTCTTTTGATAGTTGGTGGTCGCTTGTTGTTTGCTATCTTGCGATGCAATGTCGTTCTTTTATTCTCATCTCGTTGTTTGGCCTAGATAACTTGGGCGGCGTCATGCTTCGATTCCATGTTTTAATTGATTGGGTTCTTTCTTAGATTGCCTCAAGATGGCTTTTGTTTTTACATGTATCGGCGTTACAGGCGATACGTGGTATGATCGTTGTAACGTGTATAATATGTTTTTCATAGTACACATCTAAACATTTTATAATAATCCATTTTTACCCGTTCAACAGTATCATGTGTGTCAAAGACTACGAAATGCAAGAGCATATCAAGACGTTCCACAGCCCAGCAAAGTCTATCGATATGACGTTTTCTATTGATCAACATCATAGTGCGATGAGCTTCGGCTGAGTATTTGGCTTAGTAGGGTAAACGTCAATCCTAGGCATACCGTTCTGGCCATCGCACTGTTGATAAGTTCTAGCGCATTGAAATACCAGTGACAAGGACATTCACATGAGAACAACAGAAAAAGGATTTAACAGGTTAGCCTACATGGTGATCAACACGCTAGTGAGGCGGGAGCAAGCGATGCTGACAAGGTCGACAGTTTGCCCCACCTTTCTACTCAACTCCAGGCGGCTGCCTGGCTGACTTATAGATCCAACCCAGTCTTTACACTACCAAGGCAATGACGAGTACTTCTACGACTAGAAGAAAGACCAGGACCAGCACTCCGAGAGTGCGGACTGGGTGTCAGACTTGTCGGTAAGTTCGTGACTAGAACTACAGCTTACACTGTCTGGGTAGACACCATCAGCTGACAAAACGATAGAAAGAGGCATATAAAGTGCGATGAAACGGAACCATTGTGTCTCAAATGTGCCCAAGCCGGATGGAAGTGCGATGGTTACGTGAGACGTAGTTCAAACCTCCAGCCCTCCGCAAGTGACAAAAGCGTGGCCTCAACAACCTTGCTAGAGTCAGCGCTTTCCATTACCAGGTACTCACTTCCATTCCGGATTCCGGGTTCTCAGAAAGACCGGCAATTACTTCATTACTTTTGTGTCCAAGGCTCCTACGAAATGGCTGGTTATCTGAGTTGCGACTTTTGGACCAGGACAGTCCTCCAGGAGAGCTATCGAGAACCTGTTGTGCGACAAGCTCTTGTGTCGCTTAGTTCGCTCCATCTCGATTACATTACTTTGGCTACGCCTAGAACTGAGGTAGCAAGAGGCGAAACACTGGCCCAGTACGGCAAGGCACTTCGCGCACTTGGAAAGCACCTCGAAAAACCAGACATGAATGCAACCAGGACAGCGCTTATTTGTTGCATTCTGTTCTACTGTTTTGAAGCCACTCTTGGTAACGATCAAGCTGCTATGCATCATCTACAGTGTGGATTAAATACACTGACATCCTACCGTCAAGTTGAGGGATTTCATGAGACTCAAGACATGAGTATACTGTCCCGTGTATTTGAGCGGCTGGACCTGCAAGCCACCTTGTTCGACGATGGGCGTGTGCCTAATTTGGTGTTGACGTCCGACGAAGATCGCGAGATATGCACTACCAACCTAGGCTGTGTAGAAGCCTTCTCGCGGCTCGATGATGCTTACCGCTCGCTCATCAAACTGCAAAACTGGCTCTTCCACTTTCTTACTAAGAACACTCTCTACAAGCCCCATGAAAGAGAGGCAATTCCCGCATCTGTTTTGCAGGAAAAAGATCATCTCATGAAGCAGTTCAACAGGTGGATGGTCAGATTCGACAACATCAGATACCAAGCGAACCAGGACGACCGGGAACAATGCGGTATTCAGACTCTCCTCATTCATCAGCAAGTTTCAAGCATGCTCCTCGAGGCAGATTATCCTGCCGATGACAGTGTCTTTGGCGCATCTCCGAATCCCAGAGCCGAAGAGGTCCTTGGTCTAGCCGACAATGTGCTTAGGCTTACTAGGCATGAAATCACGTTGGGTAAAACGGCTAAGAATTCATGCCGAAACTTCTCCTCAGATACTGGTGTAGTAGCTCCACTGTTCACGTTGGCCATGAAATGTTCAGACGAATCAGTATGCCTGAGAGCTACTGAGCTACTTGCTACGTCGCAGAGGCGAGAAGGCCTATACGATGCTCAAAGTATGGTAGCGATCATCCATCAATTCAGGGATGCCAGACAGCAAAAGCGGGTACGCTCAGAGGAATGTCGCATTGAAGACGCCACAACTCCATCGCTCGAGACACTTTTTGCGGATGAACTTAACAAAACAACTGGCGGTATGGACAGAAAAGCAGACTTCATCAATTCGTTGCCTCTTGCTACTTATCCTCAAAACTAAATACGTGATACTCAAAATTACCAGCTTCAGAGGACCATAGCCAAAGCGAATATAGCAAACCACCACGTTGGAACGCTGGAACGAACACCTGTACCAACGGAGGACAACGGCGATGTAGAGTTGTCGTTAATCCTAGCAGCAAAACGCATTTCTTCTTTCCCAAAATCGAACACCGATACTACATTCCTGAGGAATGCGTCCCCTAGAAAGTTCAAGGCGAGACCGTCACCAACTCCAGTCGAGGCAACGCTGGAGTAGCAGAACCCACTGGCATCATGATAGATGAGGTCCTCCGGACGCTGGTGCCAGAATGTATGCCCGTCCAGAATTATGCCGAGCTCCGGGGTTTTGGCATCGCAGTCAACAACATACACACCAGACTCCTCATCGAAAACGCCAACGGGGTTGAATGCACCGTTAATAGCCTCAGCGATGGCGGCGGGAAGCAGATTCATGTGGTTACCAGTGTCGACTACAGCCTGAAACTTGGTAGAATTGGTAATGGATGAATTGCTCGACGCACTATTCCAGGTAACCCCGTCTATAGTTAGGGTCATCAGGGTGATTTCACGCTCCCCGCCGGTCAGTTCGTCTGGCAGATCCTTCGTAACCTCAATCGGCTTAGTAGCCCAGTCGTCGGAGTGGGCAACGGGTGGTAGTTCACCTAGACCAAGCCAGCCGCCCGGACCGCTTGTCACGTTTTCGAGCAGCCGCTCGATAGCAAAGCTGTACCACGGCTCGACAAGTCCCTTCTTGTACATGCCGACGAAGACTGGATCGTAGACGGCACGGTTGATAAGCAGCGTGCTATTATCGAGTTCCGTGCCAGGATGTGCCGATGTCAGCGGAGGAAAGCCCAAGCCGAGAACGCCGCTTCCGAGTCCATCGCCTGTGTCGTTGGTGCGGTCGACAAGTCCAATTTGTTGGTGTTCGATTGTGATACCATTTAATGTGATATCGGCAAATCCAACTTTACCTACTGCAATCCCCGTACCGTACTGAACACCAAACGTCTGGTTGGCGACATATTCGGTTGAGGCCGGCACATGGTACGTCCCGCCAAAATAGCATTTTTTCTGTGGGACCTCGTTCCCACTTACTGGCTCAACGCATTGGAAATCGGCTACCGGGACCCAGAGGTCGCTGCTTCCCGTGTCGGGGATGAGATAGAAGGGTTGGTTGTTGATTAGGACTTCGATTCCAAATATGATACCGTTTTCGGTCGATATAAGTGGCTTGGAGTAGGATTGTTGGCGGCGGCCGAGGGGAAGAATAGTACCAGAAACATAGCTAGTGCTGGCCAAGAGCAGAAGTAAGATTTCGGGTCTCATGATGATTGAAGATTAAGCAGTTGTTGAACTTGATTCTAACAAGTGTGATGGATGTCTCTGAGAATATGGAAAGTGAGATGTAACAATAACGAACCTGACGGGATCTTACTTTTATATGCACAACCTCAAATAAACGTTTTTCCAAAGGCCGGAAGCCTGTAGCTAGGTTCAACACTTACATGTACATCTTGCTATCCCGTATCGTGATTGGCCCTATCGTCAATTTCCATGAAGATCATTACGAGGCTGAGTTATGTTGTAATCTTGAGAGACGGGGCTCCAGATTAGGCGTTCATTTCCATATATATCCAAAGGAGGGCGATGCGACTTCCTGACTAGCCGACTGGAGAAAGGTGTGAGACAGCTGCGTGTATCATTCTAGGACTCTTGAAACAAGGCCGATAGGGATTGGTCTTGTCGTCTATTTTGCGATACCACACCCCACCTGGATTACTGACCCAAAGGCATGGGGGGGCGTATTGGAGCTGTGCGTCAGCGTGTTGTGGGGCTACCGTATAAACTTGTTCAATCCGTAGATAGCTAGACAGGGGATGAGCCGAAGCGAGTCCTCTGGCAATTGGGCATTTGGAGTGGCTGAGTGGCTGGGCTTATCCCACCACTCGCATGTCGACTCGCTTCGCTACAACCCCTGTCTAGCTATCTACGGATTGAACAAGTTTATACGGTAGGTCAGAGGCAGTGTTGAACCCTGATATCTGATTCGCTCGTCAATTTTGTATTCTCTGTTACCGCGTGCTGTAAGCAGAATCGCGGCTACCGATTTCGCCAACTGAGCTACTATCGAGTGGACAAACGCCATAGTCAACATGATTGCTGTTGTATCCTCAACCTTTGTCTTTCCAGTCAAAAATCAGAACTTGGACTAGATACACTGACTAGATATCATAAATTGATCTAATCGCTGTTTAACCGTAATCATGGCAATTCCTGTTTCTCTATTTACACTCGAAGTAATTCTCCTGCAAGGTATCATGTAGTCGAGCGAAGACCCCACTGTGCCACGTCCTGAAATCCTTCCATTCCTCCTCGGGCATGGTGGCGGAGAGCATGTTTAGCCACCCACCCACGATCAGATCAGCATAGTTAGCTTGTTTCCCTTCAAGGTACGGTCCGGTTTCATGAACCATAAACAACTGAGCCAGCGACGTTAACGCCACCTTGAACGCTGCCTTGAGCTGCTCTCTTGCCTTGCCCTGGATGGAAAAGTCATCCCAGGAGCTCAGGTGGGCGCGCTTAACAAAGAGAGCCCTCACGGCCTCGGCTGTGTTCGGGTTGAAGGGGAGGTACTGGCCGACGAGTACCACATGGGCGGAGAAGGTGGCGTCGACGTGCATGTTGAAACTTGCGTAGGCCTCGTTTTTGGACCCTTGGTTGGAAGTTAGGGGCGCGAAGAATGGGGTGTCCTTGTTCGGGCTCTCATATTCGAGTCCAGTGCGGGTGGAGTTCGAAGGGAAAAGGCAGCCGCCTGAGTTTGGGAACATGTCCTCGAGATAGTTGGCGATGTCGTACGAGTCGCCAATGACCTTGCCCGAGATGGGGTCCCGCAGTATGGGCAGCGTGTAGAATTCGGAACCATCGTCGAATCTACGGGTGGCCGGGCAGCCGAGCCCTTTGCGCACGTTAGAGATATCGAGCATGTCGACCCAGTTCGTTTTGAAGGGTACGCATTTGAAGCTGAGCGCGAGACGCGCCTTGGAAGGATTGGGCGCATAAGAGCGGGGTTCTATGGGTGAGGAGATGTCGTAGAAAATGAAGGGGTTGGAGTCTGTCATCTTGGAGGAGGTGGTGAGAGTGCCTGAGCCAGCGTGGTGTTGCGTGACTGGCGCAGAGTCACACCAGATATTGACTGGCTATATCTACTTTAAGCGTGATACAGTATCCCAAAAGTCGTCAAATGTCATGTGCTACAGGAGCAAGTCCACAATTTACTAAGCCATGTCGTGTAACAGCAATGCCTCTATATACACCAATGAGCTAACAACAATGAGTCAGTCAGAGTATAGAAACTTGACTTGCGTGCATGTCAGCTTGTGTCAGGTCAGCTTTGTAGTAGCAATAAATCGGAGGATTGCTCCATGTGAGTTGTATAACTTCATGTAATATTCACACTTGGTGCTCACTTCGTTCTCAATTTCCCCTCTCCGATGCGCTCCAAACAACAAATATAGCGATTGACCTTAGCACAGGTAACCGATGGCCAAAACGTTTTGTCCGAAATTACTTTTTGGTTTGAGATATCCGACTAAGATACAGTCAGCGTACAGCGCATTTACGGCGACTGGACCAACCCTTCTTTGGAAAGCTGAAATCATGCCTGCTGGACAACTCAATCTTCCCGATACTGCAATCTACGTGCACCAATCCAAAGTATTCCATTAACAGCGCCACGGTCATCGACGCTATGGTCTTGCTATAGACCGATCGCTTCTCCAGTTCTTGTGACGTCTCCAACCATAGCGACTTTGCGCACCTTGGAGCGCGCAACCGTGAGCGGAGGGTGAGAGTGTACAGGTTTTGAGGGCGGAAGACCACTACCGCAGTTACCGCCGTCAGCGACAAGTCCGTAGAATTATGTTATAGAATCGTGCCGTTGTGCGACCTCGAAGAGCTGATGCATGTACACCAGACACCTCAATTATCACCGAGGGCAGCTAAAACACTACCTGAAGCAAGTATAAGTTCGGTCTCGAATCCGAACATTCGAATGCTGTCGAGCTGGTGACGCTCATCATTCAAGCCACATCCCTATCTGCCCTAGGGATGACGGCATGAGGTCCATGGAAAACAGTCAGTGCATTCAGAGAGTGGCATTCTTTTTTGGAGTGCTGTAAGAAACGCTGTAACATGTGAGCTCGTGTATTTGTGGCGAATCCAATATGTTTGAATATCGCCACCAAACCCAAGTAAGAGACTGGAGTCAATCATACACTTTGTCGTTGGTTTTGTGTACGCCTCGTCTTGCACCTACCCCATCCGTTAGGAAATATCCAGTTCACGTTGCGTCAACAAGACATGCGCATTCGTCGATGTGCGCATTGGAAAATCTGGCGGTCGAATTTTGGAACAATGAGACTATCAAAGATGTGTAGCATTGCGTAACAGTCGACAAGCTTGGTCGTGAAGACAGCAAGGCAAATTTGAATCAGAAGAGGATGTGAGAATCAAGTCGTCGAGGTGTCTTCTGTATGATCGAGGAAAGGTGCGTGTTTATGACACTCGACGTTGGTGTCGTGTGCTTGTAACGTAGTGTTCCTCATTCCTCGCCTTTGATTCTCATTTCCGCTCCACAGCATTGAAATGAATTGCCTATGCGCTGTTGCACCAGCTTGGTATTGATGAGTACAGATATGTACCGCTGGCTTCACGCTATTCGTTGGAGTTGTTTTCCCATAGCCATGATTTCCTGCTTGGCATCCCCACAATCTGTGTGAATACAAAGTAGTTCACACCTCACATGCCTGTAGATAATGTTCGTTCCTACATCCGCTTTGTTGGAAGTTGCCGATGGTTCATAAGCCGGGCTAAGCGAGATAGTCAATTCTGGTTCCACAACCTTACCTCACCAGTGTATCACGCCAGCGCTCACCAGAGCCCGCAGAAATCCCCAGATCGTAATCGCCAATTGCACTCATTGTCGGGTTACTGTCGATAGCCAATGAAGCGCACGATTCATGTTTGGTATTCCGGCAATGCAACCGGCATCCCAACCGGCCAAAGTCGCCTAGTCACCGACCAATCATGCAATTCCCCAACTCACACTCTTGGCAAATCGAAAAACCGAGAGAGTGACAGAATCAATCATACAAAGCTAAGGTTGGTCAAGGAACTGTAGATGTAATTGTACAGTAGGCAAAATCTGTCACCTCCACGCCGAGTGTTAGGCGGCGTTGAGCGCCCAATGACGAATCTTTATTTCCGGTATCTCGTGCCGATGGTCACATGGAGGCCGACACGTCATTACGCCACGAACGACTGCAGAAGTCGGAAAGAAACTCGGGGTGCTTTTTGCGTGATTAAGCGTAGAAGTACACTAGAAGACAACTAGAAGTAGGCGCTCGGACGAGAGACTGCATTCGAGCTAACGCTGGGCCCGGATGCCAGCCTATGGAGTCCCCGCCGAAAGGGCTAGCGTGTATGGGGAAAAGCTGGAGAACATGGAGAGCGACTAGGTTGAACTTGTGGCAAAGAAACGCAATGCAAGTGAGTAGTCGGAACTTTATCATCATGGATCTTAGATGGCCATCTGACAGCGATCAGCGTTTCGAGTTTTGATCGTGTTCAAGATGCAGAGGGGAAGTCAAGACAAGCTACAATCATACAAAATGCCAAGTATCCTCGCCTGCGACACATCCCTGATTCGTTGCTGAGACACACCTAACATGGATACACAAAGTGGCGAAGATAGTTAGATCAACCCTGCGGCATTTCTGTCTTTGCGTTGGGAAAGCCGCCTGCGCCTTCACCCGCTTTCGCGCAAGAGCCAGCTTCGTGTTCGTCGTCTGGCCATGATCCAATATCTAGGTTTACAGAAATATCACGTAACAAGGGCCTCAACATTCTCCCAAGTATTCGTCGACAACAGCACGGCTAGACACCAGTAGCCGCGCTACAGGCTGCGCACAGACACTCCCGTTTATGCCAAGCTACCACGTCTTTGATTAGCGGCCGCCGCAGTCGTCGAAGGCTGCTCGTCGGCTAGCAAAAGTCGGCTTGGGTTGCTTCAAGCCCAACATGTCTTTCTTGGGAGTTGCTGATCGGATCGTGTGCATACATCATATCTGAGCGCAGATCTTTGACGATCGAGAGGGGGTTGCGTTTTTGTTTCTGAGGCAAAGGAGTCGTGAAATTTCTGCCGTCAGCTGCCCCACGTGTGGATTGTCCATACCTATCGGTTTTCTCCACGGGGTTGACTAGTCTGTCATGGAGATTGCTGCGGAGCCCCATACCGAAAAACTCGTTCAACGTGAGGCTCAACGACACTGTGGGGCGAACCCGGGGTCCTATGCATGTGCTCTGTTAGTGAGATATCGGAGTTTCAATGATTGGACATAGCTTCCGATATAGCAAGGATTACCGGCGTCATGTCGGTTTGACCTGGGAGCTAGGATGCGTCCGAGGATCATGTAGCCAATCGTAAAGCTTCTTTGAGAGAATTTGCGGATACAGATGCTGGGGATGCAGTAGTGAAGGCATGCCTACCTAGCAGCAGCGCTTCAACCAGCAACTAGTGATGCACTACAGAAAGTCGACCTTGGCTTTTGGGTCTGGATGGCACAGGCTGTTAGTACCAGGAACCTGGAGAAGGATATATTGTGATGCGCAAGCCCGTCTTGTAAATCATCAGCTCCACGCTTCTCCAGCTTTTCGCATATCTGGGGTTCAGCCTGTACTTCACGTTCTTCATTGAACTGATAACCACTGCTCTTTCTCCAATCACTTTGCCACACACCACTCCAATATGGTGTTTGGACTCGGAGGCTCTCAGGAGCCTACTCTGGACCAGGTCCATGAGCAGCAGGGTCGTCGTCCCTCTGCCGTTGAAGTCATCGCTGAGGATCGACGACGCAAAAGCGTTGACAACCGTGTCGTTACCGGTGCCAGCCAGATCACCGCTCGTCAATCTATCATCCCAGTTTGCCTAGTCACAACTCTCTTCTTCTGCTGGGGTTTCGCGTACGGTTTACTCGATGTCTTGAATGCACGTTTCCAAGTCGCCTTGGACATCAGCCAGGGAATGTCCTCAGGTCTGCAGGGAGCTTACTTTGGGTACGTCTTAGTCACTTCTTGATCTTCCTTCGACTGCCGTTCTGACATGTTATGCAGCGCCTACTTCATTGGTCCTCTGACCTACTCTGGATGGTTCCTTCGTCGGTTCGGCTACCGATACACCTTCATCCTCGGTCTCTCCATCTACTGTGTGGGAGCACTGATGTTCTGGCCCTCAGCTGTCTACCGCAGCTTCCCCGGCTTCTGCGGTTCCATGTTCATCGCTGGATCCGGCTTGTCAACACTCGAGACTTCGGCCAACCCATACATTGCTGTCTGCGGTCCCCCCAAGTGGTCTGAGTTCCGTCTCGAGCTCTCCCAGTCCATTCAGGCTGTTGGCTCTGTCGTCGCTCCCGTTCTTGCCTCCTACGTCATTTTCAAGAATGTGGGTGCGGATGGAAAGTCTCTCGAAGCCGTTCAGTATGTCTATCTCGGCATTGCTGGTTTCGTCGCTATCCTCGCCGTCATCTTCTTCTTCGCTCCCATTCCGGAAATCACGGACTCCGACATGGCCGATCAGGCTGAGATGACCACCGGCGCCACCGGCTACGTCGACAAGCCGCTCAGGAAGCAATACAGACTCTTCTGGGGTACTGCCGCCCAGTTCTCCTACGTTGCCGGTCAGGTCGGTGTTGCTGCTTACTTCATCAATTACTTCCTCCAGGCCCGTCCAGACTTGGACACCACCACGGCCCATCAGAAGGGTTCCGAATTCTACGCAATTGCCCAAGCTCTCTTTGCAATCGGTCGCTTCGCTGCCGCTGGTCTGATGTACTATGGAGGAAAGCCACGTATCGTGCTGCTCATCTTCCAGACGGGCATAATGATCTTCATTTCGGCGGCCATTGGCACCAACACCGGCGGCGCTGATCGTGCCAACTGGGGCGGAATCAGCATGCTTTTTATCGTGCTTTTCTGCGAATCATGTGAACCAAATCCTACTCCCTATCCATGAAACTTTTACTAACATTTTTCATAGGTATCTGTAAGTTCCGTCCCAAAGTGATGGACCGCGTCACGTGAAGACGAAAATCCAGTCCTAATTCACAATCCACTTCCAATTGACATGCTGACTCACTACGCAGTTCCCCTCATCTTCGCCATCACACTTCGCGGACTCGGACGTCACACCAAGCGCGGCGCTTCCTTCCTCGTCTCCGCCGTCTGCGGTGGCGCCGTTGGGCCTGCCATTCTCGGGAACGTTGCCGATAAAATTGGCACGAGGCACGCCATGTGCATTCCTTTAATCTTCTACGCTATCGCATGGTCTTACCCCATTTACCTCAACGCCTTCCGGGCTAAGGAGCTTGACGCGTACTCTGATTCCCACGTCGGTCTCCAGGAGGGCACCGTCGACTTTGACTCCATTGTCGCCACCAAGGATGCCGAGGCTGGCCATTTTGAGAACAAGAGGTAGAATGCATGATGCTACGACCACATGGTATGGCGTTGTTCAGATAGGAGAAATGGAACAGTCATTGATACCTGGATATCTTGAGATATTGTGCGGGTTTTTATCTGCTTCTAGACTTCTCTGGGTCGGGAGGAGTTTGTATATACACGACCTTTCACATACCCATGCCATATATCTTAGTCGAACGATTTACGAATGACATTTCAAATATCCACATCGAGGTCTCTATTTATTACTGATGTTCGAGGCACGCTGAGCAAGGTTAAGTTCTGTAGAAATCTTGAATGCCCAACCCGATGACAATGTCATACCTAGCCACTTTGGAAGAAAGATGAGGCTGTGAGCGTTTTGTAAGACGCTAGCTTGCAGAAAAGATTAGTGTCGGTAGGGAATTGGATAGAGTCACCGGGTGTAGGGGAAAGGTGGAGCAGATAGAGTGTGAGAAAACGGACATGGTCAAGAAGTACTATGTGAAGACTTGTATTGAATTGCCCCTTCTACCGGATAAGCGTCAGCTATTACCCACTAAGCGCATGAAGATCTGTTACGAGATGACGCTTTCGCCACGGTCTCATACATCAGTGATCGAGGACTTGCCAGATAACGCTGTGATTCTGACTCCGATTGTACAAGTTGGGAAGGAAAACACCGTTCGTGTCCAGTCGACCTGCTCAAGTCAGCCACTCGCCTATCAACCCTCTAAAGAGACATAGCTCGTACGTAAGTTTGGTGAATACACACACGCGTTGCTATGCTCTCACTTGCGAGGAGCATAGTCCATGTTCTTGTCATCTGGGGGCGTACCGCCTCGCGGAGCCCAGTCGATATTCAAAATGCTTGCGCGCGGCTCGGCTGCATGTCCTCTTGACTTTGAGAACTGATGGGCGTGGTAGGCGCCGCCTTTGCTCATCTTGAAGCTCTTCTTGCGGGTAACTTTCTTCGTATCCGCCACGGGCGAGGGTTGACCGCCCTCAGCGTGTGGAACGACGATGATGGTAGGCGTCTGACAGATAGTTGATGTGTCCATGCTGTCTGCCTCAACTTCATCTTCGTTCTCTGCCATGGCGACTGCTGCAGAATCCTCGAGATCCAGCCCGGCCGTGTCATCTATCTCCAACTCCGACATAGCGACTGCCGTGGAATCTTCGAGATCGGAGTCAGTGGCGTAATCGAAACCTTCCGCCTCCAACGCCGCTGCAGCCGCATCGGCCCTGTCCATCTCGGCGTAGATGTCACTGCTGCCGTCGATCAATGAAGGGGTCAGTCCAGTAAGATCCTCCATCCTGAACATGTTCAACTCATCCAATTGCGTCTTTAGTACTTCCAGTGCATCTAAAGAGTTCACATCTTTGCTTTTCTGAGCTTCATCAAGGCTTCTGCGATACACCATTTCAGCGGAGACCCTCCAAGGGTCTGCCTCATCCCAATCATCTAGAGCGCAGGCGATGAGTATGGAGTTCTTGATGAAGTAGTACGGAGGAAGAGTGGGGTCACTAGATTATCAGTATCGTGTTACTATCAGAGCGGGAATATTACTCGAGGTTCTTCTTCGCGCTGGCGATACATTGCTCCAGTGTGCTATCGTTGAACAGTGCTTCGGCTTCTTCGTATTGCTTCTGGTATGGTCTTCCCGTTGTTGGATTTGACATCCTCGTCCGCGTAGTTTATTATGTGGGGTGAAGCGGAGGTGGTGTAGTCGACAGGTTGTTTGGTGAGCGAACATTTTAGGAGTCGACAAACGCTTGAACTGCGGCCTATGCCAAGCCCCAACCAGGCTGGTACATAGTTTTCCATTTCACTTTGCACTGATTTACAAAGGCCCGCTTGGAAAGAACATCCTGACTTGATTGTTGAGTCTCAAGCTTGGCCTCTCACTCTATAACAACCAGCAAACGCTCAGGCCACTACCGAGCTTTCCCTCACTTGAATTCGATCTGTCATACAATAGCTTGCTGCAAACAACTTGACCACCAGTTGTCAACTCCACTGGAGCATACCATCAGCCGCTATCAAATTGCCGTTTGCAGGAGGCAAGAAGCGCAAACCGTGTGATTGCGACAGCGCGATAACACCAAGAAAACGCGCTTGTTACGCAACAATAATCTGAACGCGGGCTTTTGCGGCACGCACGCAAAGAAATCTCTTTGTGACTGCGACAAATAGTGTGACTACACAGGAAAGACACACTTGCTACGCAAAGGCTCGACGTAGATAGAAGATCGGGCGACGCATAAAGAGAAGTCATTCTCGCGAAAGGCAATACCATCCCACAGCTTCGAAAGGTAAGATCGCTCCGGTCTATTTCAAGCGCAACGTTGTTATCTGACATCTCAAGTCATTGGCAGATTGAAGACCCTCCCTCTGCGACGATGTATTCAAGTTTTCCTGATTACTAGCGAAACGTTTTTTCTACTACCTCCCCTCTACAACATGTTCTTATATAGAACATCAAGACGACCAGCCCATGTTTTTCTCCGCAAATGTTGTGCTTCCTCTCAAGTGCAATTCATCTGCCACTTTGCCTTTGAATGGCTTCAATACGTTTTGAGGTGGACGAACCATACTTTGCGGCCAGGTTTGGCGGATACATGGAAGCATAACCTTCCACAGTACGAGATTTGGCATGTATGTTGTCCTCCACACCGTTCCGTGTTTCCGATGTCGTGACTGACGTACCAAACAGCATGTCCACTACTTGTCCAAAGCGAGGCAGACCTCAAACTGAAGATAGGTGTTATGACAATGGATACCGACCCTCCAAATCCAGCGGCGAAAAGTTCCCCACTAACCATGATACTATCAGGTAACTGGGGAGAAGGAATATTGCCAATGGGGCTTATCCTCGGAAAAGAAGACAGAAGGAAGCGCGCCTGGCGAATCCAGAGACTGACTGATATACGCATCCAACGAAATTCGACGCAACTCAAACCTGGGCTCAAGCGATTCTCGACATTACAAAGACCTCTTGGTTCTGGGGAACCCTCCATTCCAGGAATCACTTACTTAAGATCGAGTGGCCCGAAAGTTGGAAATATATACTTGGAACAAACTTACGTGAACGAAGGGGAATATATACCGAGGAGATTATTATCCCAAACAAAGAGGACGAACTCTACAACGAGATCGAGTATCTTGATCCCGACAACGAGGTTTTGGACCTGGATGGCGAAGCCACCTCTGACGAAGAAGGAACCGATTACGATGTGGATGACAGCGAGGACGCAGGAGACGACGAAGACACGATCATGGTCATCGTTCCCAAGAAGCCCGCTACCGATCTCCAAAGCGACGTGGATGCTCTCTTGGAATCGGCAAAGTACGTACCAGAGCACAAGCGTCAGCTGTTCATCCAACAGGTCATGAGGATGGCAGAACGAGCCATGCCCAAAACATCTCAACAGTCGCATGATGACGGCCCTGGCGACGATGACGACCAGCGCTCCAACAACACCAACAACCAAAGCGACGACTCCGACGACTTCGCCACCCGCCTCCACCTCCTCTGCTCCGCCATGACAGAATACTGCCTCGAGCTCAAATGCGACCACCTCTTCATCGACCAGCTCGTCAACTTCCCCCTCTCCCGGTGGAAGAACTACGACGAAGACATCGACCGCCCCTTCACAGAGGGCGAAATGCACATGATCGGCGTCAAGCTTGACAAGGACAGCGATTTTAGGTGAGTACTGTGACACTTGACGTTCACTAAATGGCTCGGCTGATAGCACTGCATGTACGATTTGATCAAGATGGCGTTTTTCTATAGACGAAGGGGATGAGCGGGAGTATGCGGCTGCACTGGCGAGATTCGGATCTTGTGCGATTGCAGCAGAGATCGGAGCGTGTGGGTGGGTGTTTGTGGATGGAGTGTGTGGGAACGAGGATGAGCTTTATGGAATTTGATGACTGTATGCAATGTCCGGTGACTGGACGCTAGATTCTGGGTTGGCACATGGTTTCTTGGGAAGCAATAGAACGTCGTCAAGTCGTGCATGGACATGTGCTTCCATTGTTTCGTTTCGATAATTCGCACTACTCACGACCACCAAACCACGATGCATCTCCTACCTCTTGTTCTCAAAGTGACCAGCCTTGCTTGCCACAATCGAGTCAAAATTGACAACACTCTCTACATCCCATCTTATCACTCGCACCATTTCCTCATTGCGCGATTCGAATTATTCAAGCATGTCTATTGCTATTCATGATGCGAGATTCATTTCATTCTACTCGCTTGGAACTGTGTCTACCCCGCCTACATATCCCCGCTTACACACCCACGCCTACATGTTCTTCAGCACGTACGCGAGACCGGCCCACATCTCCTCTCCACTGGGCAGGATCTGCGCAGCAGGCAGTACGAAGCCGTACGTGCCCGTGTCCCTGAGCTCGACCGTCATCGAGAACGTCGCCTTTGCATTCTCCGACGCGTAATCCACACTGGAGCCGCTGACCTGGTAGATGGTCGAGCAGATGGGTCCTCCGGTGAATGTGGTTCCGTGCACAGCCTTGACGGCGGCAATAGCGCCCTTGGTCAGGCTCTGGTACTGCGCGGACAGGGGGACAACGCCGGAGCAGGTGTAACCGTATGGGTACATCCAGAGCTGCGAGTACGAGTGGATGTCCATGTAGAGCTGGATGCCCTTGCCTGCGGCGATGCTGTCGAGCTGCGCCTTGAGCGCCTTGGTCTCGACGCCGTCGGTGGACGACGGACCCTTGTAGTCCTGGTCGCAGGGGGCGGTGCTGGCTCCGGCGCGCTGGTCCCAGTGGTTGGGCCAGTTTCGGTTGATGTCACGGCCGATGCAGCTGGCTGTTGGTGTGGTCTGGCGGTTCTTGCGCCACAGACGGTCGTTGGTCTGCGTGAAGGCGAAGCCGTCTGGGTTTACAATGGGGAAGATGTAGAAGTCGTACTTGTCCTTGAAGGCGGCGGTGGTAGCGTCAGTGGAGGAGAGGAGCTGGTAGGCTGCGTATTCGACGACCTGGGATGCGTTAGTGCAAACTTTTAAGGTTGGAAGAGGATGCATACCATGGTGGTGATCCATTCTCGTGCATGGACGGTTCCGTGCCAGACAACGCCCTTCTTCGATCCCTTGCCTCCACTGCCCCAGATGTGGATGCCCTTGATGTCCCGCCCCTCGACAGACTTGCCGGCGGAGATCACTTCAGAGTTCTTGGGGTATGCAGCCGCAAGATCCGTAACCCATTGCATGTGGTCAGCAATTGTATGGTACGAGTTGAACCACGTGCTGTTGGGGGCAAGGCCAGCTAGCATGCTCGTTAGTGGATTGTAAGATGCGTTCGTTTGAGGATTCCCCACCAGCATAGACCTCAAAGCCCTGTTCGTCAGCAATAGAAAGACCGAGATTTTCGTGCATAATCTTGGTCTCGATATCGCTGGTGGATGCCTCGAAATCCGAAATTTGCGAGGGTGGCACCATGACATCGACAACGTCGCTGGTCGCCGGCTTGCCCTTCCACGTCTCCAGCTGTAGCTTGCTCACGACCTTGCCAAACTTGGCGGTGTCGGAGCCGACGTTGACTCGGTACACTTTCCAGTCATCGTAGCTGATCTTCTTTGTGACAGAGGCCGCTGAGGCAAGGCCCAGAGAGGCGAGGGCGACACTGAGGAGCTTCATGGTGAAGAACGACAGTAAATGAATGCGCAAGACCGATGAGTGAGGTGGAATTACATGTCGACCTCCCTTTCATTTATACATTGTTTAAGTGCCACAAACCAAAGCTGGCCAACGTACACAGTCTGGAGGGTTGTCGTACTCAGGTAGCGTCTCGTCGTAGATGATTGCACCTGCCCGTTGCGTCCTAACAAGCAACGGAGAAATGCCAACCAAGGAAGCTCAGAGGTCCAGTGCGTCGGTGGTCAAGACTTTTAATATAAAGAGGGCGACGATAAGCTTCATTCCAGAAGGCTTACCCCACAGCATGAAGAGATTGACAGGGGCACTGGTGGTCCGACCGTCAATCAGCACGGAATAGGCAACTGTGAGTTTGGAGCAATGTCTAGCATGGCGATTACGACTGGTCATGGGTTGATGGTGTGTTTCGAGAAGAAGCGGTCTTGTATGTCCTGGCTTTGTGATTGGACGGCAAGTCGACCTTCCATTCTGGTGTCCAGGGCCTAGATTAAGCCGTGGGAGGGCCGTGTGATGGCCGTGGGAAGACCATTGCGGTGCATGGAGAGACAAGAGGGTGTCGAGGCTAGTGACCGAGAGACGTGAACGACCGCAAATGTCAAAGAAGTTGAAGACTTGATCAACGCCGCTAGTCTCAAGGGGGCGAGTTGCAAAGTCGATCAGGAAGGTACTGTGCGACGACTACATTGTCAGGGATTAATCAATGTCGGATGAATCCAGCCTGTCGATCTCCCCACGTCTGATGCAAGTGGGAGCAGAGATGGAGTTTGGAGGTTGGTGGTCGCGCAGCTTTGCGGCGGCTTTTGGCGCAATTGCCGCCCCCGCATTTTCCCCAAGCCACCCAGGCCGGCCACTGAGACTCATTCACCGAACTCACTCATCCAACAGCACAACAATGCGGCATGGAGACGAACTCTCCACGCCCACATGTGGTTGACGCAGAGATAGCCGAAAACCAGGATAATGACTCGCTAAAGAGCAAACGAGCCAACCGTGCATGTGCGTTGTGTCTGATTGTGACATGCTGCGTCGAGTGTTCTGATGGCGTTGCGCAGGCCTTAGTTGCAGGAAAAGAAAGAGCCGGTGTCTGCTGTGAGTAGTAGTAGCCTCGAGTCGATTGCGCCGCGAATCGTAAGCTAACACCGACGCGCCAGAGACAACGACGGCTCGATACCATGTCTGCGATGCAAGCGCGACAACCTCGAGTGCGTCTTGGGAGGGAGTAACCGCGGCGGACGGCGCGTACGCAAGAAGCGCGTAGACGATGCCCGATCACACTCACAGACTCTGCCGCCTCTGACAGCGACGGGGGCAGACGACGACAGCTTCCACACACAGGGAAACCTCGGAACCTGGTCGCAAGAGGTCGGCGCACAGCACGTACAGCACCAATTCGGCCACGATACCCAGCAGCCCTTTGACCAAGACGGCCAGGCCGCGCAGTCCGACTCCTCCAACACGGACGAGCTGCCCTTCTCCAACCTGCAGAACCCGTCGGACGCGTTGGGCATACTTGCAAGAGTCGCCGGCGAGACGAGCTCCAACGAGGAGCTCCACGGCATCAGCAATGGCAACAGCATCGGACAACCAGGCGCGTCCACGACCATGCTTGCTCCTCCACTGTCCTTTTCATATCCTCTGCTGGACCGGGGGGTGCTCACGGTGCACTCGCTGTGTGAGTTGCTCGTGCGCTACCACCAGCAGTACCATCCGTACTACCCTCTAGCCCCAATGCACGCCTTCGATACCTCGCGTCTGGCCGACATGGTCAAGAAGGAGCCGCACCTCCTCACGGCCATACTGCTTGTCGCTTCGAAAGATCTCGTCGAGGAGCCCCACATCTATGAGGCGTGTTCAGAGCACATGAAGAGTCTGGTGTCGAACCTAGCCGCCGGAGGGGATGCCGACATCGAAGCAGTCGAAGCCCTGCTCCTCCTTGCAGAATGGGCACCCTACACTCAGAGTGGTGCGGTAAAAGTTGGCAAGGGCGAGGAGAACAAGGAGTCGTCAATGGAGTCCTGGATGCATGTCGGCCTTGCTCTGCGCATTGCTTACTTCCTCGCCCTCGATCAGTACTCATTCCGATTCGTGGACCAAAGCAAAGACCCCAACCACCACCGCAAACGGCTCGTCTGGACAGCCACATATGTTTCTGACCGACATGTCAGCATCAGGATTGGAAAAGCTTTCTGGTCTCGAGGCCCGGGTCCCATGACAACCCTCCGACGTGAAGACTTTCCCGCACTGATGCCCCAGAACCCAAATGAAGAAGACTACGCATCCATCTTCCAAGCCAATCTTGAACTCACGCAGCTGTTCAGTAGTGTTCACGATACGCTGTACTCCAATCCCAGCACTAGTTTTCGCTCCCACATGAGCGGGTAAGTGATAATCATTGTAGTAATTAGGGTTGTTATGAATATGAATGCTAACCATACGTGAATCAGCTCGTATATCAAATACATAGATGATTTTCGTGCGGCAACGTATGGTTGGAAGAGCGTCTGGGGGACCTTGACCTGCTCACCACCACTGAAAGCTTGTTTGCTGATCTCATACGACTACCTACGTCTGTACACCAACGCCTTCGCCTTCCAAGCCACAGTTCTCCGCGCCCTCCCCACCACCAACGGTCCCGCCGATGGACTCGGCAAAAAGCCCGGTTTACCCCAGCGCGTCTTCGTGAACAACGTCGGCGCAGTTGGCGACGCGCGTTTCATCTACGAAGGTCTCGACGCCGCCAAAGCCATCCTCACAACTGTCAACAACTTCGTCGACCCCGAGCGCTCCCTACGCTTCATGCCTCTACGCTACTTCCTCTACCTTGTCTACGCCGGCGTGTTCCTCTACCGCGCGCGCTGCACAGGCGTCATCTCCGCCGACGAAGACCGCGCCATCCGCGCCATGATCAACGAAACCGTCACACGCCTCCAACGCAGCAGCGTCGGCTTCGAGGCCGGCTTCCAGCACCCCGGCAGCAGATACAGCCAGCTCCTCAAACTCCTCTGGGCCAAAGTGCCCCACAAAGATAAACGTGGCGAGCGCTCGACGTTCCGTCACCCTGGCACGAGCATCGCGAATGTCCCCGTCGACGGCAACGGGTTCCCCGCCGTGCAGAGTCCGCAGCAGAGCAGTGTGGGCACGGGCGAGAGTCCGGCCCTCACGGAGCAGATGGGCGACTTTGGCTGGACGGATTTGGGTGCTGTGAGCGATTTCGCAATGCATGGGAATGGGCTGCAGGGCCCGCCGGATGAGGCCGCGCTGTGGAATGGCTTTCTGCCGCTGGATATGGGGTGGTCGGCGCAAGGGTTTGGCGTGGATGGCGGGTACGATCAGAATGGGCTGGGCATGCTGTTTTGAGTGATGTTAGTGTTTGTTTCGGGTTGTTGGGTTTCCTACAATCAAGTGTGAATGATGAATGGCAAGAGCCAACCGAATGCACATTGAATGAGATCTTACAAAACATCCGCACTACACCGAGGTTTGTGGTCACAGTCCCGCTGTTGAACCGTTACCTGCTACACGGCTTCTGACTTTATCTGCGAGTACCTTCGCACCACTCCGGTCAGACATGGGCAATGCAAGATGTCAATCCATAGCCCCGTATCATATCACATCACATCACATCACATCACGTACCAAGACAAGGAGAGACAGGAGTCAGATTGCATCATACACACCATTTCACTCCCCGTTCATACATCCCATCTCCATCTTTAACCCATCGTCTCATAGGTACCCAGAAGCCGGGCACGCCATGCCATGCCATGCCATGCCACAAACGTAACGGCATAGCATATACCCCGTCGATCAAACCCTCAGCCTTCAGACTGACAAATGGAGACCGAATATCCACCCCGCCTAATAGCACGGCCACCTGCACCACGACTTACACGTCTGGCCCCAGATCATAGGCATCAGGCAGACCTTCGCGTTGCATCGGTTGACGCAGGTGGGGCCCATCCAGTTGCAGCCCTGTGCGGATTTGTTAGCATACTGAACGGACGAATGACTGGGTGGGTGGGTGGGCGAGGGGTAAATCGGGGCATATGATGGAGGGACTCACCTCAAGACATGCCTGGAAGATACCTTGGCAGCCGCGACACACTGCGTTTTCGGCCGTAGTACCAGCGGGCATAGCGAGGTCGAGGAGGGAGATCGGGGGATTGTCGTTCTGTAGGAGGGGGTGTTAGTCGGTGGGAGGGTGTGAGGGAGGAGGACGTACATCGCCTTCAACAACCGTCTTGTCCTGCTCAGCAGCATCCTTTTCGTCTTTGTCCTCACCACCTTCGACGTCCCTACCACCAACCCCCATAACATCCACCTCAGGATTAGCCACCCTAACCCCCCTCGCAAAACCCCACGTACAATGCGGCGCGGGATTGTTGTCACACCGCTCGCTGGATCTGCAGTCAACTAGCACGTCCCACGCGTTGTTGTGGCAGATGAAGACGGCGCCGCCCGGGTTGCCGCCTGCGCATTTAGTCGTGCCTTCGGTGCAGGACTGCGTTGTGGGGGGCGGGGCGGAGGCGGGGGTGAGTGAGGTGGGGGGCAGGGCGGAGGCGGAGGTGAAGGGGAGGAGGGGGAGGAGCGTGAGGAAGGGGAGGGAGAACTTCATTTTGTGGTGGTGTTGTTGGTTGTTGGTGGGATGAAGGTGGTGGGAGGAAGAGGTTGGGAGGAAGAGGTTGGGGGAGCGGGTTATATACTGGTTGGGGTGGGGCCGTGATGGTGAAAGTGGTAACGGTGATTTTCTTTTCAGGGGGACGCGCTTTCACCGTGAGTGTGTAGGTGAGTCGCAAACGCTGCTCCGGTGTCGGCGCGAAATGAGGTGAGGAGATGGATTACAACTTGTATACAGATGCTGTAGTTGTAGAGATATGTGAGTTCTTGATTCAGAGGTACTTTGGTGTTATACAACATCCATCTGAGCTATGTATGATAGTGTCTTCATGTGTCGTTAACTAGAGCTCACCAATATGTCTACCTGAAAAAGATTATTCAAATAAGGATATTTCTTCGTAGCTGGAAGAAATCAGCTTGCTTTTCCTATAGGTCAATCCAGAATGTGGCCGGGCGGGAGTGAAAGTATGTCGCAGACTCCTGACGAACAAAAAACCGAAACTTTCCCATTTACCAGATTCACATCATGTGGAAAGAAAAATGAATTGGATCACCAATAAAGGATTTGAAGTAAGCGGCGAAACTCTCCACGTCTTTTAAAACGCTGTGAGGCAAATGATTGATAAAGTTTATGTACGAATGTGTTCTTTTCCGCCGAGTAGCTTGGGATTGAGGGCGTTACGTGTCTGTGGCATTTTCGTACATGTTACTATAACCTATACTGTTCAGTCGTGTAGAGCAGATCTCCAGACATCAATATCGTGGAAGGTCGTCAATAGTGAGAAGTCTAGGCATTGGTGATTCGTGATCGAGATGTGGACTGCGGTAGGGCGAGAAGCAACCAGATGGTCAGCCTGGAAAGATAAGTAACCTCCAGCGCTCCCTCACTGACAAGGATGGGTCCAAGGTCAACTAGAGTTTGGAGATCAGCTATCGAAGGATGGAAGTCTTTTCTATATCCACATAACCCTCAGAATATTGATTGTGTCGGAAATCAAGCTACCCAACGTTGATCTATAGTCCACTGAACAATATTGTCCAGCTTTATTTATTGCAGCCGTCACGTAGCCATGTGGGAAACCCGAGTTTCCCAGAGCCATGGTAGGTAATTCCAGCATGGTGGTATATAACAAGAACGTCAGGCTTGTCGAACGGCACAGTAGGACTGCAAATATCAAACCCAATACGTGGGAGGCTGGTGTGGTAGGTAATTGTAGCCGTGGGTTTGAGGATAATGATAAACGTTACCGGCTGACACCTGACAACACCCGTGTTTTGTTAGACGTTAGGTCTTGGGTAGCTTTTAGCTGGAAATTTGACTGGAGTACAATCATATTTTGAGTAAATGTACAACGAAAAATAGTACACTTTGCCATTGTTAGCAACATTCAATGATTACAATTCGAGGATATGACTGATCTCACCATGACATCGAGAAAAGACAAAGACGACGAAAAAACTGCTTGAATTGTCAGTTCAGCGTGTTCCAATACAGAAGTGTTGAAACTTTTTCTGAGCGAGTTGTTCACTAGAGCAGTGGACCTTTTACTAGCTAGCTTTCTCTTGACTATACAATCTACTAGATCGACACTCGGACTATAAGTATATGCGCATATTAATCCTTCCACCCACAAATCAAGCTCCCTCTTCCCAGTGCAACGTGGGCCCACTGCTACCTAGTCTGCGGCACGGCAAGACACAGAGAATTAAATGACGTATTTAGTTCTACTGACTGTCGACGATACAAAGTCGAGCATCTTCTCAAGGTTTAAGTGACATTGAAAGCACCAAATACCCTTCACCAAACATCAGCGATTTGTTCACACACCCTGGCCAACGATCCATCGATCATACCCCTCAACCAATAACACACTACCTACTCGTCTAAGCCCGAACGACTCTCATTCGTCTGACACATGACTGCCACCATTGGGCGGAGAAGGGGACGTTTTTTATACGGACAAATGTCATCTCAGCACGTGCGAGAGTGGAGCACTGGCGTATATCAAGGTGTAAAATCCCCTCGGGCGATAGAAGCAACAATACAGCATGTCTAACGACACCTATTTGAACCACCGTCTCATTCTCAGACGAGACGACACAGTCTACCCCATAGCCAAGAATTTCGATCCAACGGAGAATTTGGCTCTTGACCCAATTTCGCCCTCGCTTTACAACATGCCCCACACCAACCAATAACCTCCAGATTTTCTGGTCCGACACACCCTATACGTACCATCACTAACGCGTATTCCTATTCTCTCCAGATCACTAGGTAAATGGATAACAGGCGTTTTGTTATGCCCAAAAGCACATTCTCTTCTTCCTCGAAGAATTGGAAAGTCACCAATTGTGGCTTGATGTCGTCTTGCGGCAAGCAAGAACCCGTTGTAATTTCGTTGAATTACCTAATTCAGTTTGGCAGGATCATTTCATTTCGCACGTCTTGTGCTTTTGGTATACCTATCGCCTCCTGACGATTAGTTGAAAACTAGACAAACATGAATCTCTCAGAACAGAGCCTTTGAAAAACTACACGTCCTCGGCGTTTGGCACGATACCTGTTCTTCACGTTCTTCAAAGCCAATCAAACGTGAACTTATAACATTGTGCGCTAACTCTAGCCTCAGACATAGTTATGATTCTGGATTTTCGTCCTTGTCTATTCGTCATTACCACCGAACTGAACTGGTTGATGGTCGGCAGGGGATAGTTTGTTGCCCAACACTTTGGTTATGTTGCTGCGCATTTCCCTGACGATGTCCAAGTCCACCAATTTTGCTTCATCGCCTAAGCCGCACGACCGACCATTTACTCCATACAACGACTCGGTCCAAGGAGATTGCTCAGATGCTTGCTCGTGATCAGTATCGCACCTGTAGACGTTGGCATCGAACTGGTCAAGAAGTGATTCCATTGACATCGGATCGATCAGACCTATCGGTTGCACTGGGGCATCGTAGTCTACGTCATATGCACGACCAAAGTGTATGCGAGCGGATTTCGGAAGTGTTGTTGAGGGATGGTGCGGTTGCATGCGCATTGGAGACAGACGCAATCCGATTTCATCGGGAAATGGTGCAGGAGGGTCTTTGCTGGAGTGCACTATGCCGAAGAGTTCTTGGTCTGGCTGTCTCCCGCAGCCCTGTTGTGCATGACTTGTGTGACTATCAGCGGTTTTCTGAGTGTGAGGAAAGACATTTTTCCATACGTGTGAATGCCCAGACACAAGCATGAGGAGTCTCCCCTGGAGATGACCACAAAACGCTGGACCATGACTGGACCTTTCATATTATAGCCCTCCTCACTGTAATTGTGTATCAAACGAACAATCCCTTCATCTGTGTATATAGGTACATGTGTAGTAATATCTTCGAGGATGATCCAGTTATCTGCCGAGAACGAAGAGTAAGGGGAAGGCTGTACAAGTTCGCTCCTTGGAACCAGTTCCTCTTCCGTGTAAGGGTGCGACGTTATCAAGGGCTCTGGCAGCATAGCGAAGTAATATTGCCAGTGATCGAGCTGGAAGTGGAAGGTCCAATCGTCCTTAAGGTAAGGCCTACTTTTGCAAAGTAGACATCTCACTCTTGTCCTATCAAAACGCAAATCTTTGCAATATACAGTCATCTGGGAAAGAGGTAAGGCTCGAATCTGCGCTAGCCGTTTTGTGTGATCCGCGATGTGGATTTCCTCGTCCATCGCTTTGAGTTTCGAGACAGTTTCGAGCGGGAGATGACCGATGTCGATCTCTGTAAACCTACGGTCAGCGTCCACGTAGAAGGAGGACACGATTCGAGCGTCAAACACTTGACCAGCCCGGAAAAAAGACGCACAATCGTGTTGACGCACGAAATCCAGAAAATTGTGAGTTCCGAATTGCCCATGCAACTTAGAGGCAATTTTGACATGGCCGCCATGGTATTTTCCCCAATACGTTGTTCCGCCCAGATTGTGTAGCTCTAACTGGACCTCACATCCTGGATCGTAGCTCGTACTTAGCCATCAGTAAGTCGTGGTTGGTGTCAGAAGGAATGCATGCAACGTACTTGTGGTAACAGGCCAGAGATACAAGACAGTTGACGCTTGCCAGCATTGTAGCTAGTGATTTCTTCAAACGTTTCACCTATCGGTAATGTCAGACTGCGAATCTAGGATATTGAGATGAACAGTACCCGAGTAGGCATCTGAACAGGCCATTCCAACTTCCACCAAGCATCCGCCGTTGAGAATCCGGGGCCATCAGATTTCAGCATATCTAGATATAGCTGGTTTTGGTCAAGAAAAGACTCCATCGTCTCAATTCCAGAGTTGACAGTGAAGAGGAGAGCATTGATCGTCGCCGGGGATAACTGGTTTGTGGTCTGAAGCTGATCAACCTGGAGTAGAACTTTGTAAACTACGTCAAGCTGCGTGTTGAGCTCTTGGAGTTCCTCCGGGGAGTGTTTGGCGTCAGAGAGAACCTGGTGAAGTGTATAAGCCAACTGGGCGCCTGCGAGAAAATCCCCCACAGAGAACCCGAAAAACATGCTGAAGGAGGTACGGTTGGAGGTTGAAGATCAAAAAGGCAGAATGATAGATAAGATGTGTCAAGGTCGGTGTAGTAGAAAAAGGACGTGGTCAGATCAGCAAGGGAATCCCAAGAGCTGACACGCATATTTAACTACGAGGCACACGTAAGCAGCAGCCTGCAGTGAGCCAGGATCTCAACGATAGCTGCCTAGCTTAGTACACAGCTCAATGCATACCCCACTCGTAATGGTCAGTATATGTTTCCCCTGCTTTCCGCTTCAAGAACAACAGTAGATAGATAAGGCCACCCACGTGACCAGTTCACCCACGAAGCTCAGTGGTCCTACCAAGCTCAATGCAATTCCTAAGCTTAACGCAACTTTTGCCAAGTTCTTAGTCTACACAACGCTACAGCACATAAAGCAAATTTGTAGTAAATGTTAAAAAAAGAAACCACTTTTGAGTTCAAGTCTACAACGCTACATTAACATGTGTCTTAGACTGCGTAGGTATACACGCGTCTCCAAAGTAGAAGTTTAAAACGCCTTTTAATACCTACAATAAGCCCATCAACCTACCCGCCATACAAACCTACAACAACATAAGTTAATCCGCGAAAACCTAACACATTAGAAAAGCTCTTCCCCTAAAACTATACATAACAAAAACCTATCTACATCCCCCATCCATCACATCCCCCACACCACCCGTAAACCCCCAGCAAAACTTACCCTAACCTCAGGAACAACATGATCTCGCCAGCCTTATTACTCCAGCCTTCCCCCCCCTCCTAAAAAAGCGCGGTCCATCAACCAACATCACGACATCACATCACACCCTCACACCCCCACAATCCCATTATTTTCATCAGACAAGACAAAGCAAAGCAAAACACACTAATTTAGGTATCTAGCAAACCCTACAAATCCAACCAAAAAACGCGCTTAAAATACTCTGTTTCGTTCGCCCAATCGGGGGGAGAAAGACGTCTCTCCACTACACGCACGCACGCGCGCCTGTGCTAACATATGGTACAAAGGCCCCTTCACACCACGCCACACCACACCATGTCCGACATCCAAGAAAGAGAAAGAGAGTGGCGAGCCCACAATCCCGCGCCGACTCGTCTAGTGCACCCGCGGAGCAGCGACGGTGTCCGGTGACGTGGGTCCCGTGCGAGCGGTCCCTGGGGGAGAAAGGGAGGAATACCGATGCGAGGGTTGGGGGTATGCTGTGTCCCGCGTGACCATGGCGGCGGACTTGATGTGGGAAGGAGGGGAGCCGTCGTCGTCATCGTCGTTGGGACGCTGCGGGTGCAACAGACCTGTTAGGAGTGGTGCGGAACCACTTAGCTCTTCTCGTACAGGCGAGTTTGTTCGAGGGATGGTTTCGCGCCGTTTGCCGTCTGCCAGAAATCCAGACTAGCGATGACGTCTGTGCCCATTTCGTCTTCGTACGAGTAGAGAATCTGGTGCTTGTTAGTAAAACTCTGCATGAGGGAAGAACTGGCATTGACGTACCTCTCTTGTCGATGTGTGCAGCCACCTGATGTTCTTGGCGGTGATGATGTGCACCAGCCCCCCACTCTCCATGTGCCGGATCTCAATAAAACTGGGCTCGAAGGCGAGGATATAGGGGTTGAAGATGGCGAATGCTTGCGGGTTACCCTCCCATGTGATCTTCCAGTCCTGCTTCGCTCGCCAGCCATTTCTATTGACGAAGAACGAGTAGTCGGTGTAGCAGAGCAGGAACTCGCTCGCCATGCGCTCGATGTGGATGGGTTTGATGTTCTCCTTGCGCACGACGAAGTCGAGGGACGTGTCGGCCTGGTCCAGGAGCGATTGCGTCTCCAGGGTCTCGAGGCTGACGACTTCGAAGCCGCGTGCACAGCCAACGCAAAGCTTGGAGCGCAGGAAGTGTATCGATGTCGATTCGGTGGGAATGTAAAACTCCTTGTACGGCTTGAGTTGATCTTGTCCCTGAGTAAGCATTTTGGCGAACCCGGATTTCCTCGCCTTGTTCGCCATGTTCTCCTTGGGTTCGTAGACTTTGATCGTTGTAGATAGGGCAGAAGTCTTGACTGCTGCCACCAGTTGATTTCCGACACAGATACCGGCTTTGAAGAAGTTGGCATGGCAGATCTTGCGCGGCCGCTTAGCTGTGGCATTGTTATCGTCAGGGTCCAGCGCTTCGGTCGAGTAGGAGAAGAGGGTCTTGTCGGCCAGGACAAGCACGATCTGGTGTTGCTCAAGAACATCGAGTTGTGTGACACCTTTGCAGTCCAAGACACGACGCGGTTTCATCGAAGAATCCTTTGGCTTCCGCTCAACAACGAATACACCTGCATCAGTACCCAAAGCCAGCTTGCGGCCACCGTCTGGAAATGTGTTAGTATAGGTCTAAACATAGCAAAGTCCAACTTACCCAGAGGAACACAGCAGGTAACTCGCATGGCTGGAGTGAAGAAACCCTCATTGAGAATGGTCTTAGTGAAGATGTTACTTCGCTCCCTCAAACTTCGCTGCTGTGATTCAATATGCTCCATCCACTTCTGCTGGGAAATCGGTGTGCTGGCATAGAGGGTCAACTCGTAACCACCCTTTCCGAGATGCTTGAAGGTGATGGGGTGACCCTGCAGCTTGTTCGCGTCGTACTTTGGCGTGGCCGCGACAATAGACTTCGCGCCCATCAGATTCGTCGATGGTCTCTTAGAGATGCCCAGCTTGTTAGGAATGATCTCCTCCATCTGCGTGATGACAAGCAGCTCAAGAGGTATCGGCTTCTTGTAGACCTTTTGTTCTTCCCGCTTGTTGACCACCTTTGCTCGAACCAACAGAACAGCGTGATCGAAGAGATAGCATGTGATGTCACCAGTGACCTCGGTTGGTGTCTTTTTAAGGCTGCCCTTGAACACCAGTTGGCGGTTTTCATCTGTCAGTTTCAAATCAACGTATTCTCCAGGCTTGAACTTCAGGTCCTTGTTGAGCTGCATGAGGTTGAAGTGATTTTCGGCCTTTCCAGACTCGGCATTGACCTTTGACAAAGTTTCCTTGATGATCTTGATGACTTTCGGAATGTCTTCTTTATCGGGATTGTCGTCGGCTGTGAACTTGACAATGTTTTCTAGCAGCAAAGGATACCTCGCCAATCTCGTCGTTGGCTTCGTCAGGTATCCGTTGAGTTCGAGCTTTCGTGATTCCTTCATCCTCTCCACTTCGTCGACAAACTTCATGAACGCACTGTTCGTGCGCTTTTCGTGCTCGAATTCGTACTTACCGAACAGCTGATTTGCGCCGTACTTGATGAAGGGTGTAAAGTGCGGGACGTACTCAAGGAATATGTCACCAACATTCCGAACCACATGTTCCCTCTGCTGGCGGCGTGTGAGGGCCTCAGCAAGTCGAGAGTTGACCATGTACACTTCTTGGCAGTTGGAGAAGACCGTGCGAACAAACTTCTCGCGACGATGTTCTGGGATGGGCGAAGTAGCGGGATTGCGGAGAGGCTTCATCCAGAAATCGCGAAGATACTCCAAATCTTTGACGAAATCACGTTCAGTGTACATGAGCTCCGAGATGACTTCCTGGCGCTTCTTCTCTTGCTCCGATACGGTCGCGGCCACTTCCTTGGGGACCGTGTTGATCCAAAGCTTCTGCTCCTCATCGTCGGCGTCCTCGTGCAAGCTGGCTCGAGAATCTTCCTTCTTCAGACCTGGTTGAATGCGCAAGTTCAAGCGAGCCTGTTGTTCTAAGCGACGCGGGCACGCGATTGAGTAGCACAGACGGTCGCGTGTACATGTCGGAGAATAGCACTCCGTCAAGAGAGTGAAGACACCATTCACTTCAGCCTGCTCCTCCATGATGGTCTCACGGAACTGGTACACTTCATTGGTGGAGTCTCGTAATCGATGGGCATATGTCACATCGTGGAAGAATTTCTGCGCATCCAAGGACCTGCCTAGGAGTAACGCCAAGTTACGGTCTGTTGTCTTGATGATGTACGATATTAGGTCGACTGCGTCTGCGCCTGTGAAGGCGCTCTTGTACACGAGGCCATCTTTTTCTTTCTCTGACAGATTGACTCTCTCCATGAACACCTCAGCCACCTTTGACAAAAGCGCAGGGTAGACAAGGGGGGCTCGGCGCTGGGCGACGATGATTTGTTGTCCGCCTTGAGACTGACCGGAGGTCCTGTTGTTGCTTGACACGGTTGCGGTCGAACTCGGTCGCGTAGTCGACGAGGACATGGTGTCTGTGCGTTCAGAAGGAGACACGACAGTCGACGCCATAGACATGGTCCGTGGTTGTTGTGATGAGATGCTGCCCTGGCTGGCATTTCTGGTTCTTGCACCTGGTCCGATATTCACAGATAGCTGAGGAGCTGCTGACGCCCTCGGGTCTAGAAACGGCTGCTCCGGTCCATCCGATTCTCTTCTGCGGTTTGGAATGACTCTTCCACTCATCGTCTGCGCAAATTCACTGTCCCTGGCGTATGAAGTCATGGACATTGTTCGTTCATCCGGGCGTTCTGGAACCACACGACCTTGCGCCGTTGTTCTCGCCATGTGGTTCATGTACGGCTGCTGCCGGAATGTGTTCGCAGGAGACTGGTAGTTTTGGCCAGGAGGAACAAACTGCGGTCGAGGACCCGATGCTAGGGACTGCGAACGGTAGGGGTCCGCGTTCATTGCGCCAGGCGGGCCAGGGAAACGCGGAGGGATTGGCTTGTTGAACTGCGGTTGCCCAGGCTGGGGAAGCCTGGGATCAAAGCGCTGTGGCTGGCCATATGGTTGGCGCTCAGGACGCAGCGGTGTGGGCAGGTATTGTGGCTGTGGCTGGCGCTGGGGTTGACCAGACGCTTCCGAGTATCGCGGGTTGGGCGGAGGATAGCCGTTCGGCGAGGGGCGGCCATAGTTGTTCTGCTGCGGGTCTTGGCTCGGGGGGCGCTGCTGCTCGTAGTTGGACACGGCGCGCTGCTCGTAGTTGGGGTGAGGGCGGCGCTCATGGCCGTTCACGGGCTGTCGGATCGGGGGCGCGCGCTGCATCATGTCGGCCGTCTGGCTGGACATGGTGGCCGCACGGTCGGGCATGCGCATCTGGGACTGCGAGGTCATCGTCTGCGAGCGTCCTGCCATGGCGGGACTGGCGCCGAAGATGTTTGCAAAGGCCGCGTCCCGTGCCCCTCCTCCTGATGCTCCTCCACCTCCCCCCGTGGGCTGGCCATAGTTCGGAGGGCGCGCAAACTCTCTCCCTTGCTGGTTGCCGTAGTCTGCCATGTCGTCTCGTCCGTCCGCGGTGTGTGCTAGCGTTTCTGTTGCATCCGCCGTCGTCGGGTAGTGGAGCAAGACTTTTTGGGGGACAGCCGCTATGCAAGCACAATGCAATGTATTAGGCGCGACGAGCGGGTCTAGACAGCAAAGATGAGGGCAAACACGCTCGCTCTCTGTGCGATGCCACCAGCGATTGGGTGGGGTGTTTGGGGGATCCGGACCAAACAGAGCGTATTCGGGGAAGCGTATCTATCTCCCTGTGACCCGGCCCGGCCAAGGGTTGCAGGAATTCGGTAGAGACGGCAGTGAATTGCACAGTAAAGTTTCACTGGGGCTGGTAACAATGGGGGATTAAAGCGGCTGGTTATGCTGGGTCCAGATGTCCAGATGTCCAGATGTCCAAATGTCGGGGTAGTCGTGCTGGCTTGCTGATGGGGAATCGTCTCTTGGCATACTGAATCTAGCTTCACCAACGACCGTCGACGTGCATTCGACGTTCCACACCTCAACTCACACCTCCACGCCACGTCGCGCACCACTCCACCCAACGGCGCATTCCCCAGCAGCAGACACCATGTCGTCGCAGGCTGACAACTACGCGCCCAGCTTCGCGCCGTTCTTCGGCATGGTGAGTGCCCCAGCTGTTGATGAAGTCATAAGCTAACAAGTCGCAGAGCGGAATCGCCTTTGCTGTAAGTCCCCATCGCCGCTGTAGCTTGTGAACTAAGACACGAACCTCGCGCAGATGATCTTCGGATGTATGCACCGCCACCAGAACGCCTGAAGACGCGTAGAAGCTAATGTGGACAGGCATGGGAGCTGCCTATGGCACTGCAAAGGCTGGCATCGGCATTGCTGGTATCGGAACCTTCAGGCCAGACCTGATCATGAAGGTACACGGTTCTATATCGCGCTCGGCATCTGGAACTGACATGCGTCCAGTCCCTTATCCCTATCGTCATGTCCGGTATCTTGGCCGTCTACGCCCTCGTTATCTCGGTTCTCATCGCGAGTGACATCAAACCGCCACCCGAGTCCAACTACTCGCTGTTCGCTGGCTTCATGCACATGGCTGCTGGACTGTCAGTAGGCCTGTCGGGTCTGGCTGCAGGCTATGCTATTGGAATCGTGGGAGATGCTGTGCGTACGACAGTCGACAAGCTGGAGACATGTGCTGACATTGGCAGGGTGTGCGCTCGTTCATGCGCCAGTCGAGGATCTTCGTGGGCATGGTCCTGATTCTCATTTTCGCCGAAGTCCTCGGTCTTTACGGGTGAGTCTTCAAACGGCTCGAACGCGCAACATATTACAACCAGACTAACACTCCCAGACTCATTGTCGCCCTCATCCTCAACACCCGGGCAAGCGGTTGAAAGGTTGAACGGGTGAATGGCAGAACGGCACTTGGAAGATGAACATGTACGACTACTTGTGCGGGAAGAGGAAGACATCATGCAAATTGGAGTTTTGGGGGAATGCAATCTGAGCAGTTGAGTTCCAGGGCGCATATACATAATTGGATTTGGTCTTCGGAAACGAGGATTTGCGCGTAGACTATGAGCATAGCAGCAGTTTGTCATGTTATGAGAGAAATAGCGGTTCCAACATGACCATGTAGAATCTCGGCAAAGCGCTTCAAATGACATGCGGTGTATGGTAGCGTACCATGGTTGTGCACATGTCGAGAACAGCTAACCCGGCTGTCTCCTGTCAACCAATTGGCGCTACAGCTGTCTTCAGACACAACCCTGCCATATGTGTCACACGTGAGAGCTGGGTATGCACGGCAAAGAGGTAGACGGCATCAGTCTGAAAAGGGAATATACGAGGGGATGCGCGTCACACGTCGCGTCGAATACAAGCCGAATACAGGCCAAATACAGGTCGAATGCACACGGCACGGGGCTGCAAGGCCAATGCATGACAGCAATGCCGTGCCGGGCTATCGTCGTGCGCCTCCTTGGTAAGGGCCGGTGCAAGTTCCCCACGCGGCTGCGTCATCTTGTTCAAGTAGTCCTCGCCTCTATCCACGGCTGGATGCTGACGACCCCTCGGGCCGCAACGCGCTCACGCAGCCAACCTCCTGCCCGTCCGACCACCAAACACGCCCGTCCAGCGCCAGCGATGATCCAGAAGCCCGCATAGAAACGGAAACCACGACGCCCCAGCTGCACTCCCACCTGCCCTGCCTGCCCACCCGCCCGGCCGCCCGTGTGCGCCCCATCCAGCAGCAACCATGGTCTCCACCGTCCACAGCCTCATGCATCCCATGCGCCACCACAAGGAGAAGCAGCAGTCGCACCGCTCGTCGTCGGGCCCCTTGCACGACCGCAGCGACTCGGCCCTCGACCGCCCGCGCGAGGAAGAGAAGCACATTCTGGCCCAGTGGGAGGACCAGCAGGGCACTATGACCATGGACGACGTGGACAAGGACCCCTCGCAGAAGAGGGTGGGCCATTCATCCAAGGTGCTGCGCGAAGAGGACTTTGAGCTGATCAAGACGCTGGGGACGGGTGCGCTGCATTGGGCTTGAGGGGAGGGAGTTGGCTTGCTGACGAGTTGCCAGGTACTTTTGCGCGCGTCTGGCTGGTGCGTCTCAAGGATGCGCAAAACGGCGATGAGAACAAGGTGTTTGCGCTGAAGATCCTGCGCAAGGTCGACGGTATGGCTGTTTTGGATGATTGCTTGCGCGCAGCTGCTAATGGATGTGCTGCAGTGATTCGCCTGAAGCAAGTCGAACATGTCCGCAACGAGCGCAACGTGCTCGCCAAGGTTGCAGGCCATCCATTCATCACGACCATGGTTGCCAGCTTCCAGTCCCTCGACTCGCTCTACATGGTGGTATGTAGTCTCCCTCGCGTCCGAATCACCAGTATCTGACGATTCACAGCTCGACTACTGCCCTGGTGGCGAAGTTTTTAGCTACCTCCGTCGAGCGCGCCGCTTCAACGAAGCCACCTCACAATTCTACGCCGCCGAAATCGTCCTTATCCTTGAGTTTCTACATGAAAGAGAAGGCGTGGCGTATCGGGACCTGAAGCCCGAGAACATACTCATCGACGCGGAGGGGCATCTCAAGCTGGTGGACTTTGGCTTTGCAAAGAAAGTAGAGAATAGTACGTCGAGCAGCCGTGGATTGAGGGGTGTGGAGCTGATGTGAGCAGGGGAGACCTACACGCTTTGCGGCACACCCGAGTACCTAGCCCCCGAAGTGATTAGAAACACAGGTATGTCAACCAGATATCGATAATGACTCCAACTCACGCGGCATCTCAGGCCACGGCACCGCAGTAGACTGGTGGGCATTCGGCATCCTCGTCTACGAATTCCTCGTCGGCCAACCCCCCTTCTGGGACCAAAACCCCATGAAAATCTACGAACAGTACGTCTCCCCCCACCCCCATCCTATTTTAAACCCACACCCTTCCTAACACCCTCCCCCCCCAAAACAGAATCGTAGAAGGCCGCCTCCGCTTCCCCTCCGCCATGTCCCCCACAGCCCGCGACCTCATCTCGGGCCTCTGCACAGTCGACACATCAAAGCGCCTCGGCAACATCTCGGGCGGCGCGCAACGCGTAAAGTCGCACCCGTGGTTCCAGGACACGGACTGGGACCGCATGTATAGGAGGGAGATTAATGGGCCCATTGTGCCGCATCTTAGGGGGCCGGCTGATACGAGGAATTTCGATGAGTATGAGCCTGAGAGTGAGGGGAGGGAGCCGTATACGAAGGAGTTGAGCGATAAGTGGGATGGGAGTTTTGCGGACTTTTAGGGGGGTGGGGGAGGATGAGATGGGTTGGGTTGGGGCGGGGCTTGAGGGTAGGCTGGGATGGGGGAGGGTTGTGGATTGGACTTGAATGGATTGGATTGGACTGGACTGGACGGCATATGTCCCCTCGATTGATCGACGCATATATATTCATTACCTTCATGTTGGACTTCTGTTGATGTCATGCGCGGTGAGTGGGCGTTTTGTGGCGTTTCCAGCTTGAAAGGGGGTGTTTGTTGTATGTACTTCCTGATTTGGCTGGAGTAGTGTCATGGATTATGTATATCATCATTGTGGGCTTGAGTATTTGCATTTCGTGAGTGTTATTGTGATATATTGTTGTTTACTTGCTTTGGCGAACTACTCCCCTGTTTCACCGTCTAATAAGCATGAGTAGCAAGAGATTCATCTCCGAGACGAGTGGTATTTGCATGGTTGGATGTTAGATGATAGGAAATACCGGGTTGTAGGGCTTAGTAATAGAATTACAATGGCGCAGAATCGAAATGAGATTCAGGGATTCATGACGGGGTATATGATACATGGTGATCGGAGATGTGATCTCAGATCCGATCACGGTGGATATGGAGATGGAGATGGGGATAGACATTCTAGGATGGCATGTCTTTTGGACACGAAACTCGGGGTAAAAACACCCGGTTACAAAACGTGATATCCATGTCCCATAGCATGACAAGACAAGACAAGTAGTCTAGGGCAATAGTGAGGCAAAAGAGTACAGATGGACAGCCATGATTCGGTTCCCAGTTGGGCGCGGATTTAACAGGTTTCCCACCTGCAGTGCATATACCGACCGGGACTAAGTGTGGCGTTGGACGCCTACTACTGCACGGCTGGGCTGTTGTTGAACGAAGCGGATGGGTGCGGGAACCGGGGAGCAAATAGCGAGGGAGAAGAGGCCCCTGTGGGTGGTTTTCTAAGCGTGAGTTGTTCTACAACTACCCAGTTGCTGGGGTGGGGCATGACGGTAAGGGCCCCAGTTTGGGACGCTGAGAGATGTCTTTGGATGGGCGTCGTAAGCCCCTGCGGTGTTTGTGTAGCGACGTGTATGTGTGGCGAGGACGAAGGATTCACATGTGTTGTGTTGTGAGTTGTGTAGCGTGTGTGTGTGTAGTGTGTGTGTTGCGGTCCCAGGCGACCCCGGCTCCCAGGGACAAGGAAATTGGGCATGGCCATAACTTGCGCGCTTGTTGACCAGCAGCACACACAACCTTCATCATCATCATCCACGTTGTTGTTTTTCTTCGCGTTCTCCTTTTCCAAGTATTTGACCCCCATACGCTCTTTACTCACGGTTTCGCATTTCGGCTTTCTTGTCCGTGTGGCTTTCTTCCCCAAAAGACGGTCGGTACTCACGGCGCGTTATCGGATCGCCTGACACGGGTTGCGCACTACTTGGACGACTTACTGCGCCACAGCTCCGCGGCAGAGCTCCGGGACGTGAGACACTTTTTGTGAGGGCGCGACCAACTCGACCCACGACGACTGACCGACTGCATGCCCGTGGTCGCCGGCTCCTCGTCGCTGGAATGAGCAGCATCAAGGAGCGGCTGAACAATGCGCGGGCCAAGCTGCTGCGGAGGAAGAGCGCCGCCTCGACAGCCACGCGCTCGATAGCGTCATCCGGCAGCGAGAGGCAGGTACCGACGCACACGCAGACGCAGACGCCCTCGCAGACGAACACGCCGCAGCGCTCGCCGACGACGCTGCGCAAGAGCATCAGCCTGCCCCGGCTGCCCAACCTCTCGCCCGGCGACGGCGACGACGACGACGGCCACGGTCATAGCAATCCGCGCCTGGCCCAGTCGGAGGTGCTTGTGGCTAGGCCCGGGCACTCGGGCAGCTCGTCGCGCGACCGTCACTCTGCCACAACCATCACCAGCACCCACACGCCCGCCCACGCATCGTCGCACTCGTCGTCGCCAGACATCCGCGCCGCCTGTCCGCGCCTGACGCTCGAGGAGCCCACCCCCATCCACCCGCCCACCGCCGCTGTCGCTCTGCAACCGGCCGACACCCCGGAGCCGCTACCCTCGCCCACGGCAGAGACTAGCCACGGCGAACCAGCCCACGTCCCGCCGCGCAACCCAGCGAGGCCGACGCCCCCGCTCCGCCGCCAGTCGCTCGTCAACAACACGGATGCCCCGCTGCTGAAGACGCTGCTCGCCCCTGTTGTTGTGCCTGCTGCCATCGCGACGCCCCCGGCCTCGGCCACGCCCACGGCTACCGACTACTTTGGCGCCGCCCCCGCGACCTTCAGCGCCGCCATGACGCACCGCAAGATCTGGGTCAAGCGGCCCAACGCCTCGGCTACGCTCGTCCAGATCCGCGAGGACGACCTGGTCGACGACGTGCGCGATATGATCCTGAAGAAGTACGCAAACTCGCTCGGCCGCAGCTTCGACGCGCCTGACGTGACGCTGCGCATTGTGCCGCGTGATGCTGCAAAGGACCCGAGCCGCACGCTGGGGCCTGAGGAGGATATGTGCCGCACGCTGGATGCCCACTTCCCCGGCGGCCAGACGGTTAATGAGGCCCTCGTCATTGATGTGCCTCAGCGCCGCACCCCCAAGCCGTCCCCCCGCGTGCCGCTCTACTACGCCCACCACGACGACGCCACGCACCACCAGACCGAGTACTTCCCGCCCATGCCCGCCGTCGCCAACCCGTCACCCGCCATCCCCGGCCCAAACGGCGTCCCCGACCAGCGCCTCCCCCTTGACCACGCGCCCCGCTCCATAGCCATCATGCAGACGGGGCAGCTAGCGCCCCTGCCATCCCCAGGCGGCGGCGCGGTACGCAGGCTCCACCACACCCTCCGGCCCAAGTACCCACGACAGAACACGGCGTCCCCCACCACCCTCGCAGGCGGCATCCCCTCCTCAGCCACCAGCTCCCGGCCCCCCAACCGTCCGCGCCACGACTCCTCCGCCTCCGAAACCAAACACTCCACCACCTCCAACGCGCCCATCCCCACGCCCCCCGTCCCCACAGACGCCATCGCGCGCCAAATCTCCACTCCCCCCGCGCCCCGCATCGCCTCGCCCCACCTCGTCGAGAAGAAGCGCAGGAAGAAGCAAATGATCGATGCACCTAGCCTGCCTGCCGGCCTGCTCGACGGCTCCGTACCCCCCATCAACGTCCTCATCGTCGAAGACAACATCATCAACCTCCGCGTCTTGGGCGCATTCATGCAGCGCCTCAAAGTGCGCTGGCAGCGCGCCATGAACGGGAAAGAAGCCGTGACGAAATGGAAAGCAGGCGGTTTCCACCTCGTGCTCATGGACATCCAACTCCCCGTCATGAACGGCCTGGAAGCCACGAAAGAGATTCGCCGCCTCGAGCGCGTGAATAGTATCGGCGTGTTCAGCAGCGGGAGTAGCGAGGCGCCGCATAATCGCCTTGGTATTGACGGGAAGCTGGAAAATGAACTCGATGAGGATGATAAGCTGGAGGATCAGAGGCTGTTTAAGAGTCCGGTTATTATCGTTGCGCTTACGGCGAGCTCGCTGCAGAGTGATCGGCATGAGGCGTTGGCGGCGGGGTGTAATGATTTTTTGACGAAGGTATGTGTCTCCCCATTTTCCCTGTAAGTTGTTTGTTGAAGGGGGTTGTGCTGATAGAAGATAGCCGGTCAATTTCGTCTGGCTCGAGCGCAAGGTCAAGGAGTGGGGCTGCATGCAGGCGCTCATTGACTTTGACGGGTGGCGCAGGTGGAAGGACTTTGCGGATAAATCGGATAGTAATACGAATACGGCGAATGGGAAGATGTCGCTTAGTTATTCTAACGTAGCTACCAGCAGCGGTGGAGGGGCGGGTGGGGGAAGTAGTAAGAAGGAGAAGGAAGACAAGGAGCAGGTCGCGGAGAAGAAAGCCAAACGCAAGAGTCTGGGCAATGTCCCCGTTCAACCTAGTCTCGTTGAGGAGAGCGAGACGCCGCCGCCGGAGGGGGATGCGCCGTAGAGTGTCAGCCGTATATGTTGGCAATGGGGTGGTTTCGTGAGGGAAAAGTTGTCAGGCTGCGGCGTTGTGTGGTGCTGGGTTTCTTTTGTTTTGTTCTGTTCTGGGTTGCATTGGTTTGCGGGGTTTGCTTTCTTGCTTGGGAGGGGGGGTTTGCATGGTACTGTTGGGGGGTGGGGAGGGATGGGGAGGGGAGGGGAGGTATATACTAGACAGACAGATTATGCAGTATGCAGATGTGGAAGTCAGACAGTCAGACAATGGGAGTAATGCTTAATCGCTACTTTTTTACAACTTCTCCCCCCGCCATGTGGGCGGCTACATTGCATTCCTGGCTTGTTCTTATGCACTAGTAGATGAAATGCTGGCATACTGGTTTCGAAGGTTGTGTATATCATCGTTGTCGGTATTGTTATGCCAGCCACTGACCCAACGAACGTGCTGCGAACAAAACGTTCCACTACCTCCTTGTGGAGACTTCTATCTATGCGCTGGGCCTTACTTTTGGTATGCGTGGGCTTGGGATTGGGGTTGGCATGGTATAAGACGGGACGAGAGAGGACCCGTTTTCTATATATATACCTCCTCCAACGAGAGAAACGTAGTAATCTTTACTTCCTATCTATCTATATATCTATCTGTCTATCCGTCTGATTTGGCTTGATTAAGGGTGCGCGGTGAGATCAAATAAATAACAAATTAGAATATGTAGATTGTAAGTGGGATTTCGTGAGTACTGGAAAAGCTGATAGAAGAGAAAGGCACATTGACCTAGATTCAAAGAAATATATATGTTGTGTTGTGGTATAATCAACTAGCAAAGTAATGCATTTTGCGTTTTTGCAGTTAGGTCATTGGGTACTGTTGTTTTCTTCCCGCTCATGAACGGTCTTGTGCTTCGTCTCTTGTTATTAGTTAGTTACTTACATCTCCCCCCCTCAGTGAAGCGCTCTCCTTCTTTCTCTCATCCTATCCCCATCCTCAGAATCCGAAACTTCAACGCGCATAAACGTAACCTACCCTTCTCCTGTCTTCTCACGCACGCCCCTCCTCATCTTTCCCCTTTTTCTATATTTAGGTGATTTCCTTGGACTTGGACTTCGACTCACGTCCCCCTCCTCATTTACGTACGAAACTTCCACCGCGAGCAGATTCCCCTCCGCAAGTTATAGCGGCGGAACAGCGCATAACATCAGGCTGTGCTTATTCATCGCCCGCCCGCGGGGGTATGTAGCGGTGACGGGCTGAGAGGTAGTGCTACACCCCTTCGGAGCGCCATACCCACCGCGCACAGTGAGGATATCTCCCCATTCCTGTGTGATTTCCGTGTGGTGGTGAAGATGGGGATGATACGGAAGTACAGTAAAATGCCTACATAACGATCTATACGCAACCATCCATCTCCCCAACCGATGGACTTTCCACGCGCAAGTCGGCCCACCATTTCTGTAAGCCTACTCCCCCAGACACTTACCCAGCGCGGCAAAACACACACGTCCCCTCGGCTCTTGGTACTCTCGTCACTACACGCAACCAGATCGCCGACCAGCGTCTTCAGCGCTGGTCGATGTAGTACGCTAGGATGCGTACACGCCATCATGTCGTCTGGGAATGAGGCGCTGTACTTCGCGGGTCTGGGGTTCGAGAGCAGAGCATGGAGGTCTGCGTGGTTGATGGGCTGGGGTATGGTTGGGGAGTAGAGGAGCATGGCTTCGAAGGATTCTGCGATCTGTTCTGTGGTGCGGGTCTTCGGTCCTGCCAACTAGGACTTTGTCTCTGGCCAACTGCGCATTAACTCTGCTTTAATTGTGCTCTGGTACATAGAGTTTCTTGGGTTTGCTAACTGGACGCATACAGCTTTGAAGATGGGGTACCATCTCTACATAAACGGGGTGCTTGACGTCTTCACCTATGATACTGCACAGGATTTAGTGACAAGTTTCTGGGTTGTTACGCCCTTCTTTGCCGTCTAAAACTCTCCCATGAACAACGATGAAAAGTAGGGATTGCAGTAATATCAGAACTAACCTGTCGACTGATGCGTAACAAGCCCATAACGGGCTGTCAGGAAAAGTTGATCACGACAAATTTTCACTGCGACGTTGTTGTTCGCAACGCAATGCAGATTTCTCTATGCACATATCAATGATCAATAAACTGACTAGAAACTGTACAAGAGAGTGAGATTCATGGAATAGCACCTTCTTCCACCAGATCTCCCCTCCGCGATTGAGCCATACTGGGGTGAGTTTCCCCTTATCGTCCCACGTGCCATGGTCTTCGTTCTCAGCCACTTCAAAAACGTAGGCTGCTGAAGAATAAACAACAATTGTTGCTTTGCTGGCGACGTTGACTTTGTGCGCGGCTCTATGTGTGGTGTGGTTTGTGTGATCAGCATTTAGACCGTAAAACCTGCGTCACCCAGGGGCAGGAGTCTCGGTTAACTGTGAAAGTGGGAAGTAAACTGTGGTCTTTGTGGCTCCTACAAACTGCAAAACTATACGAGTAAAATTCAAAATAGGTACGCAAGGCGCATACAGGTAAAAACTTGGGCATACGATCTCTACCTAAATACAGTTGTAGTTGTCAAGCTGTTCCACGAATTCGCTGCACCTTGGATTCTGGTTTTCGATCAACAGAGAGGGGGGTAACGCCCTTTCTCGACGTCGCAACAATCTGCAGCGCTACTTCTGCCCTCAACCAGTATCCTTGGCCAATTACATGTTCCGGCACGAAATTTGGTGCGCCTTCTTGAACGGGACCGATCCAGCTAACGAAAATACGAACCAGATGTTAGGAAGGGGACAACCAAACTTAATCAGAGAAGGCATGACTGGGAGTTAGAATCTTGGTTTGCTCGAGAAAGTGCACAAAATGCCCCAAGCTTTTAGGTAGGTACATCTATATAAGTATCTCGCATCTTGTCTGTTTACTGAAAGTATTGAACTACACACACACACACACAAAATGTCTTCCCCCGCCCCTACAACTCAGAGCATCACCCGGCGACCAACCCCAAACACCGCCATTGTGCGAGTCAAGAAGCTGCCAGAATACCAGAGATGGGTTGAACTTGGGGGCCTAGATGAATTTGCGAGAGATCACAATATAAGCCCCGACTTTGTGAATCGTCTGAGCGAATTCAAGCCCGCGATTAGGGGAGCCTACTACGCCAAGCTACGTACTATTCCTGGCCTAGAGGCTGAGATGGCATATCACCCGCCAGTTCATAAGTCGATTATAAGTATGGCTGCCGCACAACGCTTCATGGCGTTGGCCGAGGGTTGGGATGAGGAAGATAAGGAGGAAAAAGAAGAGAAGGGAGAAGAGAAGGGAGAGAAGGGAGAAGAAAAGGAAGAGAAGGAAGAAGAGAACGAAGATAAGGAAGAAGCGGCTTCGAGTGTGGGAAGCAAGAGCGTGAGTCGGAAGGCTCATTCCAGATTGCAGCATCCCAAAGTCAAGACTAACCTTGGTTGATATGCAGCACCTTGTCGACGTAGATCGGTGTTGCTACTCGTCGTCTTTCCGCCAGTAACCATTCTAGCGTAATCTAGTAAAGAGAGGCCTAGCCCCAGCACATGGCAGCCCTGTGAAGAGACGGCTCACCTTAGATCAGAGCAGCCCAGTTAAGCGTCAGAGAGTATTTTCCTAGCGGGTTTAGGTGCCTCGGTGTTGTTTGTAGAATTAAAGTAAGTCTGCACGCGTGTTTACGTCTTGTCAACCCTTTAACCCTTTCCTAAGTCACGAGACGCTATCCTCCACTACTTTGGCTTGAGAATCGGGAAGGTATACGGATGGAAGGGAGATGGTGCGGGTTGGGATTATCTGTCTTGGTGGACAGTGTTGAGGTGGATAAACGGGCATACCAAACTGTGCCATGACAAGACCAGATGAATGAGACAAGAGTTGAAAGCGCAGGGTGAAATGAATAAATACTTCGAACCTGTATAAAGCGTCCGCAAACAACAAACAACCCCTACCAAACCACTTCCTATCTGTGATTCAGTTTGTTGACCGCAGCAGCATGCTCGTACACCAACTTCTTCGCCTCAGCATCGTCCAGGAAAATCGTAAAACCATCGTCGTTATTCCGTCCATACGAATACCCCGAATAGCCAAATTGCCAGTACATGTCCGGCATCTTTTCTTTCAAGCTAGTCGCCTGCCACAAGCCCACAACCTCCGTCCTCGTCAAATTCGATGATATGCCCAGATACTCCTGCCTCTTATCATCAGTAAGCCACCCATACTCCTCATGCACAACAGGCTTGCCAACTGCTCGAGCAGCAGCCGCATGGTCCTTGATCCACTGCGTCGTCCATTCAACCGTCTTACTCCACCAATCGGGATAGGAATGGAATACGCCGAAATCAATCGTCGCGATCTTGAGCTCCTCGTCAAAGTCTCCGCCATCAGACCCATTGTAGGCCCAGTCATCCGACTTGCGATTGAACCCGCCTTCGCCGCCCCATGTGACGAGATGGTGCGGATCGAGCTCCTTGACGTACGCGCTCGTTTCCTTGATCCATGCTGTGATGAGCGCGGGCGTGCAGGTTTCGCTGCGGGGGAGGTTGCGGACACCGTCTGCGCCGCAGCGGGGCTCGTTGGCTAGTTCCCAAGCCATGATGTTGGCGGATTTCTTATACCGGTTTACGAACTCGCGGACGTAACGCTTGAATGCCTTTTTGATTTTGGGGTCGCGGTAGAACTGGAGCGTGTCAGCTTCACACTGCATATCGTTCGCAGTAATACTCACGTCGTCGTGATACTTCCCACCGAGGTTGACGGTGTAGACATCCATACCGCCGTAGTCGGCCCAGTTATTCGTCAGCGCAACGATGAGCTTCATGTCTGTTTTCTTGGCTGCGTCGACGACTTTATCGAAGGGTTGAAGGTCGATCTGCGATGTGCCGTTATTCCACCATTGCATGACGTTTGGACTTGGGCCGGCGCCTTCTCCGCCGTAGTTGGGAAGGCCGCCTGTGATGGTCGTCCGGTTCTTGTCGTTGAAGCCCCATGTGCGCATCACGTTTAGGCCAGCCTTCTTTGCGGCTTTGAGGCCGGCTTCGACGTCGGATACAAGCTGGTCCGTTGTCAATACTGTCTCATAGATATACATTGGGTTAGTTTACTTACCTCGTCGAACGGCAAGTAGTAGGCATTGCTTCCCGCAAAGTAAAAGTCCTTTCCGTCAAGCTTGAAGACATTTCCCTTCGTTGTAACGAACCCAGCTGGTGGCGCCCTGCTAACGACCGCAGCTGCTGCACTCGAGCTGAGCAGTAGGAGCGGAACGATGTTAGAAAGCATGGCGAGGGCTTTATTTGTAGTCGAACTCGTGAGCCTTGAAGACCGCAACCATCGTATAAATACTTTCTACAATTCGAACGTGTCCACCCCATCCTTGTTTAGAAACGGAATAATATGCAGCAAGATCGGTCCGGCCACGAGCTCATCTTTCCCCGCAATATATTAACAATACCAAGGCCAAGACCCGTGTCTGTGCTGTGATTGGCGCAAGTCGACCTCGACGAGCATCCGCGTCGGGAATGGTCATGCTCGAGATCATCGACAGCATGGTTTACCGCCTGATGGGGAGATTTAAGGCTAAGTTCCTGGAGCCCCGGACCTGCAGCCGTTGCAACGGTTGGAGAACCCGCTTCTGGATGTGGGAGGTCCGGGGTGCGGAGCGCTTGGGTCCGTCACCTAAGGGGCAAGGCCAGGCTTGGAAAACGATCCTGAAATCTACGTATTTTCGATCTTGGAAGGGGGAGCGTGATGAGTTGGTGAAGGGTTCGGGTCATATGTCGACAAACCTGTTGCTCTTGACACCCAGAGATGGACTTGGGTCAACCGTTATGTGTCTCGATTTCTGAATCAAATTGTTGCGTCGACGTTGAAACCCGTGATCTATTTTCTCTCGGTTCTTGGCTTTTGGGAGTAAAAGGTTTAGCTTTTGGTCGATTCCTTGTGTGCACAGGACATTGCTCATAAGTGGTCAACATCTTTGAGCCATCCAAATTTCCCCTTCTTGAAAACGAGGCGAATTTTCACCACACACATACTTCGTTCTAGCGTGACTTTGCAACCTCTGCTTTCTCTTCGATCTCCATCATCTTCTCCTCTCGTGAACCCCAAACGGAAGCAAGGGCACCACCCGGTCCGCTTATCAGAACTAACACCAGAAGCCTTATCGCATGCTTCAACATCCCGGCACCGTCGACTTTCTGATGTAACGCACGCGTGACATCGAGGTACGCGATCCAACACGCAAGCAGTTGACTGGTTGCAATAAAGACCCAATCCCACTGGAAAATCCAAAGCAAACCCCAAGACACGCCGGTAGTCCAAGTGGCAGTATTGGGAACAAAGACGGATGACAAGGTTACGGTTGGGTCGGTAGATGTGAGAATGCCATAGATGGCGAACCAGTGCGTGATGGTGCAGATCATGAAGATCCCTTCATACAGGAATTTTAAAGAACCAATGTCTCTGTTCTTCGTGGTTGACGGAGTGGAAGCAAAGAAAGACGCAATCCACAGAGGTACGTTAACACCCAAGGGAGTCACCTGCCAGAATGCAAGAACATTTTGGTAGACGTCCATATCAGACCAAGGTACTAGGGTAGCGATGGTCGGGATTAAGAACAGCGCCACCGCTGAAGGAAGCATAATACGTGCATACGCTAGATCGACGGTCCTTCCGGAGGAGAAGTAAGATGCATCTGCTGAAGCTCGATGAAGTGCAACCCACCACCATGGAATGATGATAGCGCCCCCAATGTTCTGATAGACGAATGCAATTATGGCAGTGCTAGATGAGTCGTTAGCATCATACATCATGTTACTCGCCGATTAACTTACTACGTCCACCACCTCCCTCGATGCCTCTCGCGGCAGGCCTCGACGTTCATGACAACGATCGTCGCCATGAACTGAATTATGAAATGGACCTGATTCCAATAGAATGGCTCATGGAGTTTGGCCGATCCAGTGATGAATGCAGTCACCAAGAATGATAGTCCATTGTCAAGCGGCCCAATCCCAGTGAAGTGTTTCTTGATCGCAACACCGTTCGGAAGATGAGAGGCCGCGACAAGATCGAAGAAGCCTCGCGGAACATCGTTCAAGACTGTCGCGATGCGCATGAACAAAAGGCCGCCGACAGAACAGAGAATGAACAAGCCTGTGATGGCTGCATTGTATGGGCGTTGTGCTGATGTTGGGGAAGGTTGATGCGTAGCCATGATGGGCGGTTTCACAAGAGGGCGATGCGACGGCCCCAGGTCCTTTATTTGCAGCGTAGAAAGCTAATATTGTGGATTGTGCCGTTTTCCTGTGTACATTCATGAGCGTCGTTCGAGCTGACGCACGCCTGATGTTGCGATGGCCACAACAAAGTTTGCTTACGTGACAGCGCCGAATCTATCTAGCGCGGAGCTGAACTTGGAGCTAGAACATCATCAGCATGCAACGCACAGTGGCTTTGCTCCAGTCGACATCTGGAATCAATCTTCTTCAGTAGTCCAAAACTCATCATCGGGTTTCTATCCTGCGCACGCCTTTTTGAAAAGAGTAGCGATAATATCATCACATTCAAGCGAACTAAGCATATATGTCAGGACCGGCGGACCGTGTTTCTTGCCTTTCCAATTCACCACTACAAACAATCTTATGGGTTAAGCTGTCACGTATTGGATAACGTTTGGATGACACCGTGAGAGTCATGTGTGCCACGTGACTATTTCCATTTCGGCAAATGTTGGCGGGTTGCCTGAAGTACGTCATCGTGTGTTTGTAACCCACGCACAGCAACAACCGCCCTATGCCGTAAGCCGCTTGTTGTTTGGTGTGTCGAGCATCTCGAGAAGCTCGAAGTGTATCAGGTTTGTGCCCCACCCTTCCCCGCTGATCACAATGTTCAAAGTCCCGGCTCCCAAACAACCAACAGCCAAGAAATAAGCTGAGCGCGGGATAGCAAAAGGCGTGATGTCCTCATCCAGGTCCGCAGGACTGTTTGGCTGTTAAACATTGTGTGCTCTATCCAATGATGGTTGACAGAGAAAGCCGCAATATCTGGTAGAGCAGTCACTTGCCCATGGCAATTGAGGTAGTTATGGCCATGTTTGGGAGATTTTCTGCACTCATCTACCCATGCAGTGTGACTATGATGAGGTCTTGCTGCGCGATGTGATTAGCTCCCCGAAAGGGGAAGCCTTGCTCAGCCACCCTCTAGCCGCTTTGATCGCTTGATTTTACCCCCGTTCTTTTCGACACCTACGACATCAGCCATCTGATACAGCCTGATCACTTTCACTTCATAGTTCGTGTATATTCTGTCTTGTATTCGTTGTTGGTCTTTATAGCGAGAGTTCGCTTACATTCCCCGCATGAGACTCTTGCAAATTGACGCTGGCGGCAACCTCAGCCTGATCGAACGCGATGGAAAACAGGTCCCTCGCTACGCTATTCTATCGCACACTTGGGGTGCAGATGGGGAAGAGGTCACGCTTAAAGATCTGGCAGACGGTACGGGCCAAACAAAAGCCGGCTACCAGAAAATCCGCTTCTGTGGCAAACAAGCTGCTGAGGATGGACTGCACTACTTCTGGGTAGACACATGCTGTATTGACAAGTCTAGCAGCGCAGAACTTTCTGAAGCAATTAACTCAATGTTCCGCTGGTACTACAACGCAGACAAATGCTATGTATATCTCTCCGACGTTCCAGCAACCACTGCATTCGACAGCAACGACCAATCCTTCCAAAAGAGTAGATGGTTCACTCGAGGATGGACATTGCAGGAGCTCATCGCTCCAAAATCTGTTGAGTTCTTCTCCAGTGAAGGACAACCGCTTGGTGACAAAAATTCGCTTGTCCAAGAAATTAGCACAATCACACGCGTTCCCGTTACAGCTCTGCAAGGCAAGACTCTATCACAGTTCAGCGTTGACGAGCGAATGTCATGGGCGGGAAACCGAGAGACAAAACGTGAGGAGGATGCAGCTTACTGCCTGCTTGGTCTTTTTGACATCCACATGCCGCTTCTTTACGGTGAAGGGCAACGAAGAGCGTTAAAACGACTCCGGGACGAGGTTGAAGATAGCAAAGGATTGGACCGTATCTTGAAATGGCTGGCGCCTCCAGAATTTGCAACGGTGTATCACGAATCCCTCAGCGAGCGCGAAGATGACACAGGGCAGTGGATATTCGATCATCCGTTGTTTTGCGAATGGCTCAATGAGACGGAATCAACAATGGCTTTGGGACGACTTCGTTGGATCCATGGTACGTCTCCTTGGTATAGCAATCCACGTCTTTCTTGCCTGACCATACACTATAGGGCACCCTGGTGGAGGCAAAACTATATTGGCTGCTTCGGTGATTCACCGTTTATCGTCTCAACGGCATGCTGCTTCTTCTGAACCCAACGTCTTTTACTTCTTCTTCCGCGACGATACTTCGTTGCTCAGCAGACCTATCTCAGCTTATCGTTCGATACTTTCTCAATTCCTTCACCGGAACAGCGACAAACAGCCAATAGTTGACAAATTCTCCTCTGTCCTCGATAATGGACAGAAGCAGGTCGGTCAGTTAGTCTCGTCAGAACCCGAACTTATTGATCTTCTGCGGATCTGCTTGAGCAGTCTTGATCGCACGTACATCATCCTGGACGGCGTCGACGAGTGCAACAACACCAAATCGTTGATTAAAGTCATTGAATCACTTGGGAAGCTGTCAGCCGTGAGAATTTTGATTTTCAGCCGCCCCAATGTTCACGGCCTGACACGGCTCATCCCAGAGCAAGACCGCCTCGCTTTCGGTCAACATGAGGTCAATGATGATATACGGCTTTACTTAAGTCGTAGCCTTGAGAGCATGGCTCGCGAGCATCGCCTGCATCCTAATGCCGATTTGAACCAATACGTCCAACACCTTGTCGTAGGAGCGGACAAGATGTTCTTATGGGCAAAGCTCATGATCTCATACCTTCAGTCTCCGGCTTTAACATGTTCAATGATAGAAAAACTGATATGGAATATTACATTGCCAGAGGGACTTGAGATCATGTATGATCGAATCTTTGACATTATCGGCCAATCCCCGACGCACCAGCGGGAATTAGCGACACGAATTCTCTCTTGGGTTATCTACAGCCGTCGAGAACTATCAATCATCGATCTACAAACGGTCGTTGCTTCTACACTAAACGATGCAGATGCCGTATGCGAAGTATGGCCCAACTTTGTCGAAGTAGTGCCTATGGTCACTTGCGGACTCGTTACCTGTCAGAAAACTTATGGGTCCTCGAACTTCAATTTGATACATCTATCTGCTTCTGAGTACATCACGGAATGGAAACCATCCAGCTTACAACCCTCATCTGTTGATCTCCTGCGCCCTTCAAAAGTTACAGCGAATTTGGTACTAGCCACATCGTCTCTTCAGCTACTTCTGCGAGCTGGTCGTCGAGAACAACCCTCAAATGGATTGAACAGTGGATTGCATCATCAGCCAATGGTCGCATACGCCGCTCGGCATTGGATAAGTCATTTAGACTCATCCATCATAACAAACCCCGACACCATATGGGACCACGGCAGACTCTGTAAAAGTTTCAAGGAGCTGCAGAAGTCTCTGTCCAGTTTCCTGACGAGTTCCAAAGTGGTAGCAACTTTTGTTGACGTGTTCTACCAAGCTGAATATCTTGGACATGAACTTCGTGTTCAATCTCCTCTGAATCGGAAGCTTCGAACTGTTCTGGAATGGACAGAATGGGTCCAAACATCGACATTTCTTGACTCTTCATCCCAAGAGCTTCAATCGACTCTGACCATGATACGAGCATTCTGTAACGAGATGATGACTTTTGTTGATCAATGGGAATCCAAACTTGTTAACAATCCAAGTCCAGTCTGGAGCGATGCACTTATATTTCGTTCAACTCGATTCCTGCCCCAAAGCGATCTCACCAGCACAACATCTTTTGCTCCGAGGAAGGTGAAGATAGCAGGCGTAAGCTCTCGACCCTTATGCCATATCTCTGTTACTTCCAAGGACACAGACGTGTTAGGGGTGTTAAGTATCTGGCCCTCCGAACGCTATGAGAAGTTCTGGCGCAACCTCGACCCCTACGCAGCATACTCTCAAGTCGAAACCTTCTGCAATGATTGGACAGCTCATTATGAGCTGTGGTCTACTGATGGTTCCAAGCAGCTCATTTTCAAGGTCACTATACCCTTGGAGGCCTTCGAAGTCGCTTTACAGATGAGGCAAGGGTTTCGCCACGAACACGACGTGTCCTGGAAGACATCTTTTCCCACTACGATTAGCCCAGATGGGCTGACTCTTTCAGTCCTGAGGACTCTGTACCAGTTCTCAAGATCTTCGCTTGGATCGGAGCCGGCATGGAAAAAGACGGTTCTTCCTTTGCACTCAATAGATTGCATGAGACAAAAGTGGGGCAACGACCTTGAGGTCTTCGATCCAAACAACTCGTTCGTTAAGAATCTGCCAACATCGTTGCGACTACTGTCTCGTGATTGGTATACATATACCATAACATTCAGTCCAGATTGCCGGTACCTCCTGTTCTCGGATCACCAAGTGCCTTTCAAACGTAACCTTATACTGTTCGGAAATCTCAATAATGGCAGGTCTCAACCAGATATACTTTCTTTGACAGTTCTGAATACCGCAAAGGCTGAACTTCGGCTCACGATCTTTCATCCTACATCACCACTCATCGCATTTGTCTGTAGCCAATCCGCATGGATCTGGAATTTTGGAGTAGAAGGTATGCATCTCAAACAACTGCTATAAGTATGACTTGATGAAGCTAAACTTCCTAGCTAGCTCATCTCTCTCCAGAATCCATTTTCGACCCGAGGCTCCGGAAACACTCAATGCGTCACTGTCCCAAGTCTCCGGACACATGGCCGCGGAAATACCACTTGATTCCAAAATCATCGCCATGAGCTTCTCATTGTGTGGTAAATATATCTCGATCACCTTAGAGCATGGGTCGGTAGTGGTTCCGCTCAATGCGGAGGACCTTGCTACCAATTCTGAGAAAGCCGGATCCTCCCAGGACACGCAGATGGAACACTTGAGTAACATTGACCAAGGATCAAGGCCAGCGCCTATAACAATTAAAGCAATATTACATCCAACAGCCTCTCAGGAGGTCGTGAGACTATAGTGATGTGCAAAACACCTTCGTATAACGTAACTTGCGTAGTAGCTAATTAGGCAGTTCTCTAGATTTAAGCTATTATACAAATTTATTAGTAGAATTAATTAAATAGTAAATCTTATATACTTTAAATAAATTATATTTCAATTATAATTACTAAAGCCTTAATAATAGCTATTTATATATATTTATAGTATTATTACTCTAGAAACATGTTAAATTAATACTATAAAAAGATAAAATAGAAGGTAACGCTATAGAAGCTACTAAAGGAGCTACTATAAAAAAGGCTAATAAAGCTACTAAATAGGCTACTAAGTAGCCTATAAGGCCTATAATAGCTACTAAAAAGAGACGCCTATTAAGTAAGCTACTATAGCCTATATAAAAATACCTAAAAGTATTTACTTACTACTAGAAACTTACTTATAAGCTTACTTATAACTTTACCTATAAGTATAAGTATAAGACTTAGTTATAGTAGCAATATAGTATAGCAAAAATAGAATAATAGTATTTAATATATAATAAAATAAATTACTAAGAGACTTATATTTCTTTATAAGGTACTTTTATCTATATATATAAGCTAAGAGGCTAAGGCTAGTATAATAGTATATAAACTACTTATTACTTTATACTAACCTAATAATATTTCTCTTCTTAGATATAATTATCTTAATCTAGTAAACTATATCTTCTATTACCTATATTTAGTAATATTAAGCGTATTATAGGTATATTAAAGTAACTATTTAAGTAAATTACTAGATTAAGCTAATTTAGCCTAATTAAGATACTTTTAGAGTATATTATAACTAAAATCTTAGTTTAAAGTAAAAGAAATAAGTACTTATTTTTATTTCTTTTACTATTTATCTACTTAAGAGGTAGCCTAAGCTCTAAGAGCCCTACTTAAGTATATAATAAAGGCTTTCTCCTAGTCTCCTATACTCTACCTTCTTTCTACCTTTAATTTTTAGAAGTTTCTAAGCTTTAGGTATATTTTTAGTAAGAAAGTAAAAAGTATTAATTAGCTTTAATTAGTACTAATTAGTAGAATTTAGGTTTAATAGGCTTAGTAAGTATTAAATATTAGCTAACTATCTTAGTAAAACTATCTTAATAACTACCTAACCTACCTTACTTTTAATATAATTAAGATAGTTACTTTAATAAAAGCTTAGTGCCTTAAGGACTATAAGAATACTAGTTACTATACTAAAGTCTTTTATATATACTACCTAGATCTTTTAGCTAATAGTAACTTTACTATAAATAATTTAATTTACTTTTTTAGTACTAATATTAATTTATAGAGTAAGTTCTATAATAGTAACTATTAAGGTATATAGTACTATTATTATACCTAACTTAGCTAGGACTATTTTAAAGTATATTTATTAGCTTAAATTAGTATAAGTTATAACTAATTAACTCTTCTAGCCTCTTAATACCTACTATAAGTACCTTATTAAGCTTAAAAAGTAACTTACTTACTACTTATCTAGTAAAAATATAGTTATAGAAGCTATAAAAGAAGGTAAGCTTATATAGTATAATTATATTTTATATATACTTTCTTTCTATATTATAATTAAGGTAAAAGTTATTAATACTACTAATAAGATTATTAGCTTAATCTATAAGTAAGTAGTTAAAATTAGTAGTAATTAGCTCTAATAGTATTTAATTATTTATAATAGTAAGTACTTTCTTTATTATAAGTCTCTTATAGTCTATATAGGTATAACTAAGATAAATAAGTCTACTAAGTTTAGTATTTATATTAAAAGTTATAATTAGTCTAAAGCTAGCTTCTAAAAGAAGGCTATAACTAAGAAGTAGGCTCTTAAAGCCTTTAATAATAAAAACTTAGATCTTACTCTTTATAAAGAAGTAAGTAGCTACTTATAAGCTTTATTAGTATAAATTAGTACTAACTATTTAGAATTAGTTTAGTATATATAGTTCTAGTAAGACTCTAGCTAAAGTAGCTACTAAAAAGAAAAAAAAAGCTACTATAGTTACTATTACTTTTTAAACTACTAAAGTAGATCTTACTACTACTAATAAGTACTTTATATCTACTAAAAAGGCTACTAAGACCTATAAAAAGAATAAGAATAAGAATAAGTATATCTAGGTACTAATTAGTATAAATTAGCTTAGATTAGTAGTAGTAAGGCTAAGATATAGCTATATATATATTTCTAGTATTATATACTAAGAAAGTTATTTTCTAGCCTTATATAGGCTTTATAAATAATAATTATAGTTAACTTATACTAATTTATTCTAATTCTTTACCTATATTTTAATATTATATAGTAACTTAGAGTATTTTAATTAACTTAGTAATTTTTTATATTTACTTTTAAAGTTATTTTCTTAAACTTTTTTCTAAGAATTCTAACTACTAGGTATACTACTATTAAACCTTATTAAAATCCTACTAAGTAAGTAAAAATAGAGAAAAGTAGCTATATAGTTATTTTCTTATAGTTCTATTTCTTTTCTTTTAGAAAGTTTATTTTAAAATTATACTTATAATAGCCTATTTTTTTTTTTAATATATTTTAAGACTGCTTTAACTTTATTTTAGAATACTATAAGTATTTTTTTACTTAGATTTATTCTAGGTTTCTAAGAGTTCTTATCTTTTAAGTAGCTATCCTACTTTACTAAATATTTCTATATACCTATACTATTTTATCTCTTATTAACTACTTTCTCTATATTATAGATATTATTTCTTATTTTATAGAGCGTGTCTATAAGTAAAAGTTTATTATATAAGATTATTTCTTTTCTTATATAAGGTTCTAATAGAGATGCGTAGTATACTAGATAGGTATTATTTACTTTTAAAAGATTAACTTTAAATATAGTAAGGCTAATTTAGCCTATAACTTTCTTAGGTTTTAATATCTTCTAATTAAGCTTCTTCTTTAGTCTAGTAGACCTTATATACTATTTAAATATAAAAACTTTATTTCCTACCTTAAATTTATAGTAGAGTCTTTTTTTATTAGTATATTTCTTTTAGTATTTATTTAAAACTAGAATTTTTCTCTTATACTTTACTTATAGTACTATTACTTTTACTACTAATCTATTTCTTAAAGAAGCTTTACCTTCTTTAAAGAGTTAATTAAGCTAGTTAGAAGCTCTTAAGTATACTCTATAGTAGGCTTAAAATAGAGTAACTTTAATTATTATATATATACTATTATTATAGGCAAATTCTATAATTAGGATTTATAGTGCCTAATTATTTTATTCTAAATAATAGAAGTACTAAAGGTACTATTCTAGTATTTAGTTCTACTTTTCTATTTAACTATCTATCTATAAGTAATAAGTAGAAGTTAAGATTCTTTTAGAGTTTAAGTAGTAGTTAAATATATCTTATAACTTTAAATTTATTAGAAGACCTTAGTTAGAAATTATAGTCTTAGGTACTTTATAAAGTTAGATAATTTCTCTTACCTATATATAGGCTAGGTCTACTCTAGTCTAATCTACTCTTACTAAGATATAGTAAAATATCTTAGTAAGTCTATATATAACTACTAGAATTAAGTTATATACCTATTTTAGATATTTACTAGTAGGTAGTTTTATAATAAAGTCTATTATTATATTTTTTTATAGTCTTAAGAGTAGTTTTAAAGGTTAAAGAAGCCTATATAGTTAGTATTTTAGTATAACTAACCTTCTACAGTAGTTATAGTCTATATAGTAGTCTACTATATTTTTTTATATATTTATTTACTAGTACTTATACTAAAGCTTTTCTAGTATTTTCTTTTAGCTAAAATAGCCTACTATTAGATTATTATAATATTATTTAAGTACTAATAACTTTAATTCTAGTATTATAAAGATTATAACCTTTTCTAGTTTTAATTCTAGCTCTTATATACTAATTTAAGCTACTTTAGTATCTAAATTATTAGATAAGTTAGAAGATTCTAAATTTAAACTTTCTAGATTAGATTCTATTAATTAAGGCTTTAGTTTAGGCCTACTATTCTATCTTACTAACCTATTTATATATTAGAGTTTCTAATAGTTCTTATTAATACGTTAGCTTTATATAGTAATAGAGTAAATAAATAAGAGTTTATTAATTTCTACTCTAGTTAATAAGTCTCTTATTAGATCTATAAAGGCTTTATTATATTTTTAGTCTAGTTCTTAGGTTACTATTATATAGTCTAGCCTTCTTAATAGTCTATTAGCTAGGTTTATTACCTCTAGTTAATATTTAATAATAAAGTTATATTCTATTAGCTTTTAGTAAAAGTAAACCTATTTTTAGTTTAAAACCTTTATATTTATAAACTATTTAAAGTTATAGTAGTCTATTAGGAGTTTAAAGAATATACCTTATAGGTAATACCTTTAGTAGTTTAAACTTACTACTATTACTAGTAGTTTCTTATTATAAGTATTATATCTAAACTTAGTTTAGTTTAATTTTTTTAAGAAAAAGTCTACTAGTTTTTAAACTAAGTTACTTTTCTTCTAAGTAAATAACTAGCTTAGTATTCTAAATACTACTTTACTAGATATATTAACTTTTATATATATAAGTTAGTTTTGCTTAAAGTAGATTAGAATTAGTACCTTTAAAAAGGTATTTTTAAGCTCTTAAAAGGCTCTTTAACTATTATTTTTAATATCTAGGCCTTAACTCTCTTCTTTTTATTATATATAGCCTCTTTTAGCTATATTTAGGCCTTTTTAAGTTAATTCTATTAATAGAAGCGCTACTTATAAGAATTCTTTAATAAATTTCTAATAGTAGTTTATAAAGCTAATAAAAATATAAATATTATATACTATTTATAGAAGTAGCTATTTTTAGATAGTTTATACTCTACTAATATTAACTTTTACTTCTTATAAGTATACTATATACTTTAAGAATTTAGTTTCTCTTTTATACTATTTATACTTACTTAGCTTTATAAGTAGCTTAGCTTTATATAATTTCTTTAATACTTTATAAATATAGGCCTTATATTCTTTTTTAGTATCTAAGAAGATTAAGATATTATTAAGATATACTATATATAATATATTT